AAAAGATGTTGAGGAGAAGGAAGACCCGGCCAATTCTGACAACCAAATACAGCCTCGCTTCCCTAATGGGACTCACGCCTACAAGGTGAAAACATCCCCATTAAATCCCATTTAAGGTTAAATAATTTTGCAGATCAACAAAATGGAAGGAATGCAAGAAAACAAGCCTGCCGATGTTTTCGATCCGTTCAACCATGTAGCAAAGCATTTGCTCGTCTACACTCTAGCCAGTTTTCTGCACCTGATTCTTCAATTCTGTCGCTGTGCTCTCAGTGACAATAATGGACGTTATTCGGTGATTTTCAGGCTTAAATTCAGTCTTAAATCCTCTTTTTATTTTAAAGGTTTGCGAGCTGATTTTTCTGGTGGTCTCAATTGTCGTTTGGGGAATTATGCTGGTCTTGACTTCCTCCACGAGCATGAACTGGGACAGTTTATGGATGTGCACAAATTTCCGACCGGAGAAGCCCAAAGTCTTCATTGTGGCGGTGGTGGGAGATTTTGATGATTTTTCAATCCAAATTTCAATTTTGTAGATTTGTTCCGCTGTGCTGGTTGTTCTCTACCTGTTCGAGGCTCTGTATGCATGCGAGATGATGTTCGTCGAGGAAGCGACCAAAAATGTGAAGGTGGAAGGGGGGAAGTCTTCTGAAGCTCCTTCCCCTCCAAAGAACAACAACGCCATTGTTGCCGCTTCGACTGATGACACTACTAGTACCTCCATTCTGTTGCCATTCACTGTTCATGGAGGCAAGATTGGAGGCAACATCCAGCAGGCTAAACTTGTGCGAGAAGACTTCTGCATGATAACCGTAAAGGAGAACTAAATTGAAGTGTGTGATGTAGTGAATAAATATTGAGAATATTTGTGTTAGTTGTGGTGATATACATGTAATCACCCCCCCCCCCCCCCACCCATATATTGTGTAGGTTTTGTAATATAACAATCACCTTCTTGTTGTATATACCTATTGCTATTTGCTAGTTGAAATGTTGTTATTTCTAATAAATGTATAAAAATATTTATGACAGGCTATATTGTCGAAATTTACATGTTTATTTGAAAAATAAAAGATTTTCCTGTATTATCACACCGAAGTCATCACCCCCCCCCTCCCTATTCTTTTATTCTTTTTATGTTTTCCTTCTTTACTGACAGTCAATAGCGAATAATGACAAGGGATTAAATTAAAAGTCGGGAATTTAACAGAAGGGAATTTGATTTATTTTAAGAGAATGGCAGAAATTTTAATTCAAAAAATAATGAAGACAATCGCTTATTTTTTATATTAAAAAATAATTTAATTAATAATTTAGGGTTCAAAATTAATTTTTTGTTTTCTTGCACTTTTTATTTATTTTTCTCAAAAATATTTTTTAAAGAATCATATGAATTTTTATTTAAGAAATACCCAAATATTATTCACATGAAAATTAGTAGAGCAAAAAACATTAAGACTTTTATATTCACGTGAAGTGTTTTGTAATTAAAAATAAATTTTGAAATATTTTTTAATAAAATTAATTTAAAATAATTTAAAAATATTCTTCTATTTTTGTTGGCCAAACAAAGAGATGAATTGATTGTTAATAAGAGATTGGAAGGAAATAAAATTCAGAATCAAATTAATTCAAAAAAATCAACAAACTTTTTTGTCATTTACTAAAAAGTAACTGGATAACCATTGAAGTAATTTGAGATTAGATATCTCCTTTGGCAAACTTTATCTTTTTTATTTTCTTAGAAATTTTTTAAAAAATTAATTTAAAAATTTAAAAAAATTTTTATTTATTTAAAAAAAACTTTTTTATATTTAAATAAAAATTAAAAATTGATTTAAAAATCATTTGACTTAAATCACGTGATTTATCATTTGACATGAATGTCTGATTGAAATCATGTGTGTCTAGTGAAGAAATTAAAAAAAAAAATTTTTTATTGTTAAAGTGCCATTTTGAAAGGGGGGAAGAGGAGAGGGAAGAGGGGGAAATTAAAAGAGGCAAATAAAAGTCCTTAATTTTGAATAAATCCTTCAATTATTCAATGAAAACTAATTTTTATTTATTTTAAATTTTTCTTTGAATTTAATAAAATATTCAATGAAAGTTGGGGAGAATCCCTTCCCTGATTCAATGCTAAAAATAATTAAAATTTTCAAAGAAATGTTTTTTTAATTTAAAAGTTTAAAAGAATTCTCTCCATCGTCTCCTCTTTTTATGTACTATTTTCCCCGGTTTCTTGAACAAATAAAACATGTTTTGTTTGTTTAATAAAAACATTTACCTAATGTTTTTAAATTTAAGGGAGAAAATGTTTTGTTTGGAAAAACATTTCTTTAAAACATTTGTTTTGTTTTTATTAATTAAAAACATTTTAACAACAAATGAACATGACAGATATGTTTTGAAAAAAGTTGAAAGTGTTGGAATTGAAAATGTTGCTTCCGAACAAATAAAAAAATTAATTGGCGAAGTTTTGTTTGTGAGTGAACAAACATGTAAACAGGCCCCAAACATTTTCTTAAATGATATGGAAAAGTTGAGAAAGAAAGTTTTTTTAGAGTTGGATAAACTTGAAGAAGGAAAGTTGAACATTGAAAAGAAAAACAAGTTGGAAAACAAGTTGGGAAAAAGTTCGGAAAACAACAATGAAGTCGCTCATAAAAACAAGTTAGAAAACAAAGTTTCAATAGAAAACATCAAAACATCTGTTGATAATGTTTTGAATGAAGCGAAAATTGGTTGTTTAGTTGGTTTAGAAGGCCCTGCAACAATGTTCAGATCAATGACATTTGAATTTGATAAAAACAAAGAAGAATGGAAACATTTGTTGTTGGTAGACTATGAGAATGAACATTTCTTGGAAATAAAGTAAAATTATTTTTAACATGTTTTGAATAAATAATTATTTTTTAAAATATTTTTAATTGTTTTAGATCTGTCCGCAAATATTTGCGGATATTATAAGAAATATTTTTCTCCAATTTTAACAAAATTTCAGGGAAATCCTTTCAAACTGTCAAAATTATTTAAATGAGGAATTGTCTTCCCAAACCTCAATACCTTCAATACCCAAGAATCTTTTGAAATATTTTGAAGAAGCCAAAGATTTTAACAAATTTATATTCAAACCCATTTCTGAACTGAATGAAATTTTGAAAAAAATTAAAGAGGAAGAAACTAAAATTACAAATACTATCGCTAAAGCAGAAATTAGTACAGATTTTATCTCTCCATTGTTAGGTTGGAAAAAAGATTCAATGAGTAAGTTGAAGAGAATAACTGAAGCTGTGAAGGAAACTCGTTTTGAAGTTGTTAAAGAATTGCAGAAAAATGAAGTAAGGAATGGTTTTAAAAACTTTCTTCTACGAATAAATTTTTGCGGACAAATATTTTTAAGAAAAAATTAGTGCGCAAGTATTTGCGGACTAATTTTAGAGAAAGATATTTGTCCGCAGATATTTGCAGAATATTAATAACCCCTTTAAGGAATACGAAAAAATTCTGCGACGCTACAAATGTGCTCACATGTATTTTTGGTTAAACGAGGCTACCAAAGTATTACACGGAAATTTGTTTTCCTTTGTATCAAAGTTAAGTGAAGGATTTTTGTTTGAAAATGAGGAGAATGCTGTAAAATGGTTAAAAAGTATTAAAATTGCTAGAGAAATTATTCCAATTTTAGAAATGTTGAAAATTAAAATAAACTTTTCTGAAGAGAATAAATTAAATGAAAAAGAGGAGAATAAAAAAAGAGAAAGCACAGAAATTCCGGAAACATCGAATAAAACAAAAGAAAAACAAGTTGTTTTAGAAAATGGACACGAAAACATTTCTAGTGTTCAAGAAAACGGAAAACTTGATGTTTGCCCAACAACACAACAATGGAGTATTTGGCGAGGCAAAGTTCGTCAAGTTGTCCAACAAACTTTTAAAGCATTTTCTAATTTAAATAAATTATATAAAAATGGAGAGAGGATAAAAATAAAACATTCAATGCGTTCCAAAGCCACAGATGAGAGAATGTCGAAAATATATAAAATGTTAAATAGAAGTGATGCTTTTGATTTAATGATAGAATTAATTGAGGAATTGAAGGACATTAAGGAGAGAAATTAAAAAAGGAATTGAAGGAAGATGACAAAGAATATTTTTTATTTTAAACATTTATTTTCCTTTTTTATTCGCACAAAATCCAAACCTCTACAAAATCACTTGAAAAACACAAAAATATTCGAATTTTTCATAAAAATTCACTTATATATTTATCTGAAACATTAATTTAGATAGGAAATTCTTTCAAACATTTAATTGTTTAACTGATCCAGAAAAAATCGGATATTTCCTCCCACCCCCCCCTACTTTGTACATACTAATTTTGTCCCCATATGTATTTATTATGTATTTATCAAATATCTTTATCATATCCATTGGGATTATTCAAAAATTTTTCATTATTTTCCAAAAATTTCTCCATGTACATTCTCCAACCCAAAATTTTTTTAAATTTTCAATTTCATTAAACTCCCTTTGTAAATATTTTAACATCCATGTATAAAAATGCTTTATTTTATTCATTGATCTGACTTTTAAAAAAATAATATTTTCTTGATGGATGCATAAACAATTGAATAAATAATAATAATAATGCTCCAAAAACAGAAACAAAAATTGTGTCACAAAAAGGAAAAGAAAATAATAGAGAAAGGATAGAAGAAAAACTGTTCGCAAATCTTTTAAAAAAATTTTTAAAGGGCTGAGGAAAAAAATTTCAAAAATAAATTCTTTTCTTTTTCATTTTTATTCCAAACAAAAATTCAAATAATTTAAAAAAAGATAAGCAAACAGAACAAAAAAACATAAATAATTAATAACCATAACCATCAATATAAATATACCTTTTTTCAACCCTCTCCAAAAAATTTTGTGTTGAAAAAAACTTTTTTTTCCATTCTTTTATTTTTTATCCATCCATCAAATATTTTTAATAATTATTCCAATCACTGTCTCTCAGTCAAGTAACGACGGCCTGACTCTGAGGAACGAACGCTGAAAAAAATTTTTTTTAATTTAAATTTAATATTTCTCTCTAAATAGAAATGGAAAACTAAAAGTGGACCTCATTTTTCGATACCCCTTTGTGTCCAAAAATAGCAACCTATGGTGTTTTAAATTTGGGAATGTCTTAATTAGGGGTGTTCTGGACCAAGGCCTAGATTTTTCCCGTACTAGAGTCCAGTCCCAGGCATTTTTTTGACCTTCCTGGGTTTTTCCTGTAATACAGGCCCAGGATCCGGCCCATATCAATAAATCAAACCCAGAGTCCAGGAACAGGCCTAGACATTTCAAAAATCTCGATATCTAGTGTCAATATCTTAGATTGTGGGTGCCATAAAACAAAATTAGAGTTCCTCCTAATTTTCCATTTATTTAATTCTAAATTTTGTAGAAAATTAAAGAAAGTATCCAGAATTAAGCGGAAAATATTTAAACCTCTGCTGAAGCAAAAACTGCGCCATATGAATTTGATGCGTTGTGCCGGTTATAGTAATGATGCGCTCATCTGTACCAAATGGATCAGTTTGGGTATCAATCTCAATTCGAGCTCCAGAATCGTTTCGAATACGATTGATACATTCCCCACGTTTCCCAATAATTGTGCCGCTAAGTTTGCTTGGAATTGTGACCTAATAAATTTATTTTTTATTTAAAAATTCTAAAATTAAACCTGTGTTGTAGTTATTTGGTCGCCTCCTGGACCTCCAGGATAGGGACCAGGAGGTCCCATCAACGGCGGCCCGCCTGGAGTATGCGTTGGAGGACCACCTGGGCCTGGTCCAAATCCTGCATAGCCAACTCCTGGCTGTGGTGGTCCGTGATGAGGAAAGTCAAAATGTGGAGGTGGCATAGGAGGAGCTGGGGCTTAAAAAGTAGAACAAAATTTTAATCAAAAACTTAACAACTAACCTCCCATGTTACCGCCCTCAAAACCGCCATAAGCGTGACACAATTGCGGATTATAAGCAGCTGAATCGTATGGTACATGTGGTCCTTTGAATGGAATATCCTTGACAAAATCTATGAGGATTTTAACAGCAGCAGGTAATTTGGCAGAATCACCAGTGATCACTAAAAATAATTTTAAAAAATAATTTTAATTTTGTGATATTTAAATCTCAAGTAATGAAAGAATTTCAGAGTTAACTATGGATATCATGAGGAATTTCGACAAAATAAATTTTTGTAAATGTATCGTAGAAAAGACTGAAATGGAATCTCATTGTTAGAACATGTAGGTCCTCTCAAAAAATCATTCAATAAAACCCCAAAAAATCTTACAGCAAACACGATCACTAGACATTGGACAACATTCTTGGAACACTTTAAAGCGACATTGAGTCTGTTCACGAAGTTCTTTAATTTTACTGCCACCCCGACCAATAATTGCACCTGCATGTGACTGATGAACCAAAACTTTAACATCAACTTCTCCACGACTAGCCTTCTCTCCCTGGAATTTTTTAATCAATTTATTTGTAAAATTAAAGCAAGAAAACCTCAGAAAGTTTATTCAAAATCTCCAAAACGCATTGTTCAATACTATCCTGATGGCAAATGATTGTCAGCACACTAAATTTTAAAAAATTTTAGAAATTATCAAAAGAATTTTACAATTCCTAAAGGTCAAAAAAATAAAATGAGAATAAATGGGAAAAATAAAAATGCTAGAGGTTGAAAAGTCCGAATTTAATAAAATAAATAAAAGGCGTACCATCAAAAGATTTTATCAAAAATTTTTATTCTTTTTGACATTTAAGAATTGTAAAAAAATAGGACAAGGGCGTGCCAGGATAGGATTTTTGGAGGATTGACTTTTCGGATTAGCTAGCTTTGGAAGGGATAGCAATTTAAAAAATAATAGTTAGAGAGGAGGGACCCCGGTACGCCCTCGAAGTATAAAAATATAAAGTCCACGAAAGGGAGAAGAGATTACCGCTCGGGGGTGCTCCTATCTGGGACATTGATGTTGGCATCGTACTGAAAATGGAGAGAGGTTAGTTCCGGACCACACAGTGAAAATTGCTTCTCGCCAATGGCGAAGATTAAAAATTATGTGGTGCTATTTAGCACTTAAATTACCAAGCCGTTTTGTAATTTTCGAGTGAAAATTATTAAAAGTATTTTCTATAAAACGAAAAAACAAGAATGTGAATAAAATCTAAAAATGATAATTATAGCCATTAAAAACTAGAGATCGAGATTTTGCAAAATCATGGAGACTGGACTGCCTAAATAAAGTGACCTAATAAAAAATGGATCCCTATTACCAAGAAAAATCTAAATCCACAGAAAACCTAAAAATGAGATAGCCCATAAACGAAAACCCTAGTCCAGCTCTAAAAAATAACCATAAAAATAGGCTAAAATCTGATCATAATTTAATAAAACATAGTTACAAAAACCTTCCTTTTTTGTATACCTTCCCAAAAATTATCTAAATTAAAAATACCTTCGCACGTAAAGATTTGATATATTCTCCACCACGACCGATAACTGCCCCAGCAGAACGGCTCGGAATAAGCATACGTAATTCAAATTTGCCAGCAGCCAAAGCTTCATGGTACATATCAACGCCATCATGCCCTCCACCACCGCCTCCCCCTCGAAAACGTTTAGGTCCTCCTCCACCAGAACTTCCTCCATTCGAATAATGTTGATTCATTCCAGGATACATTTGTGCGTTTCCGTTATCTAGAGGATAATTAGTAAATCGTCTCTTCATAATATAAATAATTAAAAGAATTTTAGACAAACTAAAAATATTCATGTGCTTGAATGATTGAGCTTGCCTCTACTGAATTCAGAAGAAGAAAGTACACGCGCGTAGTGATGGATCGGGTTGATATTAAATGTGATGAAGTGGAAATAATAATGTGGGACAGAGAAAAAATGTGTCTAAAAATAGGTAAAGGAAGAGAATTATTATTTATTAACACCTAAAAAATAGAAGGGAAAAAAGGAAGTTGATAGTTGATAAAATGAATCCCGCAAAAGATCAAAAAGATTTGTAAAAAATTAGGAAATCAAAAATAACCCGAAAAAATCCCAAAAATAAAATTGACCAAAAATAATTAGACATTATGAAGAAATTTTGACAACTTGCCAAGAAGACGAAATGCCAATCAGTGCAAAATTTTTCATTTAACCAAAAATCGGTTGAAAAATCGCAATTTTCTTATTCAATAAATTTGTCATTGAGAATTTTTTTCTTTAAAATTTATAAAACTTTTTTTTTACTTTTTTAGACAATAATATTGCTTTATAAATCCTTTCCCTCTTTTAAAAAATGACTTCTGCAGGTTTTAGTGATGGTAGACCTGTTTGGATTCCTCTTGAATCAAATCCTGAAGCTTTTAACAAGGTTTCCCTTTCTTCTTTATTTTATAATCATTTATTTTTAGTACATTAATGGACTTGAAGTTGGAAAAGTTGAATGTGTCGAAATTTACGGATTTGAGGATGATTTGCTTGCTTTTGTGCCAGGACCTCATTTGGCGTTGATTTTTTGTTTTCCATATTCTGAGACTTCTTACGCGTCTGTAGCTAAAGTTTATTCTGATTTAATTGCTGAGGGAAAGGATAAGGTGCCTGAAGGAGTTTTCTTTATGAAGCAGAAGATACATAATGCGTGTGGGACTTTTTCGCTTTTGCATTCGTTGACTAATAATTTGGAGAGTATTGACATGGGTAAGAGTTTTCTTTGCTAGGGTTTCTACTTAACTTTGAATTATTTGGTCATAAAAGCGCTTTATGGTTCGGGGTATTTTAAAAAGATCAGTCTCGTAGCTTCCCTACTGATTTCGGTTGAATTTTCGGGTTTTCAGAACAGTTTTTGTGTCTACCTAGCTAATTAAATTATGTCCGAACTATCAATATCAATTTTTAGGTAAAGGATCTTTCGCCGATTGGTATGCTAAAGCTAAACCTTTGGGTGTCCAAGAACGTTCTGATTGTTTATTCAGCCACACTTCAATGGCACAAGCACATAAGAAATGTGCGGAGAGTGGAGAAACAGCAACACCTCCAGATACTCAAGTTGAATTTCATTTTATTGCTTATTTGCATTATGGAGGACGTCTTTTGGAATTTGGTTTGATTTTAAAGTTTTTTGAAACACCGAAAAGACATTTTTGTAAAAACTTCTTGATTAGGGAATTTTTGCTTATTTTTTTCTTGATTAAAACTAGAAACAGAGACGAGATCTTGAACAAAATACCAGTTACCGATTTTGATTCCTATACTCCAAGTTTGATCTCTTAATTAAACCTCGTAGAAAAATGGGATGAAAACAAAAAAAATAGAAAAAAAAATAATAGGCAATAACTTTTATAAATTTGTCCACAAGTATTATCCGCAAGTTCTTAAATTTTTTCGGTTGAATTTTTCTTTTAATATGACCCAAAAATTCACAAAAAAAATTATTTCTACTTTTGAATTTTTAGATTCGGCACAAAACTTTCCTCGTGATTGTGGACCTACCAATCCAAGTACTTTATTGTCTGATGCTAGTAAACAATGCAAAAATCTCATGCAAAATCTCGGGGATATAGCTTGTAATGCTCTTGCTATTGTGCAAAAGAAAGGTTAATTAAAATGATTAAATGGACATGAAAATGAGCTTTATAATATTTTCTTGATGATTTTAAATAATATTTATTTAAAAATTTTTTAAATAAAACTTTAAAGGCGAGAGTCAGGAATTTTAATTAAGATTCTCCTCATTTTAATTTTGTTTTTCCTAATTTTAACTTTTCTGTGATCATTATATCTTACATGTTTTTGGTAGTTAATTCCCTATTGTCTGAAATTTTCTAAAATATTAATTGAAATAATCTCTGCTTTTCCTTTTTTGAAGAGAAAAAAATTTTAGTAAAACACATCAGGTTTGTCGGCAGTGCTTGGAAATTTCAAATTTGATCGTACTTGTAGGGCTTTAGTAAATCTAAATTTTAAATATCCTATTATAAGTTTTTGGGGAATTAAAATATCACTCATTTTCAAAAATTCAATTTAAAAATCGGTCATTAACAACCCTTGAATATGTATTAAATTACAAAATTAAACCAACATAAGGAAAAAACATTTATATATTTCAAACATTATTTACAACACCAAAAAGCATAAAATACACAAAAAATCCTAACAAAAAAATCCTAACATATTTATTAAACCTTTACATCTTCCTATATATATTATCAACAATTTTCTCAATTTGTTCAAATGTAGGCCTTTCATCCCTTTTATCGTCAAATTTCATACATGCTTCCATTAAATTACCAATAGTAACGGGCATTCCTTCAGGCTTATTTAATCTCTTCCTTTTAGCTTTGGGAACATCAATGACTTGTTCATAGACCTTTAGATAATAAAAATTTAGAATCTGAATCTTTTTCAGCATTCTTTTCCTTAATAAGTAAATAAATGGACAGAATTTTTTACTCATTTCCTCTCACTCAAAATGCATGTGACTATTTTATGGGAGGAAAAAATAAGTAAATGTGCCGTTATATTCAGACAGGGCCAAAATTTAGCAATAAAAAATAAGTCTTTAAACCCACCTTTCGCGCACTCCATTTAGCATAAGGAAATTCATATGGACGATTGAAGACTTCAAAAAGTGTTACCCCATAAGCTTAAATTCCTTTACATTTTAAAAGAAACTAGAAACCAACCATAAACATCAGTCAATTTGTCAACAGACTTGCTTCTAAATGAATCAGGATCCAACCAGCGAAGATTTGTTGGTTGGTCTGTGTCAATTGTATGTTTTTGGCCACGCTTACTTAACCCAAAATCGGCAACCTAAAGAAGTAAATAATTAAAAAAATTTTTTTCTCTCGGACAAACCTTTACAACCATATTATTTAATGTCTTCTGACGTCCATTCCAATTAATTAGTAAATTTCGAGTAGCCAAATCCAAATGCAAAAATGGAGGATTTTGTGAATGCAAATACTTCATACCTCTAGCAGCGCCAAGAATTATCTTTGTTCGCATTTTATCATCACTATCTGCTCCTTCCTCTCTTAAAAAACTGTCCACAGCTTTTCCATTGATGTATTCCAATACAATGCTGAATGGCTGAAAAAATAAAGAGATAAAAAATTTATTACAAAGTTTCCGGAATTTAGGGAGGACCATAATATCGTATATGTCTGGACGGACACATGTTTAACGTAAAAACGAAGATGCCAGTACAAATGATTGGTTATTGAAAAAGGACCCGAACACCCAGCGTTTGCCTTTTGGCGTTCATCAAAAGCAGCCAACTCCCAGAAAATATTTTTAAATTTAAAAAGAACCTTGCTATCATTAACAATCCCATAAAATCTGATAACATGTTCATTTCTTAATCCCGTCATTATACGTGCCTCTGACCACAAATTGTCTATCTGCTCTTTCTTCATATCCTTCCCAACCAGTTGTTTAATGGCTACATCAATAACTGTCCCACCATCCAACAATTCACCTTTATAGACAACTCCATAGGCGCCTTCACCAAGTTTGTCTCCAAACCAGACTTTTGCTGAAGAAAGTAACCAATGTGGGCGAAGAATTGGAGCCTCCAAACGATCACAGTCTCCTTTAAGAATTATTGCCTGTTTTGTGCACTTAAATGTTAAAAAAAAATTTTTGAAAAATAACTGAAAAATAAACCCAATAAAATTCAACTAATTCTTTAGATGTTGGTTCAGTTGATTTTTGACCTGCTAGATGCCATCCTGAATTGTTTTTTTGAAGTACAAAATTAGATATCTGAAAATAGCAACATTAATGGACTTAAGATAGAAACTAGTGGGTTCCGTTAGATTAGTGCCTAAGAGGCATTGAAAATAAGTATAGATTTTTGGAGTTTTGGCCCAAAAATCTCCCCAAGTCTTATTCTTTATTATAGTAGAATAACCTTTGCAGGACCACCATAAAGCGTCAAACTCAAAGAATCATTCTCTAAACATCGCAACATAAATTCGTTTTTATTCTTTAAAAGTTCCAAAGCATCAGCATCAGGCAAATAACCACACCAGAAAGGAAATTTTGTGTGATCCTCTTTAATATTTGAATGTTTTGCTCCCATTGGGGATTTTAGAAGAATAATTTCGAATCTGAAAATTAATAAATTATGAGACGAGAATCCGGAAAATAGAATAAGGGAAATAAATGAAGTACGGAAAACTAGTAAGAGTTGTCTTTAAATAGTATCGGATTTTAATAGTACCGGATAAGCTTATGTTTAGACAAAAATGCTTTGAAAGTTTTATAAGTAATTAGGTAGCTAATTACAATATAAATGAAATATGTACAAAAATTTAATTACTTTTATTTTTTTCTGGAAGTCTTTCCATCGCAAAAATATATATTGACGTGATGAATTAGTAAGTAAAAGCTTTAATCACTTACAGCCTCCCGTAGAGGGAATAAATGGTATGCCTTTAACATAGAGTTGTACCCCGACCCCGAACCCCGACCCCGTTCCCGAACGATTTTTTCACGATTCTCCCCGACCCGAACCCCGCCCCGAAAAAAAGTGAAAACCCCGTTCCCCGGCCCAAAAAGTTTCGGGGTTATCGGGGTTTTATACCCCTAAAAATGTCATTTTTTGGAGAAATTAATGAAGAAAATTTAAAAAATTTCCACCCATTTTACTTTGCTTTTATTATTCTTGAAAGAAAAATGAATAAAATATCATAATTTTCTTTCCTTCTTTATTAAAAGACTTGTGGCTGAGTGGCTTAGTCGTTGGTTTTAGCCGATATTTCATTAATATAGGATTGGGTTCGGATCCATTTAAGGTGAACTCTGTTGTTTTTATATTTCTTTACAAAAACAAATTATTAACGAGTTAAATTTTAATTTTAAAATATTAATTTTATTTTTAACTGATATCCCTTGAACCACCCTTAATCCTTCAAACCCTCTGTATCACCAATTCTCAACCATAACAGTTGGTAAACTATTAGGTCATGTTAACGGGAATCAGAGATATAAAGGGATTTGTAGGATATCGAAGAATTAAGGAGTTATAAAGGGATTTAAAGGGATATAAAGTTTAGATTAAAATGGATTTAAAGGATTACGTGAATTTAACGGAATTAACAAGGATTTCGTGGGAGATTTAAGGATTAATCGAAGATATCTCCTGATATCCGTCCAAATACCCTTATCCGCAATACATCAATATTCTTATAAATCACTAATATCCCTTGAACCAACAAAAATCACTCCAGATCACCTTGTATCCCTAGATATACCATTTAACCCAAAAAATCCCACTTAATCCCTCCAGATCCACTTATATACCAAGTTATACACTTTAATCCCTCCAAATCCCCTCTAATTTCTTCAAATCCTACTTAATTTTTGAATAAATCAACGAAAATATATCGATTTTTAATTATTTTTGAGCATTTTTTTCTCTAAAAATTTTTCCACTAAACCCCCGTACCCCGACCCGAACCCCGGCCATATTTTGCTCCCCCGACCCGAACCCCGCCCCGAAACAATTGGAAAACCCCGTACCCCGACATACCCGCCCCCGAGCGTTCGGGGTACAACCCTACTTTAACATCCGGCGATTCCTTTTGGAGATAAGGCTTCATGTCCAAGTTAAAGGGGAAGTCAATGGATTTACTATAATAAAAATTTAATTTTTGACGCATTCTTTTATTATTTACTTTTTGATCGACTCATCCTTATATAATCTAAGGATTTGGTTTCCTTTTTAGTTAATACTGAGCAATTTATGTATGTTTCCATTATCGTCGTGAAGTACCGTTTCAGACCAGATAAAATATGTAGTACATCCTCTAGATGGATTAAAACAGCCAGGTCGAGCTAAAATTTTCGTTGAAACAATATTTTATAGATTTTATTAAAAATTTTCTTTTTTAAAAATTTTCTTAATGAAAAAGACCTTATTTGCGCATAGGGCCAATATTTAATCGTGAATTTCTTGGTAAATGTATTTGATTTTTGTATTGAATTGTTTTTGACGTACACTGAACCGGCCTAAATCTTTTTTGAAATTTTGAAAATTTAAAAATATTGGCATTATGTTATTTTTTGTTTTTGACGTGTCTGGTGAAAACGGCAGTGGTGAATTGGGCAGTGAGTAATTTGGGCAGTGAGTGATTTGGGCAGTAAACGTTTTTTAAAAAATAATTTTACACGCAAAAACAATTTGAGTAACGTTAGAAGAATAATTTTGAGCGATTTGGGCAGTAACTTATAATTTTTAAATTATTTACACAAAAATTCAAAGAACCGCACCCTTTTTCATTTTGATAACGTTGTAGGTACAACATTACCCTTTGTTGAAATCGTCTTGGTCTCAATTTTGACGTAGATTTAAGGTTGAAAAATTGAGAATTCCTATTTTAAGTTTTTAGGTCTCAAGATAGGTTCAAAATTTCTGAAAAAGGTCAAAATATTGTAGGTTTGGAAAAATATGTTCAAATTTTGGATTTACTTAAAATTAAATAAAAATTTTCGGAATTTTTCTTATCAATTTTAAATAATTTAAAAATTATAAGTTATTTATTCTTCTAACGTTACTCAAATTGTTTTTGCGTGTAAAATTATTTTTTAAAAAACGTTTACTGCCCAAATCACTCACTGCCCATATCACTCACTGCCCAATTCACCACTGCCCAAATCACACGGCACCGTTTTTGATTTGTTCTTGAATTTTTTCTGAAATAATTTTATTTTTTTTTTAGATTTATTTTTAAACTTTTTTCATTAAATAGAATTATTTAAAATATTTTTTATTTAGTTTTTATTAACAATGTCATCTAATTTACTGGATTTGCTTTCAATCTCTCAAAATTTCGATCCATTAACAATTACTCAAAATGTGGATATTTTATCATTTTCCCAAAATATGGAGATTTTAACTAAAGCAAATTTTGAGGTCAACAAGATTATTATTAAAATGGCTAGGTATTTTTTATAATTAATTTTAAATTTTTTTAATAAATTTGTTACCCCATTTAAAGGAAAATTTTTTAATCCTGGCAGACTTTTTTATTTTCTTTCTTTTTTTCAAAATAAAGGAGAGGAATTAGTGTTATTAAAGAAAGATCTTGGCCGTGGCAATTTTCAATTATACTAAATCAGGGCCCATACATTTTTTGTCTTCCTTTAAGTTTACCCATCTTTAATCCAACAAGGAAACATCTTGAACTGTAGCCAAAATTTCACATTTTTTTGCACCATCGTGTAGAGCAGTGTCGATAACCTAGTGTTAATTTTTGGCTTTTTTGGTCCTGACCCCCAAATAAAAGTTATAAGGCTTCAAAGTTCATATTTAAAGTTAAAAATCTCCGAGGAAAAGGAATGGTTACTAGAGATCGGAACGGGATCGGGACCCGGTCCCGTTTCCCGGTTTCCCGGTCCTTTTTCCCGGCTTTTTTGAAGATGCCGGGATGAAACCGGGATCGGGAATTCCCGGTTTTCCCGGTCCGGGTCCCGGCCGGTTAATTTTCATTTCCCGTTTCCCGTTCCCGATCCCGGCTTTTTTCGGACCGGGAAACCGGGAAAAATTCTGGCAGCTAATTTTTAATATTTTTGCTTGGCGTTTTGATTTTTGACTTAAAAATATTGGAGATTTTACAAAAATTCTCAAAATTTTCGCCTGCGGCGCTGAAAACGGAAGAAATTTGGCTGTTTGGCCTTCCAAAATTCTCAAAATTTTCGCGGAAGAATTTGGAACGGAGAAAATTGGAGGTATTATTGGAGGAAAAGTTGAGGAAAATTAGTGTATAGTGCGATTTTATCAAGGGACCTGGTGTAAGCCATCTTTATCCCTCTAAATCCATTAGATCTGCCTTAATCATCTGATATCATTGGCTTCCAATTGAAGGGATTTGAATAGATATCAGGTGATATAGTTGGTTGGAGGTCTCCACAATCTCTCTTAATGCTACCCAACAAATACTTGAATCTCTTGATATCTCTTTTAATCCTGATATCACTATTACACAGAGATGATCAGAGTGGATTTGGAGGGATTAAATAAAAATTAAAATTAAATCAGCATCAAGGTGGATTAGGAGGGATTAAAGGGAATTAGATGAGGAATACATATAGGCGATATAAAAAATTTGAGGAGGCTATCGGGAGATCTTAAACTCCATAATCTCCTAATATCCCACAATCCTTCTCTAGTCTCTCAAATCCCATTAGCCCTACGTAATCCGCTTTATGTTTTAATTTATTGTAATTTACATTTGTTTTATTGATTTATTTTACTGATTTATTAAATTCTTCTATTTATAAATCAGATTTTTCAATAAATAACTACTCCCATAACTTTTTAAAATTTTTAAATGAATTTAAAATTTTTTTTAAATTTCCCGGTTTCCCGGTCCGGGTCCCGGTCATTTTTGACCGGGATGAAACCGGGAACGGGAATTCCCGGTTTTCCCGGTCCGGGTCCCTCCCGGTCGACCTTCAGAACCCGTTTCCCGTTTCCCGGTCCCGGTTTTTTCAAAATTCCGATCTCTAATGGTTACATCATTTCTCCCAAGCTTTCCTTTATTTCCCTCCATTTCCCTTCCTCATGCTTTATTTTGAATTCAAATTTTTCTCTCCCTCATTTATTATTTTAGAGCATTTAAACAAACGGCGGAATCAATTAATGATTTGGAAGGTCGTCATTGGTCTTTTGATGGAAATATTAACACAACAAATATTCTTGGTGGTCAAAAAGAGTCATCTGGTCCAAAAAATCCAGAACTTTACAAAACTCAATGGTGTCGCAATATGTTGTTGAATGGAAATTGCAGGTTTTTTTTATTCTTTTAGTGGTTATTAGGCTAGTAGTTGGGAGAGAAAGTTTTTAATTTTCAACAAATTTTCTCTCCCTATTGGTAAATACAGAAATTAATTGGCGTTGTGGAAGCTTTTTGAAATGTATTTTTGAGTGAATAGTCCCACGCCCTAGAAAATTTTGGGTAAAATGTCTACCGCTTTATCCTCAAATTTCTAAAATAAATCTAAATGTTTCTACTCTCCCTGGAAACGAAAATTAAATTTTGTTTAATTAAAAAAAACAAAATTTTCAGTTTTGAAGATAAATGCTGGTTTGTTCATAACAGCTCAGAGCTTAGAAGTGTTCCACAATTAAACAAAACAATTAATGTCGCTCCATTATTTAATCTTTCTTCGTCTGCTCTTTATAATCGTCGAATTGGTCGTTTTTGATTTTTTTAAAAATTAAAAGAAGGAATTGAAATGAAAAACTCGCAAACAAATTTTTTTCGTTTTTTGGTATTCACTTTTAATATTTTTGGATTTTTAAAAATTATTGGCCCCCAAAAATTAATACAAATTTACATTTTATTAAATACTCCCCTCATTTGATTAATCATTACTTTTATTGTCACAAACATTTAAAAAAAATTTTTTTATTAAAATTTGTTGAGAAAATTGTGTTTAATTTAAATTTATTAAATAAGGAAAATTTTAAAGAAATTTGGATTGGGATTGGATTGCCTTGTAAAATTTTAGATTAGGAGACAGAAAATTCAATCCAAGACAAAAATGTTATCCTTTATATCCCCATTATTAGAAGCTAATTAAAGTAGGGCTTCGAATATCAATCTAACCACTTGACCTGCTTTACAATACGAAATGATATTGAGGAGTGTTTACCTTTTAGAGCAATAGACATGACCTATTTTTGTTAATTTTTCAATTTTCTCTTTTAGGAGAATCTGTAGAGGCAACAAAATTTGCTTTGTTTTTCTTTTGTTTTTTCGTAGATCGTTGTTTTTAGAGACGTCCATAGTCGATTTAAATTGTTGTAGAACTTTTTGTTCACCCAATCTTTCCACTCAAGGCTATCATAGATATTCTTTATTTCTAATGTCGAACACTTTTTAGCTGAAAAAAATATTTTTAAAAACATTTTTTATGTCCTTTTTAACTTCAAAAAATGTCATTTTTAATTTTTTTGCAAAGAAATTGACGATTAAATAAAATTCCCTTGCGACAAATATTTTTTTACAAATAAAAACATATTCCTTCCTCTCTTTTTAAAGTAAATCTCATCTTTCCAATATTTTTTTCTACTCATTTTCAGCCTTTTTTCCATTACTTCTTCAAAATTCCCAATGGTGCATTTGCCCTTATTTTTACGTAAAAAATAAAAATATTTAACGGTAAAAATGCCGCCTATCCAAGTAAGGAGCTTTTAAATTATGGGAAAATATACTTATATCCTCTCTCCAGAAAACATCTTCAAAACATTTCAACTTAAAAGAAGTGCCACATAATATAATTTACTTTAATTTATTATACTTCGATCATTTCCGGGGGTTTTCTTTTCACTACCTCTAAGATTTTCTGTGTTAATGTTTCAATGTTTAAACTGAGCGTTACAGAAAAAGTATCGTTTAGAAAAGATTTTGCTATAAGGAGTGGGCAAGGGAGTCTTGAAAATATCAAATTCCTCAACTTTCAGGGAGGTGGTATATAATTTACTATACTTCGATCATACACTTCGATCATTCCCTTTTTGAAGCTAAGAAACCTGGTTTTGCAAAAATATAAATATATCCTATTTCCGGGGGCTAAAGCCGGCGATTTGATTTCAAATAAATTTGCTTTTAATTAAAAATTTTTTAAATAAATTATCTCTTGCAGAAAAAACCAAAAATGTTGTTAGATTGTGTTAGAGAAATATTTCACAATTTTAATTGATAAAGAAAAGAATAAATAAATAAAATAATTTCAATTGATAACTAAAAATCAAAAAAATATTTTCTAAAGAATTTCCTTTCTAAAATTATTTTTCAATACTTCATCTGTTCTTAAAAGTTTATTTAAACATTTTGGGTAATTAATTCAATTAAAATTTATTTTTTATTAAAAACAACTGACCTTTCTCTCTTTTATTTTTTTTCAGTTTTTTCTATTTTTAATTATTTAAAAACAACAAAAACATTTGTTTTTAAATTAAAAAATGTTTCTTTTTCTTGTTCAAATTAAAAGGATTATTTTCCAAAGAAAAAAATTTCTTTAATTTCAGGGTTTATTTAAACTAAAACATCAACAAAATGACTGTTAAAAATCAACTTACAACATTCTCTTCAGACAAAGTAAAAGTTGCTGTTAGAGTACGTCCTCTTTTAAACAAAAAAGGTAAGAAATTAAAAAAAAATTTTTTTCAAAAAAAATTTTTTTTTTCAGAAAAAACCAAAAATGTTGTAAAAATATCCAAAAATTCAATTATTCTTTCCCACCCAAATGATGTCGATTCTACAAACACAAAACAATTTGGTTTTGATTTTTGTTTTCCTTCTACTCAACAACTAGAATGTAAATTAAAATTAATAAATTTTTTTAAATTAAAAATTTCGAAGTTTCTTTCCTTTTTGGTGTACAGTCTAAGTAGGCGCGCGGCCATAACGGCGCAAAGCCATAGCCTGCTTCAACTTGTCTGAATCTTACCAAATTTAGTATTTTTCAGTCTCTTATCGAGCTAAAGAGATTGGTACCAAAATTAATAATCTAATTTGCTAATTTTCCTTCTCTTTTGACCGGCCATTTTCTTCTATATTTTCCCTCTTCCTTCCTACCATAAAGGATATTTTTTCCCATTTCCAACCTAAATTAAATAAAACTTCTCATTTTTCTAACAATTTTCTTTAGTCAATCCAAGCATTGCCAGTACTTCTTCCTCTTCATTTAATTCAACTTTATCTTCCCAACAATTTAATACTAATTTATTGGAAGGAACACAAGAACATTTATTTGAAACAATTGGAATTGATGTAGTAAATAATGCCTTTTGTGGATTTAATACTTGTGTTTTTGCTTATGGACAGACTGGTAAGGGAGGGGGGAGGGGCTTTTTTTTCGAATTTTTTAGGTTCTGGAAAGTCATACACAATGATGGGAACAAAAGAAGAGCCGGGTATTTATTTATATTTAAAAATTTGTTTAAAAAAGTTTATTTAAAAGGTTTAATTCCTCGTTTATGTAAAGAACTCTTTCAACGAATTAATCAAAATCCAACCAATATTAAAGTCGAAATTTCTTTTTATGAAGTTTATAATGAAAGAATAAGGGATTTGTTAAGGTTTGTTTTTTAAATTATTTGTTAAAATTAATATTCTTTTGGTTTTATTTGAGAGGGAAAGTTATTTTTCTTTTTTTTTGGGGTGAGAGGTCAGAGAGGGGGAGTGGATAATTGAGCTTATGAATTGTTAGGATTCTCCCTCACTTTAATACCAATTTTTTATCGAATTATTTGTCTGCCCCACCATTTTAATTTAGAGAAATCTCCAATTAATCATACATTTCTAAATTTGATACAATTTCTTTAACTTATTTCTTTAACTCCAACAGTTTCTAATTTAAAAACTCATTTAAATTTCCATTTTTTAGCAACTCAAAACTCTTAAAAGTCCGAGAACATTCCCTTCTTGGTCCAATAGTTGAAGGTCTTTCAATCTTTCAAGTTACTAATGTTGAACAAATTAACCGATTTATTTTAATTGGAAATAGACAAAGAAGTACAGCAGCTACTTTAATGAATGAACAAAGCAGTAGAAGTCACAGGTTTTTATTTGAATTTAAAAAGAATAATTATTTTTCAGTGTTTTTTCAATTAAAATTACTCAAATAGTTGTTGCTGTAGAAGACAAAAATGTGAGGAAAAATTTATTTTGTTATTTAAATTTATTTTTTAGTTTACTGGGGAAACGGTTAGCAAAATATCTCTTGTTGATTTGGCTGGAAGCGAAAGAGTTCAAAAAACAGGTTTGATGAGAAACATTTTCTCATTATTAAAATTTAGTACAAGCTGATTATACCAGATCAATTTTTTTCTGGGTTTCTCAAAATGGGTTGGGTGTTTGGGCCCTTAAAATTGGGATATCTAAAAAATTTTCTGGAATCGCCAGCCCTATCCATATCTTTGCGAAAATAATTGTTATTTTCGGTTAATTGGCATTTCCTGATAACATGTCATCCAATGATAAAAATATTTTTCCAAATTTTATTTAAGGTGCAATAGGAAAACGATTAGAAGAGGGCTCAAACATTAACAAGTCATTAACTGCTTTGGGGAAGGTTATTGCTGCTCTAGCTTCAAATAAAAACAATGGAAATACGACACAACCAAAAGGAGGAACGAACAACAAATATTTTGTGCCGTATAGAGACAGTGTGCTTACTTGGCTTTTGAAAGAAAATTTGGTAAAATTTAAGATGAAAATTTTGAAGGAATTAAAAGAAAACTTTCGGGATAGAATGTCCCTCAAATTTGCAAAAATTATCTAAAAAATTTTTTTAATTTCACAGGGTGGAAATAGCAGAACAACAATGATTGCAACAATTTCCCCGTCTTCAGAACATTATGAAGAGACTTTGTCTACCTTGAGATTTGCTGATAGAGCTAAACGTATTCAAACAAATGCTGTTGTTAATGAGGTTTCTAATTAAATTCTTTTGATTTTTTAAAATTTGTTTTGAAGTTTTTTGACGAATAAAAGAAAATACTTTATATTTCCTAAAATTTCGGAATAAAAATTAAATTTATGAAGAATTTTGAATTTCTGAAGAGATTAAAAATTTTTTTCCAGGATCCAAATGCCAAAATAATACGAGAACTTCGGGAAGAAGTTGAGAGATTAAAATTACTTAACCAAACAACACAAGAAAAACAACAAGAAGTTTTACAAGAAGCAATGGCACAAATAGCAGAGCAACACAATAGAGAAAAACAATTAGCTTTGGAAAAGCAATATGAAGAATTTTCTGAATATATTAGGGATTTGTTGATTAATGCACAAGTTTGTTTTTAAATTTGAAGACTTTATTTGAGGATCTATTGAGAAATTTTTGCGAATTTTGATTTTTGAAATTTTGAATTAATTTATATGTAACTTATTTTTTTGGAAAAATTATCCTTACGTTTTCAGTCTCCATCTTCTGTAGCAGCAACCCCTTCCGGGCAATTTAATGGTTTTTCTCAATTTTGTGATAATGAAAATATTAAAAACGACAAAAATAAATTTTTGGAGTGGGCTAATGAAAGGTTAGTAATTTTAATAGTTGCCTCCCTTTCAATTTGTTTGGTTCCTTACTGTCCAAGATTTTCGAATATCAACCTAGAAAATTCTGCGATAGAGTTGAAAGCCTGACTATAATTTTTTATATTTGATTATTAAAATGGTTCAAAATTGGTTTAATAAAATCCTGGTTGTTTTTTTCGTTTTAGAGATCAATTATTCACAGCTAGACTAGAATATTTACAAAAATTAATTCAACAAGCAAATAAACTTTGTTCTGATGCAAATCTTTTATCAGAAATGTTTGCAAGAATTTTTAGAAAAAATGCTCGAATATATTATTCTGTTAATTTACATATTCCAATAAATAATTTGAAGCCGTCTTTTTTGAATTTTAAGGTTTAATTTAATTTTAAAGTTTTTTAAAATTTTTAATAAAAATTCAGACATTTCGAAAGAATTCATTAAATGAAGAGGAAGAAGAAAATAACAATTCTGAATATTTTAATTGTATTTGTGAACCTGTAATTTTGGCTGTTTGGGGGCAAATAAATAAAAATAATAAAAATTGTTTTTCTAAAGAAGTTGCTAATGGAGCTTTTCAACAATTTAGTATTGAAGAAATTAATGTAAGGGTATTTTTTTTGAATAATTTTTTTTTCTGATTTTTAGTTAAAATTAGAAGAAATGAGAGAAGCAATTTCAACAGCTTCTTTAAATTCTAATTTAACGACAATAAATGATGGATTAAATAAATGGGATGAAATGGAGGAATTGGAATGTAATTGCAATAAACGTTCATTTATTTTGGTAATAATTAAGAATTATTTAGAAAATTTTTTTTAATTTTTCTCTTCAGTGGAACGAATTTAAATTTTAAAATCAGGCTTAAAAAGGAATTTAATTTTAAATAATTTTTCCAAAAATGTTTTTTGACTCATAATCACTCCAAACAACAAATTTTTTCTTTCAAAAAATATTTTAAAAATTAATTTTTTAGCAAAAACAAAGTCTTGTCGGCGTTGCAAATGTTTATTTGGGTGCTTTATTACACAATTTAACTTCTCCAATGCAAACCCAAGTTTTAATTATTAATCAACAGGGAGAGATTAGCGGTAAGAATTAAACAAAAACACGTCAATTTAGTTTTTAAAGGAAAACTTTTTGTTCAAATACACAAAACTGCTTTGTTAAGTACTAGTGAATCGTCAGAATCTATGGAATCCTATGATAAAGAGGAGGCGGAAGATGTTATTTTAGAAGAATTAAATGAAGGAATTGAAAGACAATTACTTGGTCAATCGATTGTTGCGAAGGTTTGAAAAATAATTTTTTGTGAGAATTTGAATATTTTTGGGAATGCAGTTCATTCAAACTAGGGTTGTTTTTGAATCGTGATTTTGAGTCATTTTTTCGAATCTAATCCAATTTCCATATAATCCCACCTTTTTTTAGTTTTTCTCTAATTCAAAAGAATCGGAAAATTAATTTAAAAAAAAGACAAAATATAAATAAACCCAACCATCTTTCTTTTTTTTAAGGTAGAAATTTTGAAAGCAACAAATTTACCTTTAAATCAATCTCACCTTGTTTTTTGTCAATATTCATTTTTTGATCAGCCACAATTAATAATTCCAAGTATTACAAATGTAGAAGAAGATACGCAAAGTAGTAGAGATACTCCCAGCTCTTCAGATGTTTATTTTAACTCGAAAAATGTTAGAAAAATAAAAAAAAATTTTTTGGGTTATACAGTCCAGCCTTTTTAATAAGTAGATGCCCCCAATAGTAGATACACTTTTATTTAAGATAAACATCCAATTAAATACGCCACTCATTATAGGGTACGAGTTTTTAGTCCCAAAGGGGTATTTATAAACGTGATCTGCCTTAATAAAAAATAATTTTTTAAGGAATTTGAATTAGTTTTTACACAAACATTTTTGGATTACATACAAGAAGAAGCACTTTCCATAGAAGTTTGGGGACATAAAAGGCCTTTAGATGATGAAGAAGAAATTGAGGAAAAAGTACAAAAAGAGAAGAATTATTTGAATAATTTTGTTGAACAAAAAATGCAAATACTTCAAGAACGTTGGAAAGAAGTTACTAAAAGATTGGGTAAAAAATTTAAAAAAATATTTCTTAATATGACTCGGGGAAAGTAAAAGGAGGGCAAATCTATGCCTACTTGTTAATTTTAAATTTCAGAAATATTTTGTGAAATTCTTGAATTGAACGATGTTGGAGAATATATTCCAGTTAATGTCGATACAGAAAATAATTGTGGAAGTGGAGGGATTTATCGGTAATTTTTTGGAATTTTTGAGAATTTTTTAAAATAAATTATTTTCAAAAAGACTTCGACCCGGCCAACAACGCCGTCTACGTCTAACAATATCTTCTCTTGAAGAAAATGGTGGTTATTTGCCTTTACATTTAGAAGATGTTTGTAAAGTTTCAGTTGGTTCTATAATTTTAAATGAAGAAAAAGAAGAAAAAAATGCAAAAAAATTATTGGATAGTTACCAAGAAAATGATTTAATTAAAATTGGAAATCTTTGGAGTAATTTACTTTTAAAAAGAGAAAAATATTTACAAAAAGAATTGAAATCTTTAAATAATTTTGAAGAAAAAGAAAGAGAAAATTCTTTATTTTTATCTTGGATAGAATTAATTGAAGAAAGAAATGCTTTGTCTTTACCTACAAAAGAAGGAATTCCTGGTGCTTTAATTGATTTAATTAATTTGGAAGGGTTTGAAAAATATTGTCCAATTATTTTTTTGGACAGAAAAGGTTCTTATTTAAAAATTATTTTTAATTTTTATTTTAAAGAAGAAAATGAAATTAATTTAAATGAGGAATGTGAAGACGAAAATATGTCTATTATGGGAGATGATTGTTTACTTTTGGTTGAAAATACAGGAGAAGATGACAATTTGGAATTGGTTATTACAGAAAAGGATATAAATCAAGTATTTTTTTGGGTTTTGGGGTTTATTTAACTGTAGAAGAAGGCTTTTTTAAATTAAAGTTTTGCCTCCTCTTTGTTAATATATATTGCGTCTCCTTTATTCAAATCTGGCAAGTTCTTTAGTTTTTCTGGATTGTAGGTAGCTAATCTGGGGGTAAACGAATTATAGAAGATGGAGGGTGTCCAAGTCAGGGATATTTATCTAAAGGGAAATAAGGGACTTCTAGTCCGCCTCATCGTTTTCCATTAGCCTCTGCAGCCTTTCTATATTTTATTATTTAAATTTTTTAGACTCGCTTTTCTGTAATATGTCCGTGGGATAGCTCTTTACATGAATGTTCTGCAATGAATCGAGAATCAAAAATTGGGGAATATATTTATGTTATTGTTAAGGTTTTATAAATTTTTTTTAATTTTTAATTTACCTTCTCTTTTTAGGTTTATATTAAAATATCCCAACCAATCAACGCTTGCTTAGTTTTGAGAAAACGTTTATGTCTTCAATTTATTTCTTGTGAACAACGTTCTCAAAATTTATCAACAACTCGTTGGCATTCCCTTTTCTTTTCTTCTTGGCCTTTAAGTAAAAATGGTTCGAAAATTTATATAATTCTTTCCAAAAACATTTTAACCTTTCCAAATAAATTTTGAGTGTCAAAGTAAAGCTGTGGGTTTTAGTTTGTATTCGGCTTATTTAGGGATTTAATGTTGTTAATAGGGATATTGGGGATATGAGGATTAACACTTAAAACAACTGATCACAATGGATTTTAATATTTCTAATTCTAATCTATCTATTAAATCATCCTTTTGCATCTACAATTACCTAAAATTCATAAAATATTATTTTTAGAATTAAATCAAAATGAAAAGGAAGAAGAAATAATTAAAAAAGAAGAAAAACGTATTGGAACTGGACTTTTTGTGGATTTAATCGGTTGTATACCAAAATGTACACTTGAAATGGAAAAACGTGAAATACTTGCAAAATTAGCCATTAAAAATATTAATTTAAAAGAAATTGGAGAAGATGAAAAAGAGGAGGAAGGAAAAGAAGAATTTATTGAAAGTGTGAAAAATCAACAACCAATTCACTTAAATAAATATTTAAATGAGTATCTATCAAAAACTATTCAAAATGTTGAATGGCTAATTAAGGTGGAGAAATTATTATTATTTTTATATAAATTACATAAAGTTTGGGGACTGAATTTAATGTTTGACCGATTTCTTTAAAAATAGTTTCAAGTTAAAATCGAGCTTCTAAAAGTTAATGAAATTTTTTTAAAAATACTCGTTGATGTTAACAAAGTCTTGTAATTGTAGAAATTTTAGTTGTTATTTTCTAAGATATAGTAAAAAGTTATTGTTGGGGATCTTTTTCTTCACCATAAATATCCCTAAAAATATTTAGTCAAAAATTTCAAAATTTTCGAAGGGAATCATAAGCTGTAAGAATTTCAGTTTAAGTATACGCTTCTATCCATACTTCCTTCAATAATTTATTTATAGATGGATAGACTTAGACAAGAAGAAGCAATTAATTCATTAATATCCAAATCAAAAAGAATTTATTTAAAACCAAGTTCAAGTTCATACAACACAACAACAATGGAAAATAATTTTTTATTGTCTTCACAAATGAAGAGAACAATTTCTTTGCCTAATAAAATAAGCAATGTTGGTTGAATTTAAATTGGTTTTTTTGATTGATAAATTATTAAATGAACTTTTAAAAATTATTTTACTCTTGTAAAAGGAAAATTTCGGTTTTTAGGGTGTTATCTTTAATTTGGGTGTTTTTGGATTTTTTATTTCCGAAAAATGTTAATTTAAATTTCTCTTATTTATTTCTAAATTTTAGTTTTTTACACCACCTTCAAGTTCTTTTAATAAATCTTCAAATCACCACAAAATAACACAAAAACAATCCAAAATTAACAACAATAAATATTTAATTAATCGACTCCCAAAAAGTCAAAGTCAAAACGAAGGATTTAATTTTGTTGATTCTCCTGACTCTCCAAATTCTTCTGGTTATGCTTCTTTAGGTAAATATTTAGTACAAAATTTAATTTAATTGAAATTAAATTTAAAATCAATTATATTTTTTAAAGCAAGCAGCTCTGCTGGACAGTTTAATTTACGTCTAACTGGAATTGAAGAAGAAGAAAATCAAATGAATGTTTCTGCTGCTGGTGATTATTTTAATAATTAAAGAGAAAATTAGGGAATCTCTGTAAACAAATGAGATCTTCTCTTCTTGCATTTTCTGTCTCTCCTTTTTCTAGATAATGGATTATAAAATAAAAATATTTTTTTTTCTTTTTTAGTTTCTCCGCATTTAACGACAAATAATAACAAAAACGAAAATAGTTTAACTACTTGTTGTGAAAACAAACTCTTTTCTCCAACAACGACAACAAACTTCTTTCAAACAAATACTAGCAGCAGTTGCCAATTAAATATTTCAACAAAAAATAATTTTAATAACAACAAAAATTTTTTTGCAAATAAAAAGAAGAGTAAAAGAAAACAAATTGACAACAATTTATTTTTGAATAGAAATGAATTTTTGTTTAATTAGAAAAAGTATAGTTAGATTTTTTAAATATACCTAACTTATAAATTTTTTCATTGACAACAAGTATTGAATAATTTTTGAAATCTATAACGAGATTATTAATTTCCTATTAATTAATTTATAACAATAGCTGATAAAATAGATTTAATAATGATAAAATTTAAATGAATAAAATAAAATTCAACAAATAAAAGTCAAGAATGCCAACAACATATTTAAAATAAATATAATGGAAGAATAATTAGGGCTCGGATTATCTTTGAAATAATGAAACATATTTTGGCTTGCTTTTTTAGTCATCAGGGTGGTTTTTTCCTAAATAATTTATCTAAAAAAGATTAAAAAATAATTTACATCTTTACTGCTTTCAATTCCAGCTTACTAACTTTCGTATCATCATATAGATGCCATTCTTTGGGGTTGTTTATATTTTTTACGTCTGCGCGGCGCCTCCAATGTGTATCTTAAAGGGGAGATTGGATTACAAGTATGGAGAAATGCGTTTTTGCATGCGGATATGCTTAATATGGGTATTTTTACATTGATATGTACACTTTAGGGCCCGGTTCTTAATGTATTTCATCTAAAATAGCTCCGCTAGAGGTCGATCGGAAAACAGCCCCCGTGGGTATTTTATAGGATTTACAGTATATTTGTATATTTCGGTCTTGTGCATATTCGGATATCGATGCATCATTATTAACGTGGTCTAAAATATGTACGGAAATCGCCAAATATTTGCTATTAAAAAATCGCCAAATAATGCACCGTAAAAGCCCAAAATATGCAAAATTTATTCAAATAAGCACTAAATATGCAGCAAAAAATAGACAGTAATTTAGCCCTTAAAGACGTAATTTAGCCGTGTTTTGCATGCGGATATGTTTAAATTGGGTGTTTTTACCTTTAAAATTGCAATAGAAGATCACTCCTACTAAAAGATTCTATCGACTTTAAATTTCTGAAAAAAAAATTTTTGAAAAAATTTTTTACTAAAAAATTCCAAAATTTTGACCAATTTTTGGCAAAATTTTACAAAAAATGACGAAATATGGACAGAACATGCAAAATTACCAAACATACACAACAGGACCAAAATCTGCATTATTATTTTTCTTTCGTTACTGAGGGTGGGGACGGGGAACAACCCTAATATTTAATTTTTACTGCATAGGGAATTTTGCACATTTTGGTGATATTTGGTCTTTCTTGGTGATATATATATATTAAGCATATCTTGCGATTTTCAGTAATTATTTTGTAGTCCCTAATTATAAGCTATTATATTTAGGTCTGTTTTTTACTATCAAAAACTAATCACTCACAACTATTCCATATAGTGAATATTTGCAATTTGTCTTATCTGAATCCTGATGTAAATATGCCCCCATATCAAGGTCTTCGAGTGGGTAGTCAATGTGGAAACTAAAAATAAATTTTAATTTATCATTACTCCCTTTTATTGATATTTACTGCTTTGTTGACGTTTGTCTCTCAAGTCTAATGACGAGAATATCTGGGATCATCCAGATATGGGTATTCAGCGTGTTTTGGTTGCCGCAGTTAATACAGGGTACCATGAATGGGATCGAGCACTTGTCCAACAAGTTGACGATATTTTTATTATCATCATCTGGCTGGATTGGTAAACAAATTCCGAACTTAAACAAAAATATGATTAAAGTTTTTTACATATCAAATTTCCAATTTTTAAATTAAATTATTCTCTTTACATATATGTAAGTAGGGTTATTTAATAAAATAGGTGATTTGGGAATAATAATTTTTTACCTCATTTGGATTGGCGGTAATTATGTCGGCTGGAATTCTTATCAGCTTTAAAAAATTATCAGCGTCCTATCAGCATTAAAAATTTATTTTTTTAATTCAAATGGAAATACACAAGAAATTTAAAGAAAGTTAATGTTGACTGGAGGTATTAAAAAATCAAATGTCTTTTGAAAGCAAAAGAGCCCCTCAGCCTTTTTAGTTCTTAACGCTGATAGGATTTAATAAAAACGATTTTTCAAAGTCCGCAAAAGAGCCCCTCAAACTTTTTTCGAAAAAGGATTATAATTTAATTAATTTCTCTTCATTAAAAAGGTGATTAAGAATGAGAAAAAGAGTTAGACAGTGAAAGGTTGTTCTGAATTTTTGTTAATGATATTGTTCTAATATTTTAAATATAAGCTAAATAATTTTTTAAAGAATAGAGATATGATTAGATATGAATGAGAGAAAATAGGAAATATAAAGGAGAAGTCTTAGAGAGATATTTTTAAATAAAAATTTAAATAATTTACGTGTTGTTGGAAGGTTTTTGTGTTTTGCGGACAAGTTGGGCAATCATAGATTTTTGTAATAATAATGTGGAATAGGTCGCTAATGATGGAGGAGGCACATCTGTGTTGGTTTTTTAAATATCGCATTGCACAAACACTCATAGTATCATTTGAAGTGTAATTTTTTAGACCAAAGTCAAGTTAATGATATTGTTCTAATATTTTAAATATAAGCTAAATAATTTTTTAAAGAATAAAGATATGATTAGATATGAATGAGAGAAAATATGCAGTATAAAGGAGAAATCTTAGATATTTTTAAATAAAAATTTAAATAATTTACGTGCTGTTCAAATGTCTTTGTGTTCTGCGGGCAAGTTGGGCAATTAAGTCTTTGTAATAATAGTGTGGAATAGGTCGCTAACGATAGATGAGGCATATTTATGTTGGGCTGCTAAATAATTCGTTGCACAAATTTTCATTGTATCAGTTGAAGTGTCGTTTTTTACACCAAAGTCAATCGGATATGAGCCCTATAATTTTCAAAGGTAAATAAAAAATTTGGCACTCTTTAGTTATGCTACACCCCAATTAGTCCAGTAACGATGGCCTTAAATAAATTCACTTTAGGGTGAGGTTTTATTGCTAAATAATTGTTTTTTCACTCACTAATAATCAGTTTAATAATTAATAGTTTGTAAATTAGTTACAAATTTATTACTTATTATTTCCAATTAATTAAACAGTCAATATCTAATGTACCTATATATTTTTGGGGATATATACAGTAGAAAGATGGGAGAATACTTAAACACATCTTGTATTTAGGGTACAACACACAATTTTTTCAGCCCTTGGAAAAGTATCCAATTATTGAAAAATAAAAATTTATTTTACAAGCCCGTAAAGAGACTTAAAGATAAACCTAAAAATTCTTTTTAGTTTCCATGGAAAAGATAGGGAGGAGAGTTAAAATAAAGGGTGCCGGAATTTTCGTCTCTGGAAATTTCGTCTCCAAGACTTTTCGGAACTTTCGTCTCCAACATTTTCGGAATTTTCGTCTCCAGCGGAATATTCGTCTCCAATGAAATAAACGGAATATTCGTCTCCACAATTTTCGTCTCCGCTAGGAATTTTCGTCTCCAGAGGAAAATTTTCCCGTTGACGGAACAGCCTCCCCCGCTGACGGAACAACATCCCCCGTTGACGGGGACTATCCCCCGTTGACGGGGACTATCCCCCGTCGACGGAACAACTTCCCCCGTTGACGGAACGACATCCCCCGTTGATGGAACACTATCCCCCGTTGACGGGGACTTTCCCTCACTGACGGAACAACATCCCCCGTTGACGGGGACTTTCCCTCACTGACGGAACAACATCCCCCGTTGACGGGGAAGTTGTTCCGTCAGTGAGGGAAAGTCCCCGTTAACGGGGGATAGTGTTCCATCAACGGGGGATGTCGTTCCGTCAACGGGGGAAGTTGTTCCGTCGACGGGGGATAGTCCCCGTCAACGGGGGATAGTCCCCGTCAACGGGGGATAGTGTTCCATCAACGGGGGATGTTGTTCCGTCAACGGGGGAAGTTGTTCCGTCGACGGGGGATAGTCCCCGTCAACGGGGGATAGTCCCCGTCAACGGGGGATGTTGTTCCGTCAGCGGGGGAAGTTGTTCCGTCGACGGGTAAATTTTCCTCTGGAGACGAAAATTCCTAGCGGAGACGAAAATTATGGAGACGAATATTCCGTTTATTTCCTTGGAGACGAATATTCCGCTGGAGACGAAAATTCCGAAAATGTTGGAGACGAAAGTTCCGAAAAGTCTTGGAGACGAAATTTCCAGAGACGAAAATTCCGTACACCAAAATAAGAGAATAGACTGGATTTGTTTAAAACAATAAAAATTATATTAATATTGCTTGATCCTCACTAATTTTGATACTAGAGGGAAGGAGGGGGGGGAGGAATCGAGGTCTTACCCTATTAACATCTTCAGATAATTTGTTAATTAATGAAAGAACAAAAAAATGTGCATCATGTTCTTTATAGCCGTTAAAATCGGGATTAATCGTTCTTGCAAAGGTTTCCTAAAATAAAAACTCTTCTAAAATTCTCCTACTTTTAGTTATTACCATAAGTCTAAATGTATGTATAAAACTGTATTTGCTTGACCAATAGGCAACAAATAAAGCACTGACAGCTCCAGTCAGTGCACCATTTGTACCAAAAGGGTTATTTAAATTAACAAAGAATCTGAGTGAATTTTTGTAGTATAATTCGGCAAATGCACTGAAATAGCCCAAAATATGAACCAAATTATGCCAAATTTCCTAAAATACGAAGAAAAATAATTATTATTTGCTTTAAATAAATATTTTAAGAAAAACACAGATTCAACTTTTAAAATTGCAATTTAACAGTACTACTAAAAGATTTAATTGAATTAAAATTTCTGTTAAAGATGAATAAAATTTCCCCAAAAAAATAAAAATTTTTTTGACCAAAAAATTCAACCCAAAAAAATTCAACATTTTGAAAATTTTATCCAAATTTTTTCCAAGATTAAAAAACCCGAATTATGGACTAAAATATGCAAAGTTTCCTAAAATATGCAAGAGAGGGCCGAAATATGGAAATATTTGCATTAAGAACCGGGTCCTAAGGTGATCGAACCAATGTAAAAACTCCATTCTATGCATTTGCATGTTTTTCCCAGCCCTACTGATAAGAAAATATAGAAAAGGGCACTACTATGGACCTTCTGATGTGTAAATTTTCCTAATTTATTTAATATATTGCCAAAGGCTTGATTTGTTTCTATGTATATTAAATATTGACATTTTATTACTTTTCCGGAGATTCAAAAAGCCCGTCAGTCTTTATTAGTCCCGAAAAGGTGATTAAGAAAAAGGAGTTAGAGAGTGAAATGGATGTTGTTAATTATTGTAAGATGATATTGTTCTAATAATCTAAATATAAGTTAAATAATTGTTTTAAAGAATAAAGGTAGGTATATGCAGAATAATTAAATATGGGTGAGAAAAAATAGACGATATGAAGGAGATAAAGAAATGAAAGATATTTTTAAATAAAAAATAAATTACTTGTTGCTGAAATACTTTCATTTTTTGTTGGCAAACACTACAATCATAAGATTTAGCGGTGATTGAGTGGAATAAATCTGAAATTATAGACGAGGCAGAACCATGCATTGTCGACAAATAATTCATTCCACCTTTTTTCATATTATCATTTAAAACATATTCTTTTTTTCCATCATCAATTGAATTTACTTCCTTTAATTTACCAAAGTAAACAAATTTGGCACATTTCGGTTATGCTACACCCGATTTTAGTCCATAAATTACACTAAACATAAATGTATGTTGATAGTCGTAAATTAATTTTCCCACATAACCTCATCCACTCCAATTTTTTGAGATGATTTTTAAAAGTACACTGAACATATGGACGCTTCACCTTAAGGGGCAATTTTTTCTAACTTGTTCTCATTAATACTAATACCAGTTTAATAGTTAGAGTACATTAATAAAAATGTACTCTGTTTTTTATTATCTTTAGATTTCTCAACAAACAACATTTTCTAGTCTCCATTGAAAAGATAGGAGTGTTAAGATAAGAAAATCGACTGCATTTGTTTAAACAATAAAAAATGTATTGGTATTGTTTGTCATAATTTTATTTAATTTTGAGACTCATGGAGAGGAGGGGTTGGGTGGGTGTAGCACAACCAAAAGTACAAAAATTCAAAATTTTCTTGCCCTGTTCACATCTTCTGCTAATTTATTGATCAGACACATGAAAGAGCATGTCCTAAAAAGGCTTTTCTTTTCCAATTTCCTAATTTTATTTTGTATGAATGATATTTAAAATTCATCATAAATTTATGACTATTATAAGAACTATACATAAAATATTTTGTAACTTTAAATTCAAACAAAATAAGAATATAATTCTAAATAAGCCCGTGACGAATGCTAGACTAATGCAGTCCTTAAGGAAGAGATGGGTATGTTAAAAGATATTTTATCATTTTATCCCATATTTTAATTAAAAAACAAACTTACAAATTCCCTTCGATAAAATATTGCGACACCATTGAGTTTTGTGAAGTTCTGGATTTTTTGGACCAGATGACTCTTTTTGACCAAGAATATTTGTTGTATTAATATTTCCATCTAAAGACCAATGACGACCTTCCAAATCGTTAATTGATTCTGTTGTTTGTTTGAATGCTCTAAAATAGTAAATAAACAGGGTGCGGTTAATTTACCGCCACTTTTGTTTTTGCCATAACTTTCTGAAAAGACATCAATATTCATAATTCTTTTTTATTTCATCTCAAATATTATGAGAAAATTTTTGTTATCAAAATATAAGGTTGGTTCATAGCTAGTACACTAAAAAAAGAAAGGATATAAAAATTATATAGATAGCTTTTTAAGTTAACCTTCTCTTCAAGTTCATTTAATGGAAAGTCAAAATTTTAAACTTCGAGTTTAATTAATTTACAAAGAACATCATCGAATCGTAGATAATAAACCTAACATAAACTTCCAAATTTAAATTAATTGAAAATCTTACATACAATAGAAAGTTCATAAAATTTCTTCCGAGCAAGTTTTTTTTCAAAATAATTAACAAAATCACGAAAATGTAAATTTGTTTGCTTCATTGAACATAAATCTTGATAATTGAGGAATTTAAAAATATAAAGTTTGATTTCTGTAGGCAATGAATAAAGCATTTTTTCGAAAAACTTCAATAAAGTATGTACTAAAATTAAGTTATTTAAAAATCTATAAATTTGAAAAGTACTACTAAACTAAAATCAAAAAACATGGGATTATTCCAAAAAATGAAAAGAGTAGTAGTAGCCAAGTAGTAGCTAGTAGTAGTAGCCTAGCTAGTAGCCCTAGTAGCCAACCAAATTATGAAAAAACGTATCTAGAATCTAAAGGTATCTAACTTTGTGGATATCTAAAATCAGGCCCGATTGTATACTTTTTTCCGGCACTGTACTAGTGTACAATAAAAACAAAGAAATATTCATTATACACAGACTTAGTTTGGGGTTGCACACCCTATTCAGATAATTCCAAAGGAGGGTTGAAATATAGTGCGGCCCCCTCAATTAGTACGGCCCTTTAGAAGAGGGTTGAAAATTAGTACGGCCGGCCGTACTATTTCAGGAAATACGGTAATCCTATTCTTTTAATGTATTTTTAAATAAATGTATTATTTAATAAAATCTAATAAAATGTTATTTGGACTCATAGTTTTATTTGGACTCATAAACTTTTCATTTGACTCATAAATTCGATTGGACTCATAAAGTCAAGTAGTCATACCTCAACCTCATAAAGTCAAGTGATACAATAAAACTAGGCCGCAACTGTGTTGTTACCAAAGTAGTTTTAAAAAAATATAAAAATAAATTAGCAGGCTTAAACTTGTTAAAAAATGGAAATAAATTTTACAAAACAAAAATAATTTAATCGAAAATCAACGAAGAACAAATTTTTTAAATAATTTAGTCCAATAAATCAAATAAAATTTCCGTTTTCGCTACTCAACTTCTACTCTTTCATTTTTCTGATTTTAATATTAATTACTCCATACCTCTCTTCATTACAAAATGAGAATCTCACTTTTGGATTGTGAATATTGACGATTTGGTATTTTGTATATTTAACTTCATTTAATTGTTTAATTTCAAACTTCTTTGCTCTTTCACTTAATTTAAAATTTTTGGAACTAAAATAATCTAAAATAATGACAGGCAGCATTTTTGGAAAGTTTCTTGAAGTTGCTATATACTAAAATTAAAATTTATTTTTAACTTTTAAACTAGGGCAGCACAAAACTGTTTGGCTAAACGGTAAACGGGTTTTTTGGTAAAATTAAACGGAAAGGTATACTAGTCTCTGATAAACGGCATACTTGTTTTTTCAAAATTAAACCGGTTTTGTGCCACACTATTTTAAACGACTAACTTCTATAATAAGATCATAAAGCTTTGTTGATTTGAACCATCTTAAATAAATCTTTGGAAGTTTATTTCCTTCATTTATTAAAATTTTGAATAAAATATCAATATGTTGTTCTGTAACGTCAATTTTATCCAGAAAGATATTAAGAGCTTCAGAAATTGATAAATGATTTACAGAAAAGTTTAAAAGAATTTCAAATGTTGTATTGCTAGGCCATAGAAACGCTTTAAAAATTTGAAATTTAAGAGAAATTGTTTTTTCGTTGTCGAATAAAATATTGATCATTTCTGGATTGAATATACATTCAGAAAAATGAACATATTTGAAAGCACATTTAAATAGTTGTTCTAACCAGCAACGAACATAAATCATTTCTTCAATATTCTTTGGAATTGTTGGCATTTTTAAATAATAAAATTTTTGGCACAGCATATGAGGACTTTTAATAAGTAAGTTTTTTACAGATTCAGACTCATGTAAAAACAACGGAATTGATTTGTCTATCGCTGTCTTCCACTGAAAAAATAAATTTTCTAAATTTAATTAAAAATTAATTTAACCCTCTCTTCAATCTGATCATCTAAAGTAAATTCAAAAATCCCAGATTTAAGTTCAATGTATTCAACAAAAAAGGTCCTGTCACTTTCACTAATCTTAAAAATAAAGAAAAAATCAGTTAGTTTATGATTGAAATAACTAAATCTTTACAAGAATAAATATTTACTATTGAGAAATCACCAAATTTCTTTCGTGCCAATCCTCCCTCGTATTTATTAATTAAACTGCGCAAGTAAAAATTTGTTTGTTTAACAGAGAATATTTGGTTGAAATCAAGACATTTTAATACATCAAATTGAACCTCAATTGGAAGAGAAAACATTTTAATTGTCTAAAAATGAAATATTAAACTTTAAATTCTCCTAAAATATTTTAAATCAAAAAGTTGCAGTTCGCGAAAAATTGAGAAAACTAAAATGAAAAGATCAGAAGTGAATTAAACAAAATAAATAAAAATTGCCTAAAGATAAGTTTTTAGTTTTTTGTATAAAACAGAGCTCGGATCGAGAAAATGTTAGTAGCGAATAAAATCAAATTGGGTATAAAATTTCAAAAAATTTTTAAAAAGGATTCTTTTGTTAGTAGGTACTAACAAAAGAATAAACGAGAGAAGACAGTAATTAACAGACTGTGCTTCGATATAAATAATACAATATCAATCTACAATAAGAACAAAGCTAAAACAAGAATTTATCGTCGAAACGAAAATAGAATAAAAGAAAAGTAATAAAATAACAACACAATAACACTGAAAACTAGACTAAATAAAAGGGTGGCTTTTATACTAAACCTGATAACCAAAGTTATTCATTGTAAAATACATATAGCTAAAAATGGATAAAAATTCTAGATTTTTTAATTTGTTTGGCTCCTTGGAGAAAGTGAATAACTGCATAAGCAATAGCACAAATTCAAGATAAACATTCTATCATAATATTTTTTACCCTTGAGTACTTAAAAGTACTTATTTTTACTTATTTTTTACCCTTGAGTATTTAAAAATAAAATGGAAAATAAAATGACCCCTATGAATCAAAATTTCATTTTCCTCCCTCAAATTCTACTTCCTTTATTTTAATTCCAATATAAAAATCGATCTATCTTCCCTATCTAATTGTAAGTTGAGAAATGAACATCAATTTTTTAATAATAATTTTTAAGTAGAAAAAGTATCTAAATAACACAATAAAGTTCACAATAAATAACTATTAAAATCCGATACTATTTAAAGATAACTCTTACTAGTTTCCGTCCTTCATTATTTCCCTTATTCTATTTTCCGGATTCTCGTCTCATAATTTATTAATTTTCAGATTCGAAATTATTCTTCTAAAATCCCCAATGGGAGCAAAACATTCAAATATTAAAGAGGATCACACAAAATTTCCTTTCTGGTGCGGTTATTTGCCTGATGCTGATGCTTTGGAACTTTTAAAGAATAAAAACGAATTTATGTTGCGATGTTTGGAGAATGATTCTTTGAGTTTGACGCTTTATGGTGGTCCTGCAAAGGTTATTCTAGAATAAGGAATAAGACTTGGGTCCAAAAATTTTAGTGGATATCTTCACTTATTTTTAATTTCCCTTTTTTGGGGACTAATTTAACGGAACTCATTAATTTCTATCTTAAGTCCATTAATGTTGCTATTTTCAGATATCAAATTTTGTACTTCAAAAAAACAATTCTGGATGGCATCTAGCAGGTCAAAAATCAACTGAACCAACATCTAAAGAATTAGTTGAATTTTATTGGGTTTTTCTGTTATTTTTTCAAAAATTTTTTAACATTTAAGTGCACAAAACAGGCAATAATTCTTGACCGTTTGGAGGCTCCAATTCTTCGCCCACAATGGTTACTTTCTTCAGCAAAGTCTGGTTTGGAGACAAACTTGGTGAAGGCGCCTATGGAGTTGTTTATAAAGGTGAGTTGGTGTACTTAATCCATAGACCTTCTTCCATCGACCACCATGAACTCTAAATATAAAATTAATCCTAAAAGGTTTTTTAACATCCTTTCACCAAATCTGGCCAAATACTTCGTAGCACATCTTCTTGCTACTTTTCAAAACCGACCATAATGATCGACTCAGATTGAAGAGCTCTTTCAAATGAGCTATTATTTGCATTTTCGAATTTTTCACCCCAAAAAAGTGCTTGGTCCCCCCTATGGTTTTTCAATTTTTTGGGACCTATAACTCGGCACATAGTTACGTCCCAATCGATATTTTGATGTCATTCGACTCAGCTCGCCGAGCTGAGTCGAATGGCATATAATTTGTCCCAATCGGAGTCTGTTTAGTTTTCCGAAATTATACCATCATCCATATTTAGATCAGACCCATAAAACAGACCTAGGCCAAATTTCTTTCGAGCGAAACAAAACGAAACAAATTTTTTAATCGTTTCGTATACGAATCAACCAAAATTTTGCGAAAAGAAACATTTTAATTTTCAAAGAATTTTCAAAAAAATAGATTTTTTCACAATTATTCTATTTTAAGCACGTTAATCTTCATGGAACGTTAGTCTATGGAACGAAATCAATAAGACTCACATTAATGTTAAATGGGCGTTGCTCTAAATGCAAATGCCTTATTGGTATAAAAAGTTTTTTATCGGCCAAATAATACATTTAAAATGTCGTCGACATATCTTGGCAAATATGAAGTATCAGCATCAATCAACAAATCACGATTTGACGCAATATATAGTCTGATCATAGATGAAATTTTATCCGAACATAGAAAAGTTCAAAAATGGTGTTAAACACACTAATCCTTTCTTTTATTAGATTATTGGCCAATATAAATCAAGTATGGGATGTGATTTATCCAATAAAATCAACTCCTGCTACGTCAACACAATTCTCCAAATACTTGTGAATAGCCCAAAGTTTATTAAACAATATGCAACAAAGTCAATACAAAACCATATTAATACCTCCAATGGGCGAGGCACTCAAGGCGCCCTTTCAGCCTGTATGGCAGCCTATGTCAACTCCTACCAGAGCTGATGTCTTTTTCTCCGTTATCTCCAGAACAATGTGTTGCAGAACTTGTAACCAAAATACAACAACTATGGAGCAACAGGTCGTTTATTTTTTAAATAATAATATTCAAAATAAAAAATACTTAAATACACAAAAAAACGCAATTCAATTAATTATTTTCTTCTAAGCTTTGGCTGAGAATTTTAATGTTCCCTAAATTCACTTAAAAGTGAATGGCCCCTTTCCTTCCAACTTCTCACCATCTACCACCAACACCACAATCTCAACATCAAAATCTTCGAATAACCTCATTCTTTTTACCCTCCTTCTTCCATCGACCACCATGATCTTCAAAATTGAAATTTAATCCTAAAAGGATTTTTAAAACTCTTTAAATCAGCACATCTTATTGCTACTTTTCTCCTTTTCAACACCAACCATCATAATATCCAAAATATAATCCTGCAAGGATTTTTAAAATTCAATTTAAATTTTTAAAAAAATTTACAATTTAAAATATAAAATTTATTTTAATCATTAAAATTTAAAAATTGAAAGTTTAAATCAATTAAATGGTAGTTGTTTTGACAAAACAGAGAAAATTTGTTTTTGGATTTTTAAAGGAATATTAATTATGGAAATAGAATGAATAAAAAAAGGAAATTTTTAATAAAATCTATAAAATATTGTTTTAACGAAATTTTAGCTCGACCTGGCTGTTTTAATTAATCTTGATGATAACAATATTTTATTTGGTCTAGAACGATATTTCAAAACAATGATGAAAAGCTGTATAAATTGTTCCGTATTAATTGGAGGAGACCAAAATCTGGCGACTCCCGGAAATCCTTATCCTTCGATTGTATAAGGATGTATCAATAAAAAAGTAACAAAAGAAAAAAACGTAAATCATTCCCTTTAATTATAGCAAAGTTATCGAGTTCCCTGTGGAGTTGGAAATGAAGAAACATCTTCACAGTGACTCGCCGGATAATGCGGGAAGCACTATCTATTCACTTTACGGGATGACTGTAAGTAATTTTAATACTAAATTTAAGATCTAAGAACTAATAGAAAGTGACCGCCTATATACTCACTTAAACCTAAAATAAAACTTTTCAGGTCCATATTGGCCCAGATTATTCGAGTGGCCATTTCGTTGCCAAGGTGAAGAACTTGGAACGTTCTAATGATCTTTGGCAATTATGTGACGATAGGGAAGTCCATAGGATTTCATTCGAAAACGTTAAAGTATTTTATTTTAATGTTTAATTTCAATATTTATTTATTTGTAGACCACGTCAGCTTATTCCCTGTTTTACGAGCGAAGAACGCCGGTAGGCCAAAAAATTTAGGAAAATAAATAATTATATTTTTAATAACATGTATATATTTATTTTTGTATTAATTGTATCTAATTTTAAATGTATTTATATTCCAGTTGTCCTTTAAAATATAAATTTATTGCTACCTACTTTTTGCAAAATGGATTCCTTTTCTTATTAAATAAATATAAAATCTAATTATGTATATTAAGTAGTTTAAAAGTTAAAAAAATTAGTTAATCATTTTTCTTTTTTTCTTTCTGTTGTTTATTTGCTTATTTAACCAGGACAAATAAGTAGATCTTTAAATTTTTTTAAATACTTTTTTAACTGTTCGTTCATTTGGATTATATTATTTGACTTTAATTCAGAATTGTTTTCTGTAAATTTGAGAGATATTAAGTTGTAGGAAGATGTTTCTGAATTTATAAACGTAAAACCCCTTTAAAGGGTTAATAAAAATTATTTTTAAAAATTTTAATTTATTAGGCATTAAAAATATAGATATCTAGAAATTCAAAAAAATTTCTTTGTTTGGGATTCAAAAAAGCTGAGAGTCGGGACCGAGACAAATCGGAGTTTTCATTACAAAATTGTCAGGGGTTTATTCAGTGTTCATTAGTTTATTCAGGGTTTATGGGTTTATTGGCATCACCTTTATTTAAAATTTAGAATACAGTAAATAATACACACCCATATATTAGGTATACATATATATATTTACATACATATACGTATTGTTGTATAACCAAACAACGACTTAAACTAACTCTTAAACCTTACAATTAATAATTAACACTCAAAAGTCATTTACTTTTCTTATTAGATAAAACGTTAAATATATATTAAGTAATTTAAGGGAGAAAAGAGAAAAAAATAATAGAAAGAAGAATACTTGTCTAATTATTTATATTATTTGACTTTGACTCTAATTTGTTTTCTAAAAATTTGAGTTTTTAAGTTGAAGGAGGAATTTGTGAAATTATGAACGTAGAGCCTAAAAACCATTAAAAAGGTCTATAAAATTATTTAAAAAATTTTTGTTCACTCACAAAGGTATTAAATAACATAACTAAAAATTTAAAAAATTTTCTGGCTGGATATTGTTGTCCTTTAGAAGAGGAAAAATAATAGTTTTTTTGGTTTATTCTCTTATTTTACGGCAAATTAATAGACAATTAAAATTTAAAATTATAAATCGGTTTCTATATGTAGATTAAACACTTGCTGAAAATCGTGTTTAAAAAGGAGAGGTACTACAAATATTAATTTGAGAGTATTGTTTAGGCGGTATCACGACTTTTGCGCCGAGAACATTTGCGCCGCGACTTTTGCGCCGCGACTTATGCGCCGGGCGACTTTTGCGCCGCGACTTTTGCGCCGCGACTTATGCGCCTGGCGACTTGTGCGCCGCGACTTTTGCGCCGGGCGACTTATGCGCCGCGACATTTGCGCCGCCATAATTTAAAAAAAATAAAATAATGAATACTATCGGACCTCACTTTAGTGTGTCCATTGAGGTTAAAAAATGTTATCCATGAACTGAAGGAAGTTCAGTTAGTATGTACAATAGGGGTCCGGTAGCTAATGAATTAGGTCTGGACCATAAATGTGAATTAGGTCTGGGCATTGGAAATCCCCCTATCCGATATCCCAAAGGATTTCTGATGTTCTGACTTTTTTGGATCATGATATTTGGATCTGCTAACCCTATTCCGGCATGATTTTCAGCCCCATATCCGAAGATTTCAAACTATCCGAAAACCCTACTATAGTGAGTCCGGCTGAAGTTATATATTTTTAACGATAATGGCGGCGCAAAAGTCGTCCGGCGCAAAAGTCGCGGCGCAAAAGTCGCCCGGCGCAAAAGTCGCGGCGCAAACGTCGCCCGGCGCAAAAGTCGCTCGGCGCATAAGTCGCGGCGCAAAAGTCGCGGCGCAAGAGTCGCGGCGCAAATGTTCTCGGCGCAAAAGTCACGGAACCGTTTAGGCAGCTCCTATCCAATGTACTCGTATTTTAAATCAATTACAAAAAGCCAGGACCCCTCACGGCCTCAAAATATTAAAAATGGAGCATTTATTTTTCTATTTGAAACCGATATCTTAAATCTCACAGACACTAAAACCAAATCGAATGAATTGTTAGACGTATCACTTATTCTTACATATTATTTTCACTATTTTTACATATCAACAATTTCCTCCACATAAATTAAATTTATAAAACACTCAACGTTGGCTAACTTTTAGCCATTTTTTAAGTAAAATATGAAATGAATTTTTATATATTGAGTAAATTTAAATTTATTAATAAAATAATTCTTTTCACGTTTATTCCCAAACTTTATTGTTAAGAAACAAAAAAATTTTTTTTCTAATTTTTTTTCTTTAAACAGAAAAAGTACTTGTTGATTTTGCACTAATTTTATGTTGATTAATTATTTTATTTTTTCCTTTTTTGTTACAAATTAAAAATAATTTTGACAATTTTTCTCTAAATTGTGTAGCAAAAAGTGTGTAGAGAAAAGGATTAAAAGCACTTTGAAATTGAACTAAAGCACTTGTAATTAATACAAATTCGAAAGGCAAAGGAAGTGGACGTCCAAATAATGCACTTTTTAAAGGAAAATACATATTTATTTTTAGGAGAAAAAAATTATTTTTAATAAAAATTACCTCCAAACAAAATAGGCAACCATTGGTGTATAACAAAGGAAAAATAGGCCGACACATAACTTGAAAATAAATATATTTTTATTAATTTTAATCTCTACAAATTCTTTTTGCCCCAACAAACCAAGAATCTTTAATTTTTCGCTTTGACCCCGATACTTTCACACTTTGGATTAGGGGTGGATCGGGATGACGAAAAGATTGGATAGAGTTTCAAGATTTTCTTCGAAACGAGTTTCGGAACGAAAAAGGGAAGGTTTCAGGGGTCCGAATAACCAGACACTAACCATATTCTGGATGTAATCTCGGATACCCAAAAACCGAATCTGTCTATTTAACCTATATGTGATTGTAACATCCATCAATATATTTACTAACTAGTATATCTCCTTTAACTTTTATTTATTTACCATCAACATTTTAACAACACTCCTTCTAGCACGTAAATTAGCTGAAGAAGAAACATTCATTGGTTTCTGCCTTTTTTCAGAAGAATTATTAAAATTAAAAATTTCTTCTTCTTTTGGGGCAACTTTTCTTTTATTTTGAACATCAGAAATTGCTTCCCGAAATCTTGTTTCCAATACTTTTTTGATTGTTCTGCCACTTGGTCGTTTATTTATGTTTGGCTTTAATTCTGTTTTGTTTTCTAAAAAGTTGAAAGTTTTTGAGTTGAGGGAGAAGGGGGAGGTTTGGGTATGAGAGGATTATGGATGTGGAGGTTTTTAAAAACCATTAAAAGGGTTTCTAAAATTATTTTTAGAAATTTTCGGTTGAATTGGCGAATGGTGAGGCGTCTAAAATGTCTAAAATATTCATAAAATTCTTTTATTAATTAAAAATTAACAACATTCAGCTAAATTAAATGGAAATCTTTTTTTTTTGAAAATTTTCCGTTCCTTCATGTAAAGTGAATTACTTGAGAAAATAAAGCTAAAAAGAAATTTCCGAATCATCTCCAAAAAAACATTTTCTCCCTTTTTATTCTATGTTCATAACATGGGACGGTCGAGATGCTGAAGGTGTCAGAAATCGGAATTCCGGTCGACCATTGGTAAATAACACCCCACCAAATACCTATTTGATTATTTAAAATTACCATTTTCATTTTGTCCTTTCCCATTATTTTCTCCATTTTTATTTTTAAACCACAAAACTCGACAAATTCGAGAATATAACAAAACAGAAATAATTATAGGTAAAGCATAAGTTAACAAAAATTCTGACCATTTGTAAATTTTCCAAATTTTGCTCTTTGACGCTAAAGGGTTTCTACAGACACGCAAATCTTTTTTTGAAATTTTGGGGAAAAAATTATTTTTTAAAATACTTTTTTCTGGAATATCAAAAACTTGGAATACAACCAAATAAGGAAATTGATATGCCATTGCAAATACCCAAATACCAAAAGCTATAACCAAAACACGTGAACGAGTACACCAAACAGACGTGTGCATTGCTAGAATTGTAGTGGAAAATAATTTTTTGAATAAAATTTCTTGTTAAATTTTTTGTATTTAAAAAGAGAAACCCTCGGGGAGGGAAATATCTTTTAATGAATTTAAAACAGGAGTACTGCTTAGACAGCCCCCCAGTCATCAATCTACTAATTAAACGTATCTCCCTTTCTTTTCCCCTTCCAAACTTTCTCCCCTTCCATTTTCAATTCAAAGCCAATTACTCTAAGATTACCTCATTTACTTTATTCACTTATAAAATTATTAAAAAGGTGTAGAGCAAAAAAATTTTTTCCAAATAATTTTTTTAAAGATGAGTTTTTAATAACGATAAAATATATACCTATAGGATGTACAATAGCAACATATCTTTAAAAAATAAATTTAAAAATTCTATCTTTCAAAAAAACCTTTCAATGCAAATAGCTAAATAAGTAAGTATTGAAATTACTAAAAATATATTTCCAAAAAATCTGGCAATCGGACAAAACATATCACTAAAGTGCCAGCCCCCATCTCCATAAACACTCATAGATAACCAGAAAGGTGTAAATGCCAACAAATAAAGTAAATCTGCTATTGCCTTTTTTAAATTAATTTTTAAAAATTAAAATACTCAAATAAATAAAATAAATAATTTTTGTCAGATGAAAGTAACTAAAGAATGTTACAAAATTATTCTTTCCATTATCACTAATTTAGGACTAGAAAGTGTGAGGAATGGAAATTGTGGACGAAATCTGAATCGTGGAAACAAATAATTGGCGATATTTTGAAGGTATTCATTGCTACCATTCTCGAAATTTTTGTTTAAAATTTAGTCATTCAATAATGACCCTATTTTTTACTCAAGACAAGAAAAATTGTTATCAGCTTACAAGAAATCTTTTGCTTTATGTCTACCGTAGAAGTTAGTAGCATTTTTAACAAATATTTTAAAAGGGATTTTAAACAAAATCCCAAATCCAAAAATTAACTAATGACGAAAAGTTTCTAAAACAATTCAAACTGTCATTACTTAAATTAAATTGTGAATGTATTTAAATATATTAAGTAAATCTATTAATAAATACATATATTCCCTTCCTCTCGTTTTATCTCATAATTTTTTTGTTTTTACTTTTCCCTTTGATTTTTATATTAAAAAGCATTTTTAAATAATTACTTACCAAATTTAACAATAAAAGATTCATTGGAGATTTTCTCATTTTTCTATCACTCAAAATAGCAATAACAACAAGAATATTAGCAGTTAACCCAACAACAGTAACACCCCCAATTAATGAACCAAAAATTAAAGAAAAATGGAAAGAAACATCCCTTTTTTGTTGGAAATTAAAAGTTGTTTTTGTTAGGGAAGGAGTAGTTAAGTTGTTTTGTTGGGTTGAAAATGTAGGGGGAAATGTTGGGGATATTGAATTAATAATTAATGAAGTTGCTGTTGATTCTTCTTCTGTTATATTCATTTTTAGGGGTTTTTAATTTTAAATAATTCGATCTTATTGTTAATAATTCATTCTTTCGTCTAAAATAATTTAAAAATTTTTCTATAAATATTCTTTTAGTTAGATTTTATGGGGCTTATTAGATATTTATTCCTTCCTCTTTACATTCTCTAATATGTTAACAAGCGTTTTAAAAGCCTAACAATTATTTCCTCCTTTATTAAATCGAGAAATTTTTTAACAAAATTTATGAATAATTTAAATATGAGAATTATAAAAATTATCGAACACTAAATTTTTCTAGTTTAACCCTCTATCTACACTAAAATTTGGCTGAATTAGAAATTCTGAAAGTGATAAAAACATCTGACATTATTTTTAAAAATTAAAATTAATAAAATTTATTGTTGTCTAAAAATGAGAATTTTGGAAAAACTGTCTATTGTTGACTAGGATTTTTTAATCAAAATAAAATTAAAAATCCTAACACCCCCCCCCTCTCTCTTTTCCTCTAAAATGTTAAAAGCATACACAAAATAATTTTTTAATTGTTGCTATCCAAACAAAGTAATAGTGAATGTGTGTAAATGATTGTGTTGAGAAGAAAAGGTTGTTTTTAAAACGTGTATTTATTTTTGTTTGTTTGTTTGCTTCTTTTTACCCCAAAAAATCAGAGGAATGAGTAAAAAAGGTTCAGCAAAAACAACAAAAACACACTTTCGCTTCTCCTTCTTTTTCCACGTTTTCGGCCCAGCGAAAGAATCGACCTTGCCGATGGCGTTCAATCTATATACTATTACACAAACAAAATAATTTTTTACATTATTACTTGCAATTAGGTGTGACGAATGATTCAAAAGGACATTATTTTTTTACTTAAAAAGAGGAAACATTGAAAATTTTGAATAAGGAATAAGGAATTATTTCTGGTGTAATTAAAAATCAATCACAAAGGCTTTCAGGCATTTAAATGTGGAGAGGAATTGTTAAAGGAATAGTTGGAGTAAGTCAGTACTTACAAGCAAAGTCGACAAAATACTAGTACATTGGATGGGAGCTGCTTAAACCATGCTCTCAAATTGTAATATATGTAGATCTCCTTTTTAAATACGATTTTCGGCACCAAGTGTGTATTTACATATCGAAACCGATGTGTAATTTTAAATTTTAATTGTCTATTAATTGGCCGTCAAGTGAGAGAATAAACAAAGAAAAACTACTTTTTTCCTCTTCTAAAGGACAACAATATCCAGCCAGAAAATTTTTGTTTAATTTTTAGTTATGTTATTTACATAATAATAATTCTCATCGAATTTTGCTTTTAATCATTATAAGAAAGATTTTGAGGATTTTAAGATTTTAATGTTTCCTAATCTCCTTTTTCTTATCAACTTATTAAACATTCCCAGCACCCTTCCTTTTTAATGAAATTGACTGTTATTTGTAAATGGTCTCATTCAATTAACTAACTTTCAAATTAGAAAAAGATTAAGCCTAAACCCGTTATAAACTGAATAAAAAATGCAGAGATTTTAAATAAAATCCCCATCCCAAAAATTAAGTTCGGCGAAATTATGAGTATTGAAAATCAGGAAAATTGTATTACTTGAATAAAATGATAAATGTATTTTTATATATTAAGTAAATTTATTAAAAAGAATCTTTGGATATAGGGCAGTCGAGGGTCTGCCCCGAAACAGTACAAATGATATGTCTTTCGATTTGTCTCGGCGAGCTAAGTTGAACGGTACTACATTCCAATTTTCAAAATTTTGGAAATTTTTGGTCAAAAAATTTTTTCAAAATTTTTCAGAAAAATTTATTTTCAAAAAAATTGTAACAGAAATTTTAAAATTTTTTAAAGGCAAAATTAGTCTTCTACATAAAATACTGATTGAAAAGAAAAAAGAAAACTATTAAAAAATAATTAACAAATACCAACCAAAAACTAATCCTAAAAAGGCATATTTGTGCCAGTCCCAACCCTCGGCTGAACCTCATACTGTATTTAAAAGTTTCCATTTTAACATTTGCTTTATTTACCAAAATGAATTCCAAAATGATTATAATTAGAGTGAAGAATTAGACAGTTAGAGAAACATTTAAAATGCTGATTTAATTTTTTATTTTTATTTTAAAAGACTGGAAATTTTATTTAATATATTTCTTAAAATTTAACTCATTTTTTAGTTTAAATATTAAATAAAAATATTTTTTTCAATTATGGTTCAAAAAGACGATAAAGACACCAAAACTAAAAAACAAAAAGACGATGAATTTGATAAAGAGGTTTATTTAAAAGCTTGAATAATTTAAATATTTTTTAAAGTTAATTTCAAAAAATCCAAATCTCGAAATTGCCCAACTTTTCTTTTTAATGGGGCAAAAGAATGATTCTTCTACTTGGCTGGCTTTACTTGAAGTTTTTTTCTTTTAAATTTAAAACTATATTTTCTCTTTAAGCATGTCAAAAAGGATGAAATGGCACCGTTTTATGAATATATGTGTACTTCTTTGAAAATTCCAATTGACCAAGCTTTGTTGGATAAACTTAAAGAACAAAATTCGAAACGTTTGGATGAAATAAATAAACAATTGGAAGATGCCGAGAAAAATTTAGGTATTTTTTTAATTTTTGTGATAGAGCTTTTGTTGGTTAAGCAAACGTATTCATCAGGGGTGTGCCGAAATATTTTTAAAGGCGAAAATCGGCGAAAGACAAAACTCGCGCACCCCTGGTATTCACATTTGGCCTTCGATAACTAAAAAGTCGACTTAAAGCTTCAAAAGCCGTGTACTCACAAATACGTTGGATGATTTTTCCCTTTTTAATGATTTTTTACTTGTGTGATTTGCTAGAAAATTTGTATACAAATTTAAACATTTTTGGATTCAAAAGAAAAATAAGTTCCCGACAAACTTTACTTCCATTTTTATTTTAATTAGAAATTTAAAATTTTATTTAAGGTGAGAGCGAAGTTCGTCAGGCATGGTTAGCCAAATCTGAATATTTGTGCCGAATTGGAGATAAAGAAAATTCAGTTGCTGCTTTTAACAAAACTTTTGAAAAAACTGTTGGGGTTGGCTACCGAATTGATTTAGTTTTTAATTTAATTCGTATTGGACTTTTCTTTATGGATCACCAATTAATTACTGAAAATATTGAAAAAGCAAAAGAATTGATGGAAAAGGTTTTTTAAAATTCATTTGTGAATGTATTAAGAAGAAAAATTATCTTTATTGAGATAATTTTTAGAGGGGGATTTTGCGGGGATTTTCTTTAGATTTGGGAAGGTTCAATTTTAATTTAACCTGAGTCAATAAAAATTAAGATTTTATGTTGACATCAAGAAAAAATTAAGATTAGGGTTTACTTATCGATTTACTTTTGATTACTTGGAAAATGTGTTTGATTTTCACACATTTTCAAAAAAATTTAAGGAAATTTTCTCTATATTTTAGTGATTTTTCGAGTTGTTCTGTGCTTAATTATTTTTATTTTTCAAGGGAGGTGATTGGGACAGAAAGAATCGTTTACGTTCATACCAAGGGCTTTATTTAATGGCTATTAGAGATATGAAAGGAGCTGCCGATTTATTTCTCGAAGCCGTCCCAACATTTGGTGCTTATGAATTAATGAATTACGAAGAATTAATTTTTTATGCGGTTATAACTTCTGTTTGCGGTTGGGAATTTTTTAATTAAATTTATTTTTTGTTAATAATTTTTCAGCATTGGATCGTCCTGATTTAAAAACAAAAGTTGTTAATTGTAGTGAAATACAACAACAGGTTTTTTTAATTTTTATTTTTGGTAGAATTTTTGGATCTTAATTTCTTGCAGTCTTTTTTTGATTTGAAGATTAAAGTTGATTAAAATTTAATTAAATAGGGGAGTAAGTTTGGATAGGATTTACTTATTAGGTTATCATCCATTAATTGGGATTAGCCAGTAACAACCCAAATTTCAAAGTTCATTTAATTAAGGCACATTTTTTGAACATTTCCATTTTTAACATCCAAGTTTTCCAGTTAAATGCAGAAATCGGCCAAAACAATGCAAATTTACCGATCGCAAAAGAATTACTTTATACTTTCTATAATTGTGATTATAGTAATTTCATGATTGCACTTGGAAAACTTGAACGGGATTTTCTTGTTAAAGACCGCTATTTACAATTACATTGTCGTTATTTTACAAGAACTTTGCGTATTAAGGCTTATCAACAATTTTTGACTCCATACAAAACGGTTAGTTTAAATAAATAGAAAATGAGGGGTTGAACTCCAAAATTTTAAAAATTTCTTTGGGAATAGTTCTCGTTTTTCTCCATGTTAAGTGAAAAATATCTAGTGATTTTCCGGGAGTCGCCTGATGCTTTATAGATTTAAATGAAAATTCTATTTGTTTTAAAATATTTTTTTTTAATTTTTTAGGTTAGTTTGGATGTAATGGCAAAAAGTTTTGGTGTTAGTAAAGAATATTTGGACCAACAATTATTTAATTTTATTTCTTCTGGGAAACTCAGTTGTCGAATTGACGCATGTAAAGGAATTATTGAAACAGCCCAAACTGATCAAAAGAATTTGTTTTACAAAAAAGTTATTCAGTAAGTTTTGAATTTTTTCTAATCTTTTTAATTTAAACATTTTGTAGTGATGGGGATATATTGCTTAATAAAGTTCAAAAACTTTCCCGAATTATTAATTAAATTTTGTTGGAATGATTTTTGATTTTCCTTTGATTTTTTGGGTGTTTTTATGAATAAAATTTTGAAAAAAAATAATTTTCTTTCAGTTGGTATTTAAAACCCTCAACTATTTTAAAATTTAAGTTATAAAATTTTTATGCAAAAACAAACATGAGCATCAAGAATATTTTCTTTCTTTTTTTTTAGTCTAAAGTAAAATTTGTGTGTCTTTTCTAAAAATAAAATAAAACAAAAATTGTTCTTTTTAATAAATTAAAAAATAAATAACTTTCTTTTAGTTAATACTTTCTTCTTCCTTTTCTTCTACTTTTTCTACCAAAGATTCAATAGAAGCAAAAGGAGTAGTAGTCTCTTCATCTTCATTAATCAAATTGTCTTTCTCAATTAAAGATTCGGTAGAAGTAAATGGAGTATTCCCTTCTTTTGTCAATTTTGTAGAATTATTTTCGTCTGAAGGAAGAATGTCTTCTTCTTCTTTAGTTTCTTTGTTATTTTCATTTAAAGATTCAGCTGAAGAGAAACAAGTCTTTTCGCTTGAACCATTCTCATTTGCAACATTTTCCACCAAAGAATTAACCAAGTTTGAAACCTAAAATTATCAAAAATATTAGTCAAGTTGAAATTTTTTAATAAATAAAAATCCTATGGGTTTAAGGGTCAACTCTTCACGGTTATAAATGACAAGAGAACATTTAACTAGGGGCTGATGAAAACCCCTTTCATTTTAATTTTCCAAAAAAGATCAACAATTACTCCTTAATTATTTCCCCCTTTAAATACAAAACCTCAATGATTTCTTTTAGTTTTTGGATCTATTCCTAACTTAAGGACTTTTATTTATGATAATCTCCCAACAAAATTTTATACCTCAACTTCATCGTCTATTTCTTTTTCCACATGTTGTGATTCTACCTCATCAGCAACCATAACACAACAAATTTTTGTCTCTTCAACATTTTCTTCACTCAAAGTTATAGTAACGTCATCTTTCTCACAACCACTCTTTTCTGGAAAAACTTCAGAATTAATTTCCAAATTTGTGTCAATTTCATTTTTATTTCCAATCTCTTCGGGTTTATCATCAAAATCAGCCCAAGAATCTCCACCTATAAATTATATTAATTAAAAATTTAAAAATAATTTTTTCTTACTTCCTCCGCCCAAACTATTCACTCCATTATCCCAACCATCATTATTATTTGAAGCACTAACAACACTACTTGTATCACCACCCAAACCACGATTTCTACGACGTTTTGCTTCTCTCATCATTGTCGTGCTCATATTTATCGTTTGTTTTCGTGAATACATTACCTTTAGAAAAAATTAAAAATTTAGAACTAAAAAATGTTTTAGAAGAGTAGGAAAAACTCAAGTCTAGTTAATATTTAGCTGTGACTATCTAATATTGTCAAATCTATCGAGAATTGACCAAAAAATCAAAAATAGTTTTGGTCAAGGTCAGCCAAACACCGCAAAATTCTATCAAAACCTCCTACACAAAAAATTATTTACCAAAAGCTTCCTGTTCATAAATTCCGTATCATTAAGCAATTCAATTGCATTTTTTGCCTCTTCTTCACTTCCCAATTCTGCAAAAGAATAAGCATTCCCAGCATCATCATGTTCACGTGTATAACGAAAAACATCACAATCAACAATATTTAACTTCTTAGCAAAAAGCATCGCGAAAAGTTCACTTTTATTAACCTCACCAGGAAGGTTGGTAATGTAAATAACCTTTAAATTGTGAAAATTAGATATTTAAAGAAAATTTAAAAAAACCTTCGAGGGAGGATTATCAAGTCTTTCACCAGCTGGGTCATCTTTAATTTCAAATGGATCGTCCTTCAAAGCAACCTGGAATTTACAATAATTATCTATATTGGAACTGTTTTATTTCTTTTTTCAAAATACAGATATTAAAGATATTAACTCTAACACAAATATACTCATTGTTTGTTTCAAAAATCAAGTCTTAAATTATAGAGGATGGGGGTAATGTGTAGTCCATAAATTTCGAAGATATTAAAATTTTCTTACCCCTTTAGGCAGCTGTCCAAACTTTTTGGGACTTCCAATCTGTTGCTTATTTTCCTCATCATGTCCATCAGACCCGTCTGTTTCATCATTACGCGGATTATTTTCATTACGACCACCTTCAAATTGTTGTTGAGATTCGTTTTCATTTCTTTGTTGTCCAGAACCAGCAAATGATCCTCCACGTCCACGCCCTCGAAAAATTGGGCCAGAATCCCTGTAGGTAGAAGGCGGTTCAAAAAGTGGACGTACTTGTCGATGTTCAAAATTTGTATGACGATTGTCATAATTTCGGTCTTTGCTGACATTAGTATTGCTTAACTTCTTTTCAATAATACGGTCTTCGTTGAGATTTTCTCGTGACGAGAAATTTCCTTTCCCAGCGTTATAGGCACCTCGATAAGATTTTCGGTCACCACTGTTGAAGTCATTACGTGAAGAAAAATTACGGTCTCGGTCTCCAGAATTGTATTGGTTTCGAGGATAAGAATTACGATCCGTCCAACCACCACGGCCACTGAAATTAAAAAATAGTTAATTAGAAATTATCATAGAGATAATTTACTTGATCATAACATTTTTTGAAATTTAGAAAATCCCGAAGTAACCAAAAACCCAATATCCAAAAAATTTGTCTTAAGAAAAATTCCCCAGTATCCCATCAAAAAATTAAATCTAAAACCAACCGTCCTCCTCCTCTTTCACCTCTCCCTCTGTCATTTCCTCTTGGACGATCATTATTCCAATTGTTATTATTTGTCGATGAGTCAAATCCTCCTCTGTTAGACTTCCAATTGTTGTTATTATTGTTTGAGTTCCTTTCATATTCTCGCTGATTTCCAACATTGGATTCCTCATTATCGTTTAACAAATTATTCGTAATAGTCTTGTTCGAATTGATAACATTATCCCAACTGTTATTAACTTCACCCCATCCATTGGCATTTTCTAAAATTAAAATTTTAAAGAAAAATTAAACAGAAAAAACCAGTAGGACGTGCAAAAGAGTCATTTTCTTCGGTTTTAACAGTTTCTTGTGTTGGTTTAAAGTCATAATTGTTGTTACTTTTAGAGTTAAAGCCTCGATTATCTTTTTTGTCAACAGTTGAACGAACATTCTCTTCAGCAAAATTCGATTGTGTCGTTGATTTACCTCCACCTCCCCAAGAGTCGTCTGGCTTGTAAGTACCCCAACCAACATCTTGATTATCCCAACTTCCATCTAAATTAATTTAAAAGTTTTTTAGAGCGGCAAGTGTAAAATTCAAAACGAAAAATTTCCTTAGAAATCAAGAGAAAAATCTTATAAAATAACATTTAAAAGTTAGAGATAACATTCAAATTAACCCCAAATAAATCTCACCGGAATCTATTTTAAAGTACCAAGAAAAATATTAAAAATTCAATACACTTTCCAAGTTTTAAGTGTAAATATAAAAACCTGTAGGACGTCCCCAAGGATCTTTCTCGGCGGTCGACTCTTCCTTCGAAACTTTATTAATCTTCGCCTCAATCGATGTACTTAATTGCTTGTTTGAATCAATCTTGCATTCAACTAAACTTGCTCGTGAAGGTTGTCTATCAACAATGTCATTATCACCAATATTCGACAATAAAGCATTTGGAACGAAGGCTACCTGAATGTCACTAAAATAGAAAAACTTTAAAAAATAGAAATATTCAAAGACAAATTAACCTTCCAAAAATTTCCATTCCATTTAATCCGTCCTTAGCTCGAATTGCAGCATCGTGAGATTGCATCTAAATAATTATCTCAAAAAAATCAACTTTCCAAAAAATATACCTTAACAAAAGCAAATGCATCACCAGTCGCATAAAAAAGTTCGGCGACCATTTCACGATATGATCGAACACCCGGCTTCTGAGCATGCTGATTGATAAGAGTGCGTAACTAAAAAAACAAATAATTTTTAAACACCAAATTTAAAGTTCTAAAATATTTTAATTTAAAAAAAAAACAATTTATTTACAGTGTCTGTTGTAACTTGTCCCAAGCAATGAGCAAAACTTCCAATCACCAGAATTGAATTGTTGTCATTAGCCTCACGAGATTCATGAAACGAATTGCTGGCAACTAAACTATTTTGTTCGTTGGTCTGTCGCTTATACCGGTTCGTCCCCTGTCGGTCTCGATCATTCGGCCACATTTAAAATAATTTAATAACTTTTCTAAAATTCTAGCAAATTTTAAAATTATTATTCAATTAATCTCGACAAGCATCGAAGATGTAAAAAGCATCGAAGATGCAACTTTACTAAATAATCTTATTTAAGCTCGTCGAGAAAAATCAAATACCCCCCCCCCCCCACCCCTGGCTCCGGGCCTGCCATCCCATGTAAATCACAAAGCAAGCCAATATAAGTCAAACAATAAAAACAAAGTTGAAAAAAAATAATTAAAATTGGTCAATTAAAACCAATATAAAAATAACAAAAAAAACATTTGCACAAATTTTACTTTGTACCACACAAAATAAATAATTTAAAATGAGATGCATTTTATATATAGATAGTGAAAGTCATAGTAGTGGCACTTAATTGATTGCATCAAATTGATATATTGAGATTGTTAATGAGGTGGGCTTATAGGCAAACTCAAGAACAGTCCCCATCAGGCTTAGGAGAACTTGTATGCGGGCCAGCCTAAAAAATTAAATTTATTTTAAACAAATTAAAAGTAAAAATTTCTTACAATAGACGGATGAATTGGATGAATAAAGCTAATCTGGCTCTCCGAAAGTGAACGTTTTCGAGGCCTAAAAGCAGCAATCGGCATTTTAGGAATGAGTTTTCGAGCAGCAGGAGGACGCACTGGAGTTGTTCGTGTCGGTGTTGATTGTGCACTTATGGTTGTAGTCGTTGTTCCAAAAACATTTTTGATGCGCCCTGGCGTCTGCGGGCCTTTAGTGTTCGAAAGTTGCTAATAATTAAACTTACAATTAATAAAATAAAATTAGCAACGCTCAAACCTTTTGAACACGAAGTAATTCACGTTCCCGTTCATAGTCTGAAACCACTTGCTCAGCATACTGATCAGCACGAAGACCACTAACCATAATATCATCAACGATGTAATGCTCTTCATATTTGTCACAAGCAGCATGCAATTCCTGCATAAGCTTGGGCAGTTTCATGTCAAGCATCTTACGTTGCTAAAAATAAATTCGTTTCAAAATTGTCATTTAAAAACAAAATACCTTAAGCTTTTGATTTAAACTGCCACCACGATTTTTATAAAAAGAAGCGCGGCAAACACGACGTTCAGCTTCCAATTTTTGCCTCCAATTATTCATCCATTCTCGAAGCAAATCGAAAACTGGTTGAGCACGTTTGTAGAGCTCTTCGCGATCCTGAATTTGTTCTTGCAATCGTTTAAGTTCCGATTCGTTGAGTTTAGCTTAAAAATAAGAAAATTATTTATAAAATTATGTACAAAATATACAAGGATCGATATTCTCAAAAGAAAGTTTAGCCGCAGGAGACATGAAGCATTTCTCAGAAACATCGCTGAATTGGATCAAAAGTTCATCATAACGAAAAGCAACTTGTTCAAGCCATGAATCATGTTGGTCCTTGAGCTGCAAAAGGAAAATGAGGGGATTAAAAGTCGAAGGCCCCTAATTTCATTTCCTCAGTTTTCCCTTATCTCACCCACAAAAAGAAATCCATACCTTTTGACAAAGAGCTTCCAATTTGTCCAATAAAGTAGTTGACATGACAGTGTCGTGACTGTGCAAATTGATCTTCAAATAATGCTGATCTGCTTCCGTCAAAACAGGAGTGGAAGCGTGATGGATGATGTCGTAAATCCTAAAACAAAATAAACAATATTCGGCCCTATCTGAAAATAATGCGGCAATCAAATTTTTTTCCTTATTCTTAAAAATAGTTAATTTTCTTATATTTTTCTCTCTATTTTTGGTTTTTGCCTTAAGACTATAAACGCAAAAGGATTATTTTTCTTTCATTTTGTGAGCATTTACGTTTTTTCTGTCCGTGTTTTAGCTGACCGATGTGTGTGCGTGTTTTGTCTGTCCGGGTCCGTCCTGACAAAACACGGACGGTCACAGACAGACAAAACACGGACGGTCCTTGTTTTGTCTGTCCGAGTCCGTCCATTTGAAGTGAACGAAGGAAAAAGTCCGACCTTTCTTTACAAAATAAGGAAAAATGTGGAAAGGAAAAAATGAAGGAAAAAATTTGATTGCCGCATTATTTTCAGATACGGCCCAATATTCTAATTTCGAGTAAAATCAACTTGATGGCCTCCGATTGATATTGAAATGCCTTTTGCAAACGCTCATTCAAAATTCTCTTTAATTCGGCAACTCTTATGCGAAGAGCCTCCAACTCAGAAGCAGACAAAAACTTAAAAACATAATTTATGTAGATGGATCTTTCAAGTGGATATAAATTGCCATAGAAAATGAAAAAAAATAGAACAGAAAAACAGGGGACAGCCTCGGTATTACCAAAAAATCTTTAGTCATAGTCACGGTAGACTTGGGCCACAAACCCAGGAGAAGATGAGGATGGCAACTAATGCTTATTGTTAGGCACAAGACCTGCGTTAACCAGGTCTAGAACTAGAATAATAAACCAGGTCTAGAACTAGAACCAGCACGTTCTATAAACACCAAGAGAGCACACTGAAAAACAAACAAACCCGCTCGTTAAGTCCATCAACATTTTCTGGCTGTTCACCCAAACGTTTGCAGGCCAATTCATAAGTATCAAATAACTCCTTTTGGACTTTAAATCCCTGATCACGTCTCTTGGTCAAACGCTTAAATTCGACATTGAGAGCTTCCAACTTAAAAAATAAAGGACGTAGAAGACAACAAAAACCCTTTACCAAAGAAACGGATCCTGGCAAGTATGCACTTTCATCAAACGAAGGCTCACACAATAATTGATTCAGGCCGTGAACTGCTTTGCGATACTCAACAATATGAATCCCAACTTCCGTAACCAGCTAAAAAAAGAAAAGTTTAGGTAAGCACAAACTTATTTTTTAAACCTTATCCTCGCCAGTAAGAAGATCCGAAAGGAGCTTTCGATGGAAGTTAGAAATCTGTTGCCTTCTTTCTTCCCGCATAAACTCTTCCATATGTACTTTATCCCAAAGTTGTTCCAATTTGTCAATAAAGGAACTAAATTCATCGCTAGCAGAATTCTTTGTCTGTTCCATTGAGCTAGAAAAAAATAAAGTTTAAAAAAAAAGAAGAGAAAAGAAACTTTGTAGTATTCGATTCCGTGTTAGAATTAAACATTATTGAAATAATTTAATTAAAATTTTTAAGGAGAAATCTAAAAAGAAAAATCAAAATAAAATTTCTTTGGAAAAGTGAGTGATCAATTTGATATTAAAATATAAACATTGTCAACAACCCCCAATCACTTCCCTAATAAATAATCAAAAGTACCAAACAAAAATAAAAACAAAAAACAAAAAAATTTTCTTTGTTTCGACTCAAATTCCAATTAAATTTAAATATCCACTAAAATATCAAAATGTATTTTCAAAATATCTAAACGCAAAAATGTCACAATCAAAACACTGAATCATTCATTAAAGAATTTTAAAAGAAACTTTTGCATATTTTAATGTAGGGTTGGTCCCCGACCCCGACTAACCCCGACCCCGACCCCGAACCCCGACACTTTTTGACCTAAAACCCCGACCCCGACCCCGAACCCCGACACTTTTTGACCTAAAACCCCGACCCCGACCCCGACATTCCCAACCCCGAAAACCCCGACCCCCGAAAGTTCGACCCCGACGACCCCGAACCCCGAAGAATTTTTATGACCCCGACTCAAACTGCATTAATTAACTTTTATATATTTTTTTGTTGGCATTCTGCTAAAATTCTGATAAAACAAAAGAAAGAAAAGACAACTAAAAAAGAGGAAAAGAACTATTTTTATTTTTCTCTATTCACAGAGAATATTTTCCTGACAAAATTTAAACTAGCTTTTTCTATTCATAGTTTGGTTATACACAACTCATTTTGAATTTGTAATTTTATATAGGTCTTTAGATTTAATTATAAATTATATTAAAATGTCAACTAAATCTTCTGATATTTGGAATTTTTTTGTAAAATTACCAATGACTGATGAATCAGCTAGGTGCAAGCTTTGTGAAAATAAATTTTCTTGTAAAAAAAGTTCAACAAAAGGTTTATGGGACCATCTTAAGTCTATGCATTTGGCAGAATATGAGAAGTTTTTGCAAAAGAATACATCAACATCAGTAAGAGCAAACTAATAAAATAAGATTTTTTATTAACAGACTAATCTGGATATATCAAAATTTCTTGGTAAGGATGAGCCTCAAAAAAAAGCAGATGAAAAAATTGCGGCACTTATGCTTCGCCAAAATTGCTCTTTTTTATTTGTCGAAGCACCTGAATTGAGGGATCTTTTTCAACGTGCATATCCGAATTTAACAGTTGCTTAATTTTTATAATCATCATTAACATATTTTTAGTTACGTCGAAGAAATTATTTTAAAAGAACTGTTATTCCTTCAATGGCAGACTCACTAAAATTTAGATGATATTTGGGCAAAACCTAAATCCCCTTGTACTTCTACATTGCCAAATACAACAATTTCTGGTGAGGAGTCAGCAGATTTTGTGTCAAAGATTGAATCGCAATTGTCACAATATAAAGCCTGGCAGCGTGTTCCAGTTGATAGTGATTTATTTTCATGGTGGAGAGATAATGGGAAGTTCATTCCTGAAATGGCTAAAATTGCTCAAATGTTGCATTGTATTCCCGCAACTTCCATTTGTTCTGAGAGGCTTTTCTCGAAAGCGGGACTTATATATGCTAATACTCTCAGGAATAGGTTTTATTTATTTGTGATTAAAAAAATAATAATTTTAGATTGTCAGGAAAAACTGTCAGGCAAATACTCGTAGTAAAAGCTAACTTGGATAAAGTACTTCTTGCGCCTTCAAATAATATCGAATCGGATTCAGAAAGTGAAGATAATGATAATGAAGATTAAGTTGATTTTTTTATAAAAATGTTGATTTTGAACAGTAATGTTTGATAAAAATGCTGGATTTTGTAAATTTTCACTTCAACCCCGACCCCCGACCCCGACCCCGAACCCCGACATTATTTTCAGCCCCGACCCCGACCCCGAACAATTTGAGCAACCCCGACCCCGACCCCGACTTTGTCAACCCCGAAAACCCCGACCCCCGACTTTTTCAACCCCGAAGGCTCGGGGACCAACCCTATTTTAATGTCTACAAAAAGTTTTAATCTTCGATCTGTCGAAAACAAAATTTATTTAAAAACAATGTTTAAGATAATATCTAAATGCAAAGACTAAAGAATGAAAAAAGAAAAGAAATATTTAACATAAAAATGTGCAGAAAGGTTGTCTTTATTGATTCTCTTTTGTTTGTGTTGTTGCCTTTTTTTTTGATTTGAGGGACCTTATTTTATATTTTAGAAAATATGTATATAGTTTCTGAAGAAAAAAGACGGGAAAGAGAATTTTTTACGAGATTGACCTTACAGAAGGATGATAAATGTTTCCGAGTTGTCTGAATTTCCCTCAAACATTTTGTATTGATCTTTAAAATGGTCATTTTTAAAATGCCACGCTTAATAAATGCCATCCCATTTTTAGATTAACCTCCCCCTCAAAAATTATTTATTTATGAAAACCCCTCTATCACAAGCAGCTTCTTCTCTTTTCATTCCCTGCCTTTCCGCATTCAAAACAACTTTAAATAGTTCAACATTGGGGGCTTATATAAATAAATGTTTATCTTTAAATGGAAATCAATTAAAAGTTGCTGACAGACTCTATTTATTAAACAAAAATGTCCATTTGGTGGCTATTGGAAAAGCAGCCCCTGTAATGGTTGAATCGACAGAGAAGGTGGATTTTACAAAGAAATGACAATTCACCGTCTAGACAATTTACTGATCGAAATGAGTTAAACCTTTATGATTCTCTTGGGGTTGTGAAAGGGAAATTCTATAGTAGAAGTTCTTTATATTATTTTTCTTCACAAAATTATTCCAAAGTCAATCCTTCTTGAGGATTATTCCACCACCCAAAATCTCTCCCTTTATGTTAATCGTCTATTCAGTAAAATGTCCCCCTTTCCCTTTCGCAAATTAGATTCTTGGTCAACACTTTGTGGATGGAATTGCTTCTGTTCCGACCGGATCAATTATCCCAAATAATTTAAAAACTCAATTCCTTTTTGGTGCTGAAAATAATTTGCCTGATGAACAAGCATCAGAAAATACAAAAGAAATCGAGAATTTTGTTAAATTTATTGGACGACCAAATCAATTAATTTTGGTAATTTTCTTTAGTAGAAAATGGACAAAAAAATAAAATTTTTAAAAATTAGTTTTTAATTTCTGGGGGCGGTTCTGCTTTATTACCAGCTCCAATTAATGGAATTACTTTGGAAGATAAATTAGAAATTATTAAATTACTTCAAAATTATGGGGCAGATATTAAACAATTAAATGTTGTTAGACAAGCGCTTTCGAGGCTTAAAGGTAAATGCCTGCCCCTTAAATGCCCCTTTTAAATTGTCACAAAAAGACTCATTAAAGGTGGAGGACTTTCTCGACTTGCTAGCCCATCTCAACAAATTTCCTTAATTGTTTCTGATATAATTGGAGATCCTATAGAATTAATTTCTAGTGGGCCAACAGTTATTTTAAATAAATCTAGTCTAGAACCAATGGAAATTATAAATAAATTGGGTATAAAAAGAGAACAGATTGGACAGAAAATTATTAAAGTATTTGAACAAAGGGAGGAAAAAGTAAAGGAAGAAGAAAAAGAAGTGGATATTCTAAATGTAATTGTGGCTAATAATTCGATGATTTTGAAAGTTTGATTTTAATTAGAATCTCTCTGTATTATGTATGTATCCCACCTTTCTGGGAAAATTTTACTTGAGAGGTATTTGAGGGATTTGGATACGGTAGAGGGAGGATATTTGAGATTATCAATGATTCATTTATGGGATAAGTTGGAGGGTGGGATATCTGGGAAAGGGAATATAATTTGGATTCGTTGAACAATTAAAATTTAAATTAGGAATTGTCTGCTCATTTAAACTCTGCTGGATTTATTCCAATAATTGTTACAAACTGTTTGGAAGGAAATGCAACAAAACTGGGTCAATCAATGGCGAGAATATTGGTTAAATTAGCAACTCAAGCCAAGCATTTAGCTTTGGATATTTCCAACTTTTTGAAAGAAGAGTTTTCAGTAAATGTGGATATTTCTGTTTGTGTTTTTGAACGTTAAAAAAATTTTGGAGCAATTCACCGAAACGACAATTCACCGAAAAGACTTGAACATTTTTCGGTGAATCGTCCCATTTCATAATTTAGAGAGGCATAATTCGCTATTAATATAACGCTTCTTTTAGAATATAAATATCTCAAAAAACGATAAAATTGTGTTAATCTTTGGTGGTGAATCGACTGTTTGTTTTGATTCGAGTCAAGTTTTGCCCGAAGCCAAAGGTGGCAGAAATCAAGAAATGGTGCTTTCTGTATTAAATGAATTGCTTTTATTGGGGGAAGAGGAGAAGGTTTTCTAAATAAAATGAATAAATAAAAAGAATTTTTAGAAGGAAATTTTGAATGGATTGGAGTTTGTTTTTACAAGTTTGGGAACTGATGGACAGGTGTTATTTTGAATAGCTTTAACCTTTCTAAGAGATAAGTAGTCTCATTGTTTTAAAGGAAAGGTAGTTTTGTGGTGAACGAGTTTTATTAAAATATACTTCCACCCTCGGAATCACCTCGTTTTAAATTATGTACCAAATTTAAGTCATGGAGCTTTAATCAATCCTTTTATTCTCTCCTCATAAATCCATTTATAAAAATTCTAACAGAAAATTTTTTCTAAAGGATGGCCCAACAGATGCAGCAGGGGCCTTTATTTGTAGTGATGATCTACTAAACAAATCAACAGAACAACTTTCTTCCCTTTCCACAAAAGTAAAAGCAGCATTAAAAGGAAAATGTTCTTATCAATTTTGGAGTGAATTTAATGAGGGAAGAAATATCGTTAAAATTGGAAAGACTGGAATGAATGTAATGGATATTCAAATGCTTATATTTAAATTTTAGAGAAAAAATTTATTTTTTATAAATTTTTTAGACAATTCTCATTATAAGGTACTCACATTATTCCTCAATTTGGGTGGGAGAACTGCCAGAAGAGACACCTTTATTTGATTTAAAATTAATTTTAAAAATCCAAGACGAGTTTTGAATTTAGTTATCCAGTGGTTATGAGTAGTGTCAAAGAGATATCCACCATTTAAGCTACCTCACCTCATTACATTTCTATTAGCTAATAAAAATATATTTTTATTTGATAATATTAGGAATTTATATGTAAAATATGTAGAAAGAGGACAGAAATAAAGAAAAATTTGTGGGAGAACAATAAAAAAATTTTTTCAATTTTAATCACAGTGGTGAAACAATAAATTCTACATATTATGGCTTTGAAAGTTTTGCGGATTTTAAAAATCGCAAAAATTTTGTCAATTTATTAATCAGGAAAATTGACAATAATAAAAACCATCAAAATAATAAATATATATTCCAAGTAATTGGTTAATCATCATTTTCTATTTAAAATAATTCCCAAGAACAAATTTTAGTCAAAATTTTCTGGTATGGAAAAACCCCAACTTTTAAGGAAAGAAATAGGTTGATCTTAAATTAATTAATCAACTACTTGGTTTAAATAATTATTTAAAATTTCTACTATTTATGAACAGACAATACAAAAAAATAAATATTTTTAGAAGCAATTTGTCACATTAAAAGATAATATTTGAATATATTTTGACACAAAAGGAATGAATAGTCCAAATTTATATGAAAGGTAGATTAGTTAAGTGCCAAAGATAGATATAGATCTCACAAAAAATACACAAGAAAACAATAGAATTTTAAATAAAATCGTTGTTCTAAAAATAATTTTTTAAGAAATTGTATTTATTGAAGAATTGGGATGTCCATGAGTAATAAATCGTTGAACAACACGATGTAAGGCACTCCGAATAATTGGTTGCTAAAAATAGAAAAAGTATACAAATGTTTTTACAAGTATTTTTTAAAGAATTTTCCTAATAAACTTACTTCTTCAGACTCAATCAACGAAGTAAGAGACAGTCTAAATTCAACCCCCAATTCAGCAAACCGATCATTAGGTAAATCACAAGTTCTGTTTAAAATCATTTGTACAACTAGAAAATTATAAATTTTAAAAACAAATTTTCTTTATTTACCTGTTAACCAATAAGAACGAAAAGTGTCTGAATGGGATGTCAAATAATATTCTAAAGCGTATTTTACTGTTCTAAAATTAAGAAAATTTTATTAGTCTTTTTTCAATTACTTCTGAAGTTGTTTTTTAAACATTTCAACAATTTCAGGTTCTCCATTTGAAGATTGAGCATAAAGTTGGAAAAGAATATTTAATGCACAATGAATTGAATGTGCCTCCAATTTCTGCATATTAGGCTTTGATCGACCTTTAAATGTTGCTTTCCAAAGTAAATTTCTTTGAGCTGTAGTGTTTGAAGAAAGGCGGCGAGCCATTGAATGACTTCTCAATAATGCATCGGCAAGGCACATTAAATTTTTTGTAGAGAGGTATTGGAACATTGACTGAAGAAATTTGTAGAGATTATTTTAAAAACTAAAAAAAAAATACCGGCAATTCACCAATCGAAAAAGAATCTTCTGAACGGCCCTCTCCCCCTCCATTTCCTCCCCTTTCATTAGTGAAAGTATTTGAAGGCCTTTTTGCTGGTGGCTCTACTTTGAATGCATTTCTACCAAAAAGAATGTTAGAAACTGCATCTACAACCTTAAAAGGAAGGAAAAATAATAAATTAATTTTGAGAAAAAAGAAAACCTCAAGTTGAATAATACAACGGGTTATTGATGAGAGTAAAACACAATCCTCAAAACTGCCACAACTATTAGTAAATTAAAAAGATTTTTTAAGATTTTTAGAGAAAAGGAATGCCTAACTAATTGTAAGTAAATGAACTAATGATAATGAATTGTAGGGGATGGAAATTATGTGCTAAAAAAACAAAAGATTTTCAGTGGCAGCCATTTCCTCACCCGGGGTTAAAGAAATAATTTTCTCCAAATTATAAAATATGCTTAAAAAATTCTCACCCTTCATCATTTGGTGTTGTAGAAGGTGAATTAGTTGCAGAAGCCATTGCCGACTTTGCTGGATGAGCATTAGTCAGAGATTCAGTTGAATCTCTAAAAATAATTTCTCCAATAAATTCAAATAAATTAAAAAAACATACACATCAACAACAGAGCAATCAAATATTCTAATTAATTGTTCAGTTGTTTGATCCCACATTTGTTTATTAAATTTATTTCCATTTGAAACTACAAGATTTTCGAGGCAATTAATAGCTGATCGGGCAAGTAATTCATTTCCCTGTTCCACACACCAATATAATTGTTTATAAATTTCTGGTAAAAGTAGAGGACCCAACGATATATAATATTCAGAAAATACGTCAACAATAGCGTAGAGTGCGTGATTACATGTTGTAATCATCCATTCATTTTTCTAAAAAAATTGAAAAATTCTACTTAATAGATGCATAAATAAGAAAAATGGTACTGCTAGGCACCGCTTTCCCCTCAAAATTTTTTCATCTTTCAAATCCACCCATCCAAGAAAAACATTTTTTCAGTTTTTAATTCCTTACCTGTTCTTTATTAAGTCTCCTCCAAATAAAATTATTTTTTATTTTAATTTCCCCTTTTCCCTTCATCGAATTTTTCATAAATTTCCCTATACTATTGTTATTTTCCTTTGAATAAAAATTATCTTTTTCTTTAGAATTTCTCAAAACAAAATCATCAAAATAATATTTTAAATATCCTGTTGACTACAAATATTTATTTAATAAAAAATAATTTTTATTTTTTAAATTTACCTCATTTCCAAGTTCATCAATTTTTCCAAAATCAAAAATTCTAAAAATTATTTTGAAAAAGTCAGTCCAAGCATCATCTCCAAATTTTGCACCATAAGATTTTACAAGTTCAAATAAAACTGTTAAACTTCTAGTACGGACGTCTAGCTTGCATCTATTAACAATACAGGAAAGTTCAAATATTATAGGAAGCCATCCTTTGATCCAAATTGGATGACCCTCTAGAATTTTTTTTTGAAAAAAATTTTATGTAAAAATTACTAACCAGTACTTGACAAATCTTTAAAAGATTCGGGCCTTCCACTATTGCTTCCCCAATTTGCATTTATCAAATCTGAGTGTTTATCAACTAGAGCAGCAGCTAGACGAATTAATCGAATAGACTAAAAAAAGAAATTTCTTTACATATTATTTCTCAAAAAAAAACCTCCATGCTGGTATCAGGAAACGCTGGATTGCAAGCAAATCCTGACAAACACTTGATCGCGTCATGGAAAGAGTCAGGAGATAATTCGGCAAAATGTTTGGGAAAAACATCACCTTCAAAAATTTAAAAAATGTTAGCCACAAAAAATTAAAAAACCAATAATTTCTGCAGTTGTAGTAAAAGCTTGTTCGACTATTCGTTCATCCTTTTCAGTTGCAGCCATACTAAAGAGTGAAAAAATATTTCTCCAACCCGAACGAATTTTGTCTGCGTGAGAGTGAACCATATGCTTAAAAATAAAAATTATTTAAATGTTATTCAGATAAAATTATTTACGGTGACACAGGTAACAATCATTTCACGACAGGCTAAAGAACGGTTTCGATCCATAATTACTAAATTTAAAAATATTTTTGAATAAAAACTTTTAAAAAATTAAACCTTCAAAAGGATGTAAAAATTCTTTTTGAAAACGGAAGTTTGGCAATTCCCCTTTCTCTAAAAATTTCATTGACAATTGTCGAAGAGCTTCCAATGCAAAATGTGAAATATTTCCATTAGAAGAACATCCAGCCTGTTAGAGAGAAAATATTTTTAAACATAAAAAATCAGTTAAAAACCAAATTAAAGTGTTCTCCCAAAACGTTCCAAATCATTGACCATCTTAAAAAATGAATTTTTTAATCAAAATAAAATAATTGTTAATACTCTATTCGAATTCTGTTCATATTGTAGAAGGAAATTTCAACGATTTTTTGTAACATAAACATGCTTGGACCCCCAGGGCTACATAATTCTTCGAGAGAAACTTGACAGAGAGCACGCACAAATTGAATAATTGCATCACCAGTTAATTTAGAAGAGTCTTGGAATATCCTGAAAAAAAATAGAAAAATAATTGTAAAAATAAACAGAAAAAACCTGTCAATTGCCACAACAACATCTTGAGAGGAAGTTTCGTCTAAACAACTCTGAACAGCATGGATAGACTTTTCTCGAATATTGAACAGGCTTTTTACATTGTCTTTAATGAAAATGAAGTTTTGAATTTGGTCATTTAATTGATCTTCCAAATAAACTATTGGATGCTTGATTGGGTCTCTGTGCCATTGAATAGGGTATTTTTCTAAAACTAAAAGAGGAACTCTCCTTTCTGGCACAAAATTAAAAATAAGTATAAAGAAGAATAAGCAAAATTTAAAATTTAGATCGATAAAGGTTCTAATTTTAAAAAGTCTGGAATAACATAAATAGCAAGTAAACAATCAAAAATGGATCCGGAAAAAAACTTAATAAGGAAAGGGAAGGAGGTACTAAAAATAGTTTGTTTGGAAAAATGCCTTTTCCTTTTTATTGATGACCAAGAGGGCATACTTTCTTCTTTTTATCGTAAAAATTTCTCATTTTTTGATCATCCTCACCCCTAACATTTCCTATTTTTCAAGATTGGAGGGGGGGGGGGGGGTAGACGAAAAATTGTATACCATGGTTGCCCGTGCTGATAGATTGAACAAGTTCAAGTTGACTTATACATTTTAGAACATCGTACCAGCATTGCTAAATTTTATAAAATTAAATATTTATTTAAAATTTATTTTTCCAACCTCTAAATAATTTCCATTTTCAACACCAATTTGAATTAAAAGCTTTATTGTTTCCACATTTTTTGGTCGCATTTCTGAGAGAGAGCTGTTTGCAGTCAAAAGTGTGAATTTTGTGAGTGCTTGGACAAAAGCTTCCCGTTGTACTTTTAATCTAAAAAGACAAGCAACTCGAACACCTTCAGAAAATCCTTGAAGACAACAACGCCATATTGCAGGATCTTCAGAAGATTGGAGGCCAATACTGAAGGCCGCCAGACAAAAGGACCAGATAAGCTTGAAAGGTTAAAATTAAATATTTTTATAGTATTATTTAATGAAGGGACTTCTTGAAATATTTTAAATTACCTCAAACATTAACTGAACTTGCTCAAAATGTTTGGCAGTAGTAAATTCAACATGAGTAAATGTCGCAGCCTCCATCAGTGAATGGGCTACTTGAGAAATAGATTCCAATTCTAAATTTTGAAACATTTTTCTTTGTCTTATTGTTGCCGTTTCAGAGTCTAAAAATAGAAAAAATATGTTTTAAAAAATAAAAATTAACTAAGTTTTGGTCTTTTCAAATTCCCCGGTTTAGTTTTTATTTCATTTGCAGAAATATCGTCATATATTTTAGATAAAAATTCATCAGGTAAATCATCCTGTCCATTTATTCCTCTATTCATTCGAATATATTCTTCTTTAAGCATTTTACGTTTTACCTTTAAAAATAATCAAAAAATAATTTTAAAAAATCAAACTTGTGGATTATGCAAATCTGTAGTGAGCATAATTATTGAATAGCTGAGAACGTAGGCAGTGTCAGCAGAAGCAAAAATTTTTAATTGAGGGTTACATTCACAATATCTTTAAAATTTTATAAGGAAAAAAATTTAAAAAGAAAACCTGCTAGCAAATTTTTCCATTATTCTATCAATTTTTTGAGCCTCACCGGGAAGTCTAAATTTATTGAGCAAAGTACGCAAAGCTTGAACAATATTAACACCAGAAAAATCAAAAGTATCAACATAAGAATACATAACTTTTTGGTTAAATGAATCTCCATCACCGAGATAATCGCCAATAACTGACTTATCCAAACGTTCTTCAGCATGAAAAAATGCTGCTATATCTTCTGGTTCTGTGCCAATGAAGCCTTTTGAGTGTAAAAATGCGAGGCCTTGAGCAGGCTTTTTAGCGAATAAATCAATGCCTGATTCGATAAGGCTTTTTTGTTGTTTGACCTGAAGAATTGAAAGTAATATAATATTGAATTTCAGTAAAAATTAATTAAAAGTAATGATAATTATTCAAAAAAGCAGGTCCGATTTACCCTAATCGAAACCCTGAAGTTTTAGAAGATATTCTTCGGCAATTACTAGAAAGGTAACAAAGATTTATAAGAATTGAATGATAAATTTGGATATCCGGACTTTTTCGGGATCCGACAACCTCAATTACAAAAGGCATGCCCAAATAAAAAATTGTTAGGTAGATAAAGTTCTTTTGAATATTTGCTACCATTTTTAAGATAAACATTTAAAATTAAATAAAAACCTGAACAATTTGATTAACGTCAGCAGCACTTCCTTCAGTAGAAAGTTGAAGAGGCTGTTGCTGCTCTTCTGCTGGATATTGAATAGATACTTCTTTCCCAATTTCCATATCCTCATACCAAGCAACCAGACATTTTAAAGCCTTAACTAAACATTTCAACGCCAATTCACGCATCCGTTTTTCACGATCTTTTGCAATTTGTTGACCATGTGTGGGGGAGGAAGGGTCCGAAGAATAACTTGACTTAAAAGTGAAATTATTTAAAGATAGTAAAATTAAAAATGAATTTATCAAGTCAAAATGAAAAAAAGTATGGTAAGATCCAAACTCTAAAAGGAATTGACAGGGCCTTAAAAAGACTACAGAACCGGTAAAAAATTATTCGAGGAGAAGATAAAAATATCGTTGAAGAAAGTCAAGTGGAATCAATCAAAATACAAATTTAAAAGACAAGGAACTTATTGTTAGCACTTTTAGTTTCTGACCCTCTAGGAGATGCTCACAAAAATTAAAAAATTCCCAACTTACAGCAATTTTAGCCAAATGAGAAATCAACTCTTCAAAAATATTAGCAGAAGTCATATGACAATCATAATTAACATAAATATCCACCACACTTTGCGAGTCATCAAAAATTTTACTCAAAGCATTTAAAACTGCCCATTTATGTTCAAACGAACTTGAAGGACTTTCAAGAATTGAAAGTAAAATTTCTTTAAAAAATACTTCCAATTGTTTTTTTAAATGTGATTTCCATTTATTTATTAATTGAACAATTATTGAAAGTGCTTTTTCGAAGACTGTAATTGTTGGAGAAACAGCATTTTGTGTTAAAGCGACACACAAGAAATGCCGAATTGCATAAACAAAACTGTGATGATCAGGTAATGGTTGACCATTTATATGCTCCATTACAAGTAAAATCATTTCAAGTGAAAGAATTTTTGATCGAAGTTCATGACTTCTAAAATTAAATAAATTGGAAAATTAATAAAAAAAATTAAATAATAAAATCAAGAAATCGTAATTTTATATGGCTAATCAAATAAATCCCGCTTGAGTAAGATTAATTCCAAAATTTATTAATTATCAAGCTAAAGCTGATTTTAAATCTTATTCTCAAATTCGAGAAATTAATAGAAACAAGGTTTCCATAAAAAGCAAAGTCGCCAAGAATTTCGCCTGAGGCTCAAAAAGAGAAGGCATCTTAAAGACTTACTTTTTTGGAAGCCATCTCTCCTCAAAAAAATTTTTTCTCGTCATTGAGTTAAAATAAATTTTTAATTTTCAATTATAATCAATAATAAAAATCTCACAAAATAGAAATATTTTTTAGAACTTTAGTCTCAAATACCCAAAAATTACAAAATTTTAAACCTTGGATCTTGTTCATCAGGCAAATGTTTCATTGAAAGTTTACAAAGTGCTCTAAAAATTAAAAAAGCATCTTTTTCCTCAATTGAATTAAATTCTAATTTTTGTTGTTGTAATTGTCTAGGAGTTCCCCCATTTGTTGTAACATTTAAATCTGTAGTATTTTCACTAGATCCATTTATTCCATAATAATAACTTGGGGAAGATGAATGAATTGAACCATTTAAAATTATATTTTGTTCATTTGGACTGAGAGGCTCGTTAAAATCGATATTTGTTGACTTGAAAATTAATTTTAAAAAATTATTATAAAAAATAAAAAAAACCTTCAAATCCTGTTCCCCATTCTCATATTGACAAGAATCGAGTGATGTACTAACTTGATAAACTACAGAATCGAGAACATCCTTTACAACCTTAAAAAAGGAAAAAAAGTAAAATTTAAAAAAAATTTGTAAAAAATTTTTTTGAAAAATTAAAAAAATCCTAAATCGAAATTCTTAAGTTAACTTCAAAGGAAAGGGCCAATCCATATTTTAAATAAGAGGGCTAACATAAACAATTAAGAATTTTCCCTTTTAAAGCAATTCCCAAGCCATCCAGCCCAAAAATTAAAGGCAAAATTTAAACAAAAATATTTTACCGAATTTTCATCAAAAGGAATAACAGCAGTGTCAACCACAGTTCTCTCCATATTTGTAAAAACATAATTAATTGTTTGTGTCAAAATACCCTTTGCAGTCGATTGATTAATTGGACTTTTGCTAGCCAAATAAATATTAAAGCAAGTACGCACAGCAAGCAATAAAGAACTTTCGTGGATTCGACAAGTCTGGTTGAGAATTAATGCAAGAATTCCCTTAAAATTTAAATTTACCAGCAAAAAGTTAAAAAGCAAAAGCATTTGCCAAATAAAATTGTGAAAAAGTCAGACCTTAATTATTTGAAGTTGAACGGCGTCGTCAGTGTGGGGACCTTGGAATGGAGCACAAATAGCTTGAACAACTCCTAATAAAAGAAATTAAAAATTAATTAAAAAAAGCAAACAAACTATCAATAAGTAATTGTTCAGGATTATCACTGTCTGGTTGATTACCAATTAAATGGCCATAGGAAATTAATTTCTAAAAAAAGAAAAAATAATTTTAGGAAGCTAATTTTCTTTATAAGGAAGGGAAAAAAAAGAGGGATCTGAAATAATTACAAAATAAGAAAAAAAAATTTTGGGAAGGGGAAGTAGCTATTTAACGACAAAAAATATTTAATAAAAAACCTGAAGTGAATCCAAAGCATTTATAACAATTTTGGAGGATTTACTTTGGCATGCCTTAAAAGAAATAAAAATTATTTGAAGAATAAACCCTCTCTAACACTAAAAAACCTACCAATTCAAAAGGAGGAAAATACCGGTCAGCCAAAAAAATATTATTTCCATTAGGCAAAATAGCACAAGACGGCCCCGTTCCATTTTCTGTTTGTTGCTGCCCAAAAGTCTGTAATTCTGCATTAAGTTGCTCTAAAAAATAAAAATTTCCTTAAATTTCTTCTAAAAAATACCGAGAGACTCTTCACAAGCTTTTCTCAATTCAACATTTTCTTTTCGTCTAGTACCAGCATCAGTTAAAATCCTTTCTATGCTAGCTTTCAAAAACATAATTCTAGAGAAAGGAGCTTAATAAATAGCTCTAGAGCTCGTTGAAAACAATCTAAAAAAATAAAAATTAACAAAAATTAGTGTGTAAGTATGACTAAATTATTTAACAACAAAGAAACTTTCAAATAAAATTTGCAAAAAAAAATTAAAGAAAAATTCACGTTTCATCCACGTTCAAACAAAAACAAAATTAAAATAAAAAAATATTTGACGCGTGGCGGAGAAAAAACAAATAAATAAAACCCGCAGGCATGGAGGGAAACGAGAGAAAATACAAAGTATTTATTTTTCTTTTTCTCTTTCCGGCCAAGGACACTTAAGTCTGTCTATTATTTCAATCTCAAGCCTTATTTTGGACCTCAACCTTTTTAATTTGTAGCCGATTAGAATAATTCTTGTATTGACAAAGTTGCTGAAATCTGCCAATAAATATGAAAAGTTGTTATCGAAATTCGACATTCGAGTAAGAATTTTCGGACTTAGATGTCTCCTTATTCAGTAAATTTATGGAAGCGCCCACTTTGTTGCTGGCTACTTTGTTGCAATATTGGCTTTTAACTAAGTTTACTGTATGTTCAAGTAAATACGATTAAAAAAACTTTCGGATTCTGTTTCAATTTTTCGACAGAAAGTGAAACACTTTGCTTATTTTTCTTCAAAAATTCTGAAGCTAGAAAAGTCTCATGCCGATTATATTAGCAAATAAAATGAAATGATAGTTTGGTTTGATTGGAATGATAGTTTCGTTTAATTCATTTTTGCCATATTTCACCTATTTAGCTATGCATCTAAACCCAGTACTATATAAAGGTGCTGAGAAAGCCTATCTATACCTTACTACAATATCATTCAATTACAATTCTACATTGCTACAATCCCGAAAACTTTTGCAACAAAATCTGTGCTAGAAAGGCCATCAACTGTGGAGTCTTCCATCTTCAACAACAACAAATCGAACAAAAAGCAAACAATGTTCGCAAACATCGCGGCATTCTCCATTGTTGTTTTACAATTGCTTGGACAGTTAAACATCACTGGAGCGGTAAGCGTCGGTCATTGGAATCACAGCCTTCAGGAAGGAAAGGTAACGCTTGCTAAAGGCTCGAGGGTTGCTGCCGGCAGAGAAGATTTTGGACAGTATATGAGGAGTTCTCCTAATGCTTGCATTATTGACACTCTGAAAATGGTGGGTAAAGATTATATGTAAGTTACTTGTTGATTTTTAGTTTTCTTTATTTCCTTTTTTAGCAGTCTGTTATATTCCAAGTATAAGGATAAAGAGGCTAAAGGTTGTACGGTGGATTTTTTAACTGATCTGGAGAACGAGATTGCTTTATCGGCTGCTCTTGTAAATTTTGACGGGATTGGTTTTTGCTTGAATAATGGTGACATCAATTCAAATGTGTAAGTTTAAACTTTAAACAGTTAATAAAATACAGTCTCTTAAACTGAAAGTATGAAACAGTAACCAGATTATTTTTTAGATTGCCTTTTGCCTACAGTCTGACAAATGAAGAGGTCAAGAAATTCCACAATGGCCCTCTTTTCGCTGATGGTGACTGTCCTGGTTGTTATGGGGGATGTGTCAAAAAGACGGGTCTAGAATTTAGATGGGCTTCTTATGAAGCTCGAGGCAAAGAATATGTTTTGCTTTCTGCAAATCCAAGTAAATATCCGCTTTCAAATTATAAACCTTATTTGTTTTAGTTGCCACGAAATTGGTTCAGACTGAAATAAAATTGTGGTACATGAAGGAGAAAGCAATTAGAATTAATTCTGTTCTCACTATCAACCAAAAGGATCCTAAATTTCATATCAGTTCTCCAATAAATGAGCCAAACATCAAGGATCAAAAATCTATTTGCATGAATAACCTTAAAGAAAACGTTCTCTCGCCTTCAACATGGGAAATTGTCGGTACGAGGCCAGATCCTATAATGACTCGTTTGTTGGTTTTTCATCTTCTTCCACAAACAGCATCGCGAAAGATGACAATGAAGGTAGAAGATCTTGTTACAGGAAATAAGAAATATGTTGTAAAAAAAGAACATCCAGTTGGGCCTGAATGCAATGAAGTGGCGATCTTATTTGTAAGTGATATTTTTATTTAATTGATGTACATATTTACTTCTCTAGGATAAGCGTAATTACAGATTGCTGACTGTCTCTCCTATTACTGCAACATCAAAACCAACATCACCTGCAGAATTGCCAACTCAAGGCTTACCAATTATGCAACAGAAAACTGCACCCTCTCCCAAAGTTTCAACTAAATCCCCCTCCAAAACTACAGTCACAAAAGCTAAAACAAAGAGGACTTCTACCACCAAAGATTCTTCAGAGACTCTGTTGATTGTTGTGATGATCGTTGTTGTCGTTATTATTTTGGTTGCTATTGGGATTGGAATTGCTGTCTACTTTGTCTCTAGGAAGGACTCAGGCAAGAAAGAGAAAGGTGCTGCTAGACCCAACAAATAAACTGTTCGATATCTTACCTATATATTTATGTATTTTACCCGTTCCCCTCTATCCAGTTCTCCCAAACATTTTTTCCGTATTTCATATGCTAAATAGTAGAACATATTTGTATCACAATAAGATTTATTTATTGTATCCACCCATTTAGTATATTTATAAATATAAATACAAAATTTTTATTGTTCTATTTAAATGAAGTTAGGAATATTTATTTAATGATTAGTTGATTAAACTAGGTTTGAGAATAAGCTAAAATATACATATAAGTGGTGCTTTTCCGTTATGGTGCCACATAAAATATTTAAGAGAGTCATGAATCTGGATAGAATATGTCATTCGAAAGAGGTCGACAGGCTGAGTCGAATGACATCAAAATCAGCCCTCGTTATCAATCTTGGACCAAAATAAAGAGGTTCAAAATGGTCAAAGTAAACGTATTAAAAAATAAAGATATACATATGTATTGTCTCATTATTAAATTCATTGTATCTAAGCATTTGTATTTCTAAATAAACCAAAATTTTTCATTTGTTTTTGAATTAAACACTTTATCTTAACTTATTTCATTATTATTTTATCTACATATATTTTCCACTTAACTAAAAGTGTTTTATTTTTTCAATTTAAATTTTTTTCCAAAACAAAAAACATCAAAAAGCCCCTTCAAGTAATTTTTGTATTTATAAAATACCTTTGACGGCAAATATTTTTTTGTTTCTTGATTTATTATATTTTTTGCACTTCTACGTCAATTAATGTTGCTAAATTCTTTTTAAATTAATTTTGGGTTAAAAATAAATTTTTGGAAATTCTTTTGCAATTTTAATTATTTATATCCTCCTAAATTTGATCTAACAATCATTTCCCTCCAACAATTTACCTAAGCACTATTTATAGAGGTAAATGGAATAAATTAAAAGAGAATAAAAAAATATTTATTTATTTATTATCGGGTTAAAAATATCACAAAAAATATTTTTGATGAATAAAAAATAAATAATCGTCAAAACTGGACATTATTTAGTTTTAATTCTTGTTATTTGCATATTTTATACTGCTGTTGATAAAAGGCATTCATAGTTTGTTGGGACAATTGTATGTTTTGGTCAAAATAGTTAAGAAGAAATTCAAAACTATTGAGGCTTCTTTTTGTTAAATAGATATGTAATGGCGACCATTATTTTTTATAAGTCCACTATAATTCTTTAAATTTGCACCTAATTCGTCACCATTCTTAAAAAATCGCTTTAAATTTTAAGATTTACTATAATTTTTTACTTTCTTTACATCTTCAGCCAATTTCCAGAGAATCCAAATTAAAAATTCATTGGAATCCTTCTCATTGATTCCGTCAAAATCCGATCTGACATAACGTGATATGATGTCCTTAAATATAAAAGGATTAATACAAAATTAAAACTTTCTCTCATCATCCAATATCAAAATGTACGTAAATGTTTAAAAATTTAATTTATTAAGATTTTCCCAATTTAAATTTTTTATAATTTCCACTTTTATATCAAAGATGTTTTCTATTTTGCTAATATTATCACAAATTTGCTAATTTGGCAATTTAAAATTATATACCAGAAAAAGATTGGTATTCAAAACAGCATATTTTTGACTCCAGTAAGCAGTTGAATATTCTGATAGACAGGCTGAATATGCTGATAGACATGTCTGGGACTCAACCGGCGGGACTCAATGATCCTGTTCCGAAAATTTTAAGAGTTAATGTTAATTTAAATTAACTATTTTTGTTTTTTTAATTTTAGATAAATTAAACGACCTGTTGATGGAAAGTATGAAAGTGTTGTTGGCAGTTTGAGCAGGTGTAACTTTTGGCAAAAATTGTTACGAAGAAGTTCAAAACAATCGAAGATCTTTTTGTTGAATAAAGATATATTCTTTCCCATTATTCCTTATATTTATTTCTGTTTGGATAGTTTTTCAAATTTATGCCCAATTCGACCTTTTCCTTAAAAATTGATTTTACTTTAAAATTTCTATAATTTCAGACTTTTTTCTTATCTTCGGCAAGCTGCATTAATATCCAAAGTAGAAATTCATCTGCATCTTTTTCATAATTCCCATCAACTTTGATCGAACAAAACGAGATATAATGTCCTAAATATAAAAGGTTTTTTTGGAAGAAAAATTTCTTCACCCCCTCAAGCAACTTTCTTCACCCTAATTTTTGGACTGTGGAAATTCCAGGCGCCTAAAGAAGAAAAAGATTAATTGCTTTAAAAGAATTATTCTAACAATCTTTCCTTCTTTAGCTAAATTATCTATAGTATCCACGCACAATTCATACATATACTTCATTAAATCGGGAATTGTTTAGCTGAGAAGAAATAGGTAAAGGTCCACAGTATTATAGTGGTTATGTTGTGTTTATTGTAAAGTTTTGAGAACTCTACCGTAATTAATTAAAGCTTAAATACCATAAATTAAACGACATCGTCTCGAAAAATAGAATGTTTTAGCTAAATCTCGTCCAAATCTTGTCTCTCGTGAAGAAATTTGCTATACACTCGCTGTTTTGAAAGTTAACTTTATAAAAAAAACTGTAAAAGTTTTATTCTTTTTAAAATAAATAAAAAAGTTTTCGACAGAATGTCTTGATTTTCCTTTAAAAATTATACAGTGATGGACAAAAGATTTTTTACAGAAATCAACCCAATTGTATTTTATGGTAAATTTTAAGGGCTTTCAGGCAATCATAAAAGGAGATTTTGATGTAACCCATAATGGGTCGTAAATATCTTTTAAGTATTTTTTGATGCTTCAAAGTATCTTTTTGATGTTTCCCTCCAACAATTTTTTCCTTTTTAAAATTTAATCCAACAACTATTTCCCTCCACTGTATGTATTTATCAAATTAATAATTGCTTGAAAATATTTTCTAAAAAATGCTTTATTTTTTCAATTTAAATTTTTTTCTAAAACAAAAAACATCAAAAAGCCCCTTCAAGGAATTTTTGTATTTAGTATAAAATACCTTTGACGGCAAATATTTTTCCTTTCTTGATTAATTACTTTTTTTGCACTTCTACGTCAATTAATGTCTGTCGCTAAATTCTTTTAAATTAATTTTGGGTTAAAAATAATTTTTTGGAAATTCTTTTAAAATTTTAATTATTTATATCCTCCTAAATTTGATCTAACAACCATTTCCCCCAAAAAATTTAAGTACTTTTTTATGGCTCCCGGAAATTTGGGGAGTGGACACTTGGGGAGTGGACATTTGGGGAGTGGATAAATGGGGAGTGAGCGGACAATTGGGGAGTGGACATTTGGGGAGTAGCCTAACGATAAAAATAAAATAGAATATTAAATAGTTTTTCTTGCTTTTGTATGTATTTAAAGTAATTACCGGCGCGGGACGGGATATCGCGCGGGTTTTGCGGGATTATACCCGCGGGATCCCGTCCCGCAGACTTTTTTAGAAGTTACTCCCGCATGCGGGATCCCGCAAAATATTTTGCATTTTGCGGGATTTCAGAGAAATGAAGGCTTTTGGCCCCTTGGCTTTTAAACTTTTTTTTCGCCTGCGGCGCTAAAAAAGGAAGAAATCTGGCATTGTTGCCTTCCTAAATTTTAAAATTTTCGCTGTGGCGCTAAAAAAAGAAAGAAATTTGACTTAGTTCAAAGGATTTTAAGAATATATGAGGGATTACTCATTACTTCTTTTGAATCTCGGTGCTGAATCCGGATCTTCCGTCTGATCACTCTCCTCGTTGATCATCTTCAGCTGGTTACTCGAGTCTCTCGGCTGACTCTCTCGGCTGATGACACGATCGTCACTCGACTGCTCACTCCCCAAATGTCCACTCCCCAATTGTCCGCTCACTCCCCATTTATCCACTCCCCAAATGTCCACTCCCCAAGTGTCCACTCCCCAAATTTCCGGACACGCTTTTTTATTTATAAAATGGACTAAATATTATTTTCATTGCTCAATATCTACAGTGTTTAACCTTGACAAGCTATTGAAGGAAAAAATTATAAAAAAGCCGATTTGGCATTTAAAAGAGAATAAAAAAATATTTATTTATTTATTATCGGGTTAAAAATATCACAAAAAATATTTTTGATGAATAAAAAATAAATAAATAATCGTCAAAACTGGACATTATTTAGTTTTAATTCTTGTTATTTTTGATGGATTCTTCCAAATATTTTTCTCTTTTAGTATTTGCAATCAATGCCACACTGTGGATTGATGAATATATATTTAGTTATATTTAATATTTTCCTACCAGAAAATATTTTTGAAAAAAAATTTCTTATTTCCATTGTTTTTAAAATGGACTCCACAACTTCCAACAGTATTTGTAACAGGCAGAGGCTCTCACACATACTCCGTATTTTCTGCCACTTCCGAATTCCCCCTCCGTCCTCCATTTTTAGAAGATGGAGCTTCCCTGCTTTGTTGTTGTTGCAGTCCAAGTATTAAATAAATTTTCCAATTACTGAAGGAAATTTCTACTTTTTTCTCTTTTTTAAATTTCTTTCTTATAAAGGAACAATTTTTTTTATTTTTTTGACCTTTTTAGTTTTTTTCATCAAATTATTTTTTAAATTAATTGTTTTTATTTAGAGGTACATATGAAAATAATTATTATTTTATTAAATAAATTTCTTTATAAAATTTACAAAAAATATTTATTATTTAATTTATTACAATTTTATTTAATTTTATTTTCCAATATTTATTCATTTTCTATAATTAATATTAAAACAAACAAAAATTTAAATTTAATTAAAAATGTTAGGAATAAAAATGTTATGTTAAATTCAAAGAGTTTGAGGTATTTTTATTGGAAATTTGAGAAGACATTCTTCTCTTTAATTTAGTTGAACATATCTATTCTATCCTAAAATTTAGACATTTTAGATCTTGATTTATTCCTTCCCCACTAGTTAAGAGAATTATTTCTCGTTTATATCAAAACTTTCACTGAGCATTCTTGTATTTATCCAAGCTTCTTTAAGTTCCCTGCATTATCAATCATCTTCAAAAATTTTCCACATTTCCACCTCCTTTTGTTCAATTATAATGGGATATATGAGTAAAGCAGCTGGGCTATAGCTATTTCTCTCCTTTAGCTAGTGCAAAAGGTTATTCGGCGGCTGGGAGCGAACCAGCATCTTCAGTAGACCGGACTGATGTGTTAGCCATTACACCACGCCGCCTACTGCTTAGCCTTAGGAAATTAATAGCTATATGCTTTACATATGAAAATTTTTGGAAATAGTTAAAAATATTTCTTTTCAAAATTTTCAGGCCCACTTCAGAAATTAGATACCAAACACCAAATCACCAAATAAATTATCAACCATCCCCCTCCCTTCCACAATCACAACAATGTTTAATTCCATCAGATTTTTGGTGTGATAATTCAAATATAGCATTAATATGTACTGGGGGCTCTACAACTTTTTGCAATAATTATAGAAGGAATAAATATTTTAATAAAAGAAAAATTGATTTAAAGTTAGTTTAGAAATAATATTTAATAAAAACTTGGGCTGTCTTGTTAATGATTTAAACGATGACTTTTGGGATAAAGTTTAATAAAAGGAGCAAAGGGCAGTTGAAATTCATATATCTTTGGAGAGAAAAGAAAAGGAGTTGATGCTTCCGAATGTTTGTAATTAAATATTAGAGACAAAGGCAATGGCTTTTCATATACATTTATTAGAAATAACATTTCAATTAGCAAATAGCAATAGGTATTTACAACAAGAAGGTGGTTGTTATATTACAAAACCTACATAATGTGTGGGGGGATTATAGATATATCAACACAACTAACACACATTTATTATTATCAATATTTGTTCACTACATCACACACTTCGATTTAGTTCTCCTTTACGGTTATCATGCAGAAGTCTTCTCGCACAAGTTTAGCCTGCTGGATGTTGCCTCCAATCTTGCCTCCATGAACAGTGAATGGCAACAGAATGGAGGTACTAGTAGTGTCATCAGTCGAAGCGGCAACAATGGCGTTGTTATTCTTTGGAGGGGAAGAAGCTTCAGACTTCCCCCCTTCCACCTTCACATTTTTGGTCGCTTCCTCGACGAACATCATCTCGCATGCATACAGAGCCTCGAACAGGTAGAGAACAACCAGCACAGCAGAACAAATCTACAAAGTTGAATTAAGATTGAAAAATCATCAAAATCTCCCACCACCGCCACAATGAAGACTTTGGGCTTCTCCGGTCGGAAATTTGTGCACATCCATAAACTGTCCCAGTTGACGCTCGTGGAGGAAGTCAAGACAAGCATAATTCCCCAAACGACAATTGAGACCACCAGAAAAATCAGCTCGCAAACCTTTAAAATAAAAAGAGGATTAGAGATTAATTTAAGTCAAAAAAATTACCGAATAACGTCCATTATTGTCGCTGAGAGCACAGCGACAGAATTGAAGAATCAGATGGAGAAAACTGGCTAGAGTGTAGACGAGCAAATGCTTTGCTACATGGTTGAACGGATCGAAAACATCGGCAGGCTTGTTTTCTTGCATTCCTTCCATTTTGTTGATCTGCAAAATTATTTAACTTTAATGAGATTTAATGGGGATGTTTTCACCTTGTAGGCGTGAGTCCCATTGGGGAAGCGAGGCTGTATTTGGTTGTCAGAATTGACCGGATCTTCCTTCTCCTCAACATCTTTTGTCTCCACAGAATTTGCTGCACTGGCAACCGAAGGCAGAGGAATTTTGGCGGTGTTGGCGGCCCCTTTGTCTGTTGAAGTAATGTTCGGTAGACTTGTATTCAATGAGGCTATATCTGGAGATTCTCCAAGAATACTTTCCGTCAGATTCTCGGCATCTTCTGGCATTTGCAACACATCAAGCTGACCATGACCTTTAAAAAAGGAAGCTTTCCAAATCTCAAATAATCCTTCTCACCGGTTTTCCATTCGAAGAGAAGAGAAATGCGCATCTTCAATTCCCCAGTGGTCGAATTTACTTCGTCGCCAGTGACTTTCAGGCTGCGCTCCAGAATTGTCAGGATTCGTCCAGAACTAGGAGTGTTGTCCTTGCTGCCTTCACTTCTCTCCTCTCGATCTTTCAATGTAGCATATCCGCTATTGCTGAGGTGTTCATCCAATTTCTCCTGCGGTGTTGGCGGCTCAGCGTTGTATATGACGAATTCTTTGCATCGAAGACCGTCAGATTCTAGGTCAGATTCAGATTCTAGTCAGATTCTAGGAGCATCTTGCGGATATTCGCCTACAAATAAAAATAAAGATTAGACCAATCAAATACTTTTAAGTACTCGATCGGCGTAGTAGAAGTTTCCTCGAAGTTCGGTCGTTGACAGAGCTTGCATGAGCACAATAAGCACGCAGAGGATTTGGATGCAATTCACCATCAAGAAGAGCATGACGTTGTGCTTGTTTGCTGGAGTAGTAGCCTTGCCAGAAGTCATCTTATGTTGCTGTTGTTGCACCATTAAGTGAATCGGTCTGATGATGTTGGGGGGCTTGACAATTTGGATTTGAGATGGATAAAAGATAAAATATTGCTCTTTTATAGTACCGTAAATCCTCTAAAATAGGCTCCCTCCAAAATAAGCCCCCCCTTTAAAATAAGCCCCCTCTAGAGGTCGATAGAAAAAATAAGCCCAGGGGCTTATTTTAGAAGATTTACGGTATATCAATTTTGGAAATAAACTGAGATAGGGCCAAGATTTTAGTTAAACCAAATCCTCCTTATTTTTCAAAATAAAGAGATATTTTTTTCTAAATTTAAACAGGTTAGCTTTCGAAAGTGGATGTCCAGATTCTCAAAAATTAATTGTAAATCATCTCTTTCCAAAAATTTTGAACAATCCAGAATTTGCAGATTCTATAGATTTTACTGCTTTTCCTTGGGGACTTTCTAGACGCCTTCCAGGTAATTTCCTTTAACGAATATTTAAAAAAAATTGTTTTCTTGAAGGATTAATGGCTTTGAAATATTCTTAAAAATTTAAATTAACCCTTAATAGATCCTCTCCAATATTCCCTCTAGTAGGCCTTCTCCAAACCTCTATTAATGCGTAAATGCTCTAAAGGAGTAATTCCATAGAATTTTAGTCGACTCAAATAAAAGGTTCTCTCCAACAGTATGACATAAAAATAGCTGAGTATTTTCAAAAATAATGCAGACCCTAATTAAGCCATTATTTTATTTTTTTGGATATACTCGGTTATTTCAGATTCTGATTTTAGAAAATCTAATCGTCTGCCATCAGGCATTTTTTACATAAAAGATAAAATTTAGCTATATTTTTAACCAATTTTCGACCAGAATGTTCGTTGTCACCATGGACCTCGTGAATGTTTAGGCAACAGATTACTTTCTTGTATATTAAATATTTATAAATGGGATAGAAAAAGGAGAGATGTTATTTTGTATTGTTTTATGAAACAAATGATGATTGTTGGAAGTGATCCAATGAATGAAATGAAAAATTGTTTGGTACAGGTTTGGGCAAATGAAATAATGATTGAGGAAATTAGGTAATTATAGAAGGGATTGATGGCGACGGGGAGGGTTTGATGGAGAATGGATATGTATTTACAAGCGATATTTAGACATTTTTGGGGAGGGATAACACATTTTATTTTCGCTTGGAAATCTCACTGATTTTTCTAGGGATTTTATTATTTTACTATTTTTACTATAGATATCCAATAATCATTTTTTGACACTCTCCAAATATTTGAATCTCTGATATATCCCAGGATATCTTATTTTCTAATAGCTTCATAGCTATGAGTTATACGTAAAGAGGATAAATCAGTTGTTAATAATTTTTGAAATTTAGGAGATGCGCAAATGGCTCTCAATCTTTTAAATTTCAATTAGAAGATGAACACAATACTAAACGAATTTTAACTCAAAAACCTCGTTTTGTGCCATTTTTGTCATTTAATGATTTTAGCCATATACAAATACAATCCTCTCTACAATTATTTTTTGTTGAAAAAATGAGGCATTGGAATAAAACAATTGAAGGAAATAATGGGAATAATCAAGTAGGTGGGAGAAAAAGCGTGGGGGGGGGGGGTAAAAAATAGGAGAAGAAAATCTATATCTTTCGACTAAAATCGGCAAAATATTTAAAAAAAAACTCCAAATTTAAACGCCTTTTTGTCGCTTAAAAAAGTTTTATCTATTTCTCATTTAATACATATTCACTAAAATACTTTCTAATAATTTTAAAAAATCCCCGAAACTCCAAACATTACTTAATCAGTTTTATTTCCTTAGGCTAAGATAAGATAAATATATTAATTTTATAATTCAAAAAAATCCTTCTCTTTTCCCCATTAGTTTTTCAGCTTCAAAATATCGACAACGAAACAAATGAAAGAATTAGTAGAACAACAAAATTTAATTTAAAAGAATGCAATTTTCCCCCAGAATTTTGGTGTATTAACCAAAAAATAACTTTAGAATGTTTTAATAAAGAATTGTGTAATCAACAAAATTTAATTAATTATGGCCGTCCTTTAAATTTTAAAATAATTTTTAATTCAAAATTTGGAGAATCTAGAAATTATTTAATTAAATATATTTTAAATAATTTATTAAATAAAAATACTTTAAAATATAAATTAAATTTTGGGAAAATGTTTGTTGAATTAGAACCTTTATTTTTAACAAATCAAGAATTGGAGGAATGTGGATTTTCTGAATGGTGTGCTCAGAGAATTTTGGAGGTAGGTAAAAGGAGAGGAAATGGGATTCTTTTTTATGAAAGAAAAGAAATACCTCTAGTAGTAGAGCCCGGACCGAGACGAGTTCTCGATCAAAAATCTCGATTATCGAGATCGAGAATCTCTAAATCTCATTCAATCTTTACAAGGTTCATCAAAAAACCTCAATTTATTTAAAGATTTGTATTTCTGGAAGTGTTGCAGATATTAATAAAAAAAATAATTTATTACTTTGTTTGAACACAAGATATGAACAAATTAATTTGAATTGGATAAATGAATGCCTTTTTACTAGTGAAGGAGAGCGACAGTCAATAATGTTAGTTTTTGAAATTTTAAACTTTAGAAATTAATATTTTGAATATAAATTTTGAGATGTTTTGTGCCTAAATGGGGGGGGGATTGGGAAAACAATTAGAGAACAAAAAACAATCAGAATTTAAAAAATCCGCAACTAGTCTGTAATTACAAAAATCACAGAATTTAGATCCCCGGGATTGTGTATTTTTTCCTATGACTAGAGAGAGCTCTTCTCTTTCAAATCATCCATTTACCCCTTCCATTACTTTAAATATTTCTTTAAAATTTTATTTTTAAATTTAAAGCAATTGTGCACAAAATTCACAAATTTGGCAAACATATAATTCAAAATTAAAAATCCAACAAACCCAACCATTTCTTGGACCCGAACCAATAAAAAATAATTTATGGATATTAATTAATAATTATAGTTTATCTACAATACAAAATTATATTTATATTTTAGAACAAATGGTTTGTAGTTCCGAAAATTAAATAAAAATTTTTTAATCAAAAAGGTTTGTCTTTGGTATAATGGGCCTGGACATAATAGAGATAATTGTGGGAGATGTGAATATGAACCTTCACGTTGTAAAATTAATTAAAAAATAAATATATATACATATTTTACTGCCATTTAAAGAAGATTTATTTTTATTTTAATTAATATTTTTATCTTTCCATCTAATTAATATATGAGATATGTAGAAAAGTTGTGCACAAGACATGCATCGATCCTGCGATGCCAGATTTCTACTTATTCAAGAAATTTTCAAAGGAAAAATAATATTATTTAAAACTCGAGTATATCCATTTTATTTATTTTTAAGAATTATTAACAGATTGAATATCAAATACTTAATTATAAAAAATCTTTATTTAATCTTAAAACTAATTTTCTACTGGTTATCGACAGAATTCAAGCCAAGTTCACCTTCATATTCTTTTAATTGACACATAAAACCATCATTTGGCCTAGCAACTATTAAAGAAAAGACTAGAATTATTAAAATATTTTTAACTCGGTCTTTGACTGCGAACATGTTCCAAAGCTTTATTAACAGTCAAATGTTTATAATTCATTAAATAAGCAACGACAATTGTTGTTGAACGAGAAACTCCTGCATTGCAATGAATTAATACCTAATTTAAAATAAGTAATTCCAAAGACAATTAACGGGCAGACAATTCGTCGAAAAAAGGAATACTTAAATTGAAAACTTAGAATAAAGGAAAGAGTTTTTAGAAGAGAAATCTTTAGAATTTCCTTAAATTAACATCCTCATTAGTATTTATTTAAAGAGTCAATGGCTTGTAAATTAAATTTCGGTGAATTGTCTTTGCAGTAAAATACTCCCCCCCCTCCCCTTACCTTTCCCCCATTTTCAACAGCATTATAAATAAAGTTCACAGCTTTATCAAAATGTCTTTTTAAATTTTCTGTAGGAATATCCAAAGCTGTTAAAGCCAAATAAATTATATTTTCGGGAAATAAACACTGAACACCCGTAGCCACATTAATTATGTGTGTTATTTTGTTGGTTAATAATAATTCTAAATCTTGAGCTACAGCTTGACTGCTAAAAATATTTAAATAAATATATTTTTTTAAATTTTTTCCTTAATTAGATCATTTTTAGTTTTAGTTATTTTCTGTTGTCTAAAAAGAATAAATTGTTTAAGCTCCAGGGATTGTGCGATTGGCGTTCACTTTTGGCGTTTTGTGTTTGGCGTCTTTTTAAAATTTGAAAAATTTTGACACACACCACTCGGAAATACTTGTTTGAGAAGTATTGGAGTCAACGAAACAATTCTAGGGGTTAAAATTATGAATAATCTTACTCCAAAACTTTTCAAAATATTTTTCAAAAAAAATTTTTTTATTCAAATCAGACTACCTCAAATAAACATTTTCTGAAACACAAGCAATTTGTAAATCCGGTTTAAAATCAATTACCATTCCATACCAATGTTGTTCTTTTTTATTTTTATTTAAAGGAATATACTCTTTTTTATCACTTCCATCATCTTCAAAAATAATTTCGAATTCCCCATTTTCGTTTAATTGTTCTTGGTGAATTCCCCCATCCTCTTTTTTTACTCTAAAATTTTTTTTTGGAAATTTTTAAAAATTTTCTTACGTTATTTTTGTTCTTTTTAAATTTTTTCTCACTTGTCTCAAATCGTTTAGATCAGTCATTTTTCTGGGAAAAAAATTTTTTTGAAAGGTTTGATTAAAACAAAGGACAAAATATAAAGAAATTTAAATAATTTAATTAAAAAAAATAAATAAATTAAAATTTTATTCAAAAAGAAATTTAAAACACAATTTAAGACAATAAATTATTTGAACAAGAAAGGCTTTTGTGGCATTTATTTCCACAAAACCTTCCTTCTTTTTTACAACAACAACGATTCCCTTTACATTCAGAATTACATTTACAATATTTATTAGTCATTTCCTCCTCCTGTGCATCAAATTGAGAATCTGAACAAATTGGGATTTCTTCTGGAATTTCTTCTTTATTATTTTCTGTCTGTTCTACATAAAAACCATTTATTACAAATTCTTCTATTTGATCATCTATTGAAACGCTGGAAGGCAAAGAATGGAGTTTACGGCCAAATACTGCTTCGTATGGAGTTTTTTGGAGGGATTTGTGGAACCTTAATGGGAATAAATTCTAGATATTTTGTCATTTTTGAAGGAAGAAAGGGAGGTTTTAATGATTTTCTCTCTCATTTTAACTTGGGCTCTTATCGGTGTAAGGAAACCGGCTAGAATTTAAAACGCTCACTAGACGGGGGTTTAAGATCTATTAAAAGAGGTGAAAGCAGCGTACCGGTATCTCAGTTGGTGGAGCACCTGTACGATGAGCTAAAGCGCCTAAAAATAACTGCCAGGAAGTCGCAGGATCGAAGCCCCCCTGGATTAGACTTTTAGTCGCTCTTACTTCGCTATTTAAAATCTGTTTCTGCTGAAGCAGCCTGGGTCCTCAAGTAAAAGTCCGAAAATTTTTTTAGAAAGTCCGCAAACATTTAAAACCCTAAACGAACCTATTATTCTTCATAAGTTGAAAAATCTTCAAATTATTTGCCCAGTCATTTCGTTGTAATGAAGTTTCCCACGTCAAAATGATATTTTCTATATCATGACTAGCTCGTTCCACACCTTCTTCATTCGACGATTTTCTAGAATTTCCATTAATTAATTTCACTTTCCATTCACTACAGAGGGAGTGGATATGTTCATTTACAAATTCTCGACCATTTCCAGTTTGCAATACTTGAGGAGGTCCAAATTGGGCGAAAATCTCTTCCAATAAAAAAGCAATTGAAAGAGAATCTTTATTTTGAAGAGCTCGTAAGTGAACAAATTTTGTGAATTGATCCTAATTGTTTTAATTTCTAATAATTTCCATTCCCTTCTAAAAACCTGAACAACCAAAATCCACGAATAAAGACCGTCCCTCTGACTCTCCATGTCAATAAAATCCACTTGATAACTTTCAGCATAGCCTTTGGGGTTTGGGACAATTTCCTTCTTTACAATATTCTTCTTAATTCTTGCCCGTTTGTGTTCACATTCGGTGCATGTTTGTAAATAAATGGCGATTACTTTTCTGAATTTAAAGATAATGTAAAGCTGTTTAATTGAGGCTAATTGCAAGTAGGAAGTGGCGTAGTCATTCCGATCAAAAACGAAGATGGTTCACTCCCAGCTTCCTAACCTTCTGTGTCTTCCAAGGAACGAGAAATAGTTAGGCTTTATTATATGCAGAGGTGAGTCGGAACAGTCAGAGGTTTCGGAAATCGGAACTGGCTCAAAAGTCGGAAATCGGAAATTCTTCCAAAATTTCGGAAATCGGAAGGAAAGAAACGTCGGAAATCGGAATTCCGACCCACCTCTGATTATATGGAAAGACTAAAAACCTTCCAACTCCATAGAATCCCCTCAATGCATTTGTCATCAAATCCCGTCCTCCATGTCCAACAAAAACATGTGCATTGTGTACTACCTCAAAAAGTTCTTCTTCACAAATAACTTTCCTCTCCTCATAAAAAACTAAATTTTGATTGTCAACTTCTTTTATCGAATAAACTTTTCTCCAATGCGTTAAAGTATTAATTGAAATAGATCCATCTACTTGATTTGTAATTAAATATTTTGAGATTTTGTCATAAGTAGTTTTTGTTGGAATTAAAAAATATTTCATTGTAGTCTCTTTTAAATTATAATATAATTGATAAAAATGTTCGCATTGGGAGGAGGACATTTTTTAAACTAAAAGATAAGAAATTTTATTTGTCCTAAATTTCAGGCAAATTTAAATTCTGCCGGCAAATTGAATTTTGCCTGAAATTGAAATTTACCCCCACAAAGTCTCTACTTTCCTTGCTACTAATAGAAAATATGGACAAGTAAAAAATGCATTAGCCATCCTCTTATTTTTTAATCGATATAAAGGATTTCAACTAAAAAATGTGAATTAAAGATGTTATTACTATCTAAATAACAGTAAAGATTAACAACAAAAAATGTCCTTAAATAAAAATATTCAAAAATTTTCAGTAAAAGAATTGAAAAATTTAACTAGCTATGAAGAACAAATTTTTAAGGCTATTGAACAAGGCAAGTTTTACATATGAGAGAAAATAGGGAATTTGGTACTTTTCCGTTCTGCCACACCCCCCTAAATTAATGTTCAAAATGTCATATATGGGGTAAAAAAAGGTGCTGAGTCGAACAGTACCACTCTTTTTCACCTGAGATGACTTTGGACCAAAATTTAGTCAAACAAGATTTTGACTAAATTTGGAACAAATAGCTGAGAAGAAGTAAAAGTTGGTACAAATCCTCAGGCTTGGTAATGCATACGGATATGGATACAGTTAAGCTCAAAATGAATGCGGATATCCGTCTGTATCCGCCGTAACTATCCGGATATGGATACCAAAATCCATGTCCATTACCAAGTCTGCAAATCCTTCTGTTGGTCTTAATGGGTATGAGGAAATTTACCCAAAAAAATCCCATTAAGCTTTTCCGGTGAATTGTTGCTTCAATGAGTTTATCAGTGAATAGCTTTCTTTTAAACAAATTTTCAAATTTAAAATAAAATTTTTTGCAGAAAACATTCAAGAATTTACCAATTTATTGGGAAAAATTCGTCCAGATTGTTTGGAAAAGAATGGAATGAGTCCACTTGTACAGGCTTGTTTTAAAGGGAGTGAAGAAATGGTTAAAATGTTGTTAGAGATTGGTGCAGATGCCGATATACGTTACCATGATCAAGGATATACTCCCTTAATGTTTGCTGCTTTAGCTGGTTTGGAAAATAATTAAAATATTATTCTACAAATTTTTTGACTTTCCCATCATATAATTTTCAGTCTTTTTAATTCCCCCCCCCCCCCCCACTATTTACCCCCAAGTAATTAGTTAGGGGGTCCAAATCACGATTTTTGGCTCAACGTCCTCAACCTATCTTCAAGGCTGCCCTGATCTCTTTTGAAGCATTTATTTGCTTAGTGTTTCTTTTAAACGCTCCTTTAATTAGCAATATTTTGAAAAAAATTAACTAAATTTGAACAAAATTTATATAAAATCCCCGAAACAAAACATACAGAGCTTTAAAAGTCAGCCTATTATAATCAACCATTTCTTTTAAAGTTAATTATAAAGAGTTGATTTAAAGAGGATTTTAAATTTGTTTTAAAGGAAAACCAAAAATCTGTCAACTCCTTTTGGACGCTGGAGCAAGTACTCACGTCGAAAATTCTATTGGCAAAACTGCAGGGGAAATGGCAGCATTTGTTGGTACAAATCCCTTCTTTAACTAGTTATTTTCCATTCATTTTCAGGTCAATATGAATGTGTTAGTGTTATTAATGCCCATATTGGAGTAGAGGATGTTAATAAAATTTTACATCCGCAAGGAGAAAAAAGCGAGAAAATTTACCCAAACGAATTTGTTGATTTTATACATCGACTAACTCGGACACATTTATTTCATCCTGTTCGATTAATTTTTGATGTTGTTGGAGATGGAATTATTTGGGAAAATAGAGAAAAGACTGTTTGGACTGTTGACAGACTTTTTGAAAAACAATTGAGAACAAAAGAACCTAATGAAGTAATTTTAGTAAAATATGTAGGCTCTATATTGGACGTATCATGATCCGAAGAAAGACCGGATATCCGGAAACGGTTTGGATATTGTATCCAAAGATTTCCCATGCCCCTCCAACCATACTATTACTACCAAATGTCCCTAAATTAATTTTAAAATTAATTTTTCAATAAAAGGTAATGTCAGTAAAATTGTGGATTGTTTTATACACCCTTCGAGAAATGCTTCAATTTGTTGATAAACACATAAAAGCTGAAAGTAGCAAAAAAGAAGAGAAAAAGTCTGAAAATGAAGGGGAAGACTTGAAGAAAAAATTTGCTTTGGATTTTGCCAAAACTTTATTAAATGATCAGCCTGAATATTTGGTTAGGCATAACGAGGAATTATTTATTAGAAGAGCAATAGTCTCTTTTCCTTATAAACAATCGGTTAGAAATACATAGTTTTTTGAATTTAAAAAAGATTAATTTTTTTAAACTTGGGGGTTGAAATTTATTTTAGGTATTATTTTCCTGTCCAATCCTTTCTTTCTGGATATGATACAGAATTCCTCAAACTAATATCCACTATCCACAATTTTATTTAAAAAAGGTTGTCTGACGTACCTTTTTTGTCTCATATAATTCAAGACTCTAATGTACCCAATTGACATATACCTAAAAGTCAACATTATTAGCATGAGTAGAATAACCGGTACTTTTCCGTTATGACGTAACCCCCTAGATTAATGTTCAAAATGTCATATATAGGATAGAAAAAGGTGCTGAGTCGAAAGGTACCACTCTTTTTTCACGAGGATGCCTGTGGACCGAGATATAGGGCTCGAAATGGTCAAAAACCATAGGGAGGAGTCATCGTAATTCTGGGGTGAAAAATTCCATTTTTTGATTGATAGCTCATTCGAAAGTCTCCTCGAGCTGAGTCGAATGACACCAAAATCAGCTTGAAATCTTGATTTTGAGACGAGATGAACAAGCTCAAAATGGTCAACATAAACCTATGGGGCGTAGGCGAGGCGCACTCCTCCCTATGGTTTTTGACCATTTCGAGCCTTATATCGGTCCACAGGCATCTCCGTGAAAAATAGTAGTACCGTTCGACTTAGCACCTTTTTCTACCCTATATATGTATGACATTTTGAAAATTAATTTAGGGGGTTACGTCATAACGGAAAAGTACCGAATAACCTTCTCTGTGCTCTCTAACTTTATATTTTTTAAGCTATATTTAATTTTAAAAAATTTTTTAATTTTAAAGATATTGTGGCAATCATTAAATCAAAGTTTTAAAACTGTCGAATTTGGTTCTCCCCCTCCAGCTTTTATTATTTTGTGTAATGCTCTATTAGGGCACAGATTTGTCCAAACGTCCAAATTTTGTAGAACTTGTTCAATTCCTTCAGCTAAAAAACGTTGTCCAAAGTGTAAAGTAAATAAATATTTTTTAATTAAAATATACATATTTTTGGGTAAAATTTGGGGTTTATGTTCTCCCCTCTCGATTTTTCTAAAAAATTCCCCTTTATTTTCCTTTGGCATCTTTTAATCGGAAAATTATTTAAATTTTTTATTGGATACAGAAGATAATGAATAAAATAAAAAAGGAAACTTCTCCTTTTTAAGTAGTTTCGAAATAAAAAAATCTACATATTTATAATTTAAATTTTGTAAACCAATTTTTCTACATATATTTGATTTCCTATATTAACAGTTTTTATTTTATTTTTATGCAAAAAAAATTAATTTTTTAATTTAAAAACATATAGATTTATTATTGCTCAATCGAATGTCAACGGTTTGATTGGCCATTTCACAAAAAATGTTGTGAAAAACTTGAGAAAAGACGTGAACAAGAAAAAGAGGAAGAAATTAATGAAATTTAGAGGAAATTAAACAAATAAACTTTATTCTTACAAAACAAGTTTAAGAAGGGGGAAATTAATTAAATCTAAAATTCTAATCAACATATCAAATTAAATTAACTAAATAATTTTTGTTTTTTATATTTGTTTACTAATTATTTTTTATTTAAAAATATTTTATAATTTTATTTAATTGATCTCATTTTTATATTTTTGAATAAATTTAATTTTTAAATGGTTTTTTAATAATTATTTATTTGTTTTTAACCTTTATTTATATTTTTAAATTATTCTTTTTAATTCAAAACTAAAACAGAACTTCCTATAAAATTAACAAATACATCTCCAAACAATAAAAAACGTCTATAGTAAATATCAGTTAAATTTTTGAAAATCTTCCCCCTTGTTTTACCCAAACTAATTAATTAATTTAACAATTCCATTTATTTAATAAAATAATTTTATTAAACAAAATTTTAATTTTAGAAGAAATGTTACGTTATTTTTTTCTTCAAAAATTATATCCACTTCTTGATTTATTTACAAAAATATATTTTTTTGTAATCAATCAATGGTTTAATTTATTTTATTTATTTAAACAAAAAACAAAAGTTGATTGGAATAATGAAGAATTAGCAAGTCCTTTTCTGTTTATGTCGGCTAAAAAGGCTGCCGAGAAAATTAGAAATAAAGAGGTATTTCTTTGTTTGTTTGTGTTTATTTGGAATGTCTTTATGTTACTTGTATTTATGGTTTATATTTTTGTGTTTTTGCCTGTTGTACCACCGGTTAATTTTCACCTGTGGCGGCTTAAAATGGGAATTTTAAGAGTAATTGAGGGACGCTTAACCGGTCGTGAACACCCCTAATACTCGCTCCTTCAGTATAATTTTGTAATGTTTATATTTTGTGTTCTTATGTATTTGTTGTGTTTGTTTTTGTTTTATATTCTCTCTCCCTCATATAATTTTAATTATTTTTTAAAGATTTCCTCAGAACAATTAATTTCTGCCTATATATCACGTATTCGTCGAGTCCAACCTTTAATTAATGCTATTGTTGCTGAATGTTTTGAAAAAGCATTGGAAGAGGCTAAAAATGTTGATAATTATTTGGCTAATTTGGATGAAAATTCTGAGGAATACAAAAATGTTTGGGAAAAATATTAATTTCTGTCAAAAAATTTTTTTAAATTTTAGTTGGAGCAAAATAAGCCTTTATTGGGTGTCCCTTTCAGCAATAAAAATAATATGGATGTTAAAGGTTTTGTGTCTGTTGCTGGTTATGCTCCTTTTGTTAATAATCCACCAGCGGAAAAGGATTGTGATGTTGTTGAAAGGTTTTGTTTTTGAGAACAAAAATAAATTTCTGGCCCTTGTCAGTCATTTAAAAATAATTCATAAATCATTAGATGGTTGGGACCTAATAAAAACCAAAAATAATATTTGTCCTTTTATCTAAAAATGCTTATTCTAAAAAAAGATTGGATAAATTACAAAATCTATCTTATTAACTGTATGATAAAAACGAAATCTCTTATCTATAACTTTCGAATGTTTTAAAACTAAAAAAAACATTTCTCCAAAAAATACTCACCAAATTATTATTATTAAAATTTTTTTTCCTCAGACTTTGCAATGCTGGAGCTATTTTAATTGCTATAACAAATTTACCAAAATTGGCAATGAATTGGAGTTGTACAAATAAAGTTTATGGGCGTACTCGTAACCCTTATGATTTACGTCGAATTCCTGGTGGAAGTAGTGGAGGGGAAGGGGCACTTGTTGGGGCTGGGGCTTCCCCTTTTGGTTTAGGAAATGATTTGGGTGGTTCTGTCAGAATTCCAGCTTCGATGTGTGGAATTTTTGGGTTAAAACCAACAAAAGGTTTTCTTGAAGATCTTTAGAAAAAGAATTTTATTTTTTAGATGCTGTTTCGCTTATTGGTTTTACGCCCAAAATAGACACAGAAATGGGTAAAGCCCAATGGACGATTGGTCCTTTGTGTCGCTATGCTGAAGACCTTCCTCTCGTTTTTAGTGTAAGATAATTGAAACTTTTTAATTTTTGGGGAAGTGATTTCAAAAAATCGGTTTTTTATAAAAATTATTTATCGCTAATTTTTTATTAAAAAAATGTCTGGCCAAACAATTTGTTTTAAGTCTTATTTTTGAAAGAATTTATTTCCCTTAAATTTTTGTGAATGCCCCTTAACAGAAAATTAACGGAAAATGGGTAAAGCTGATAATGAACAAACAAATAAAAAATTTATGGACGTATTTGTAACCCTTATGAAAGGAAAATAATTTTTGTTTATATTTCCCTTGTATTTTTTCTTTTGGTTTTTAAGGAAATTACTTGATACATTCATTAAATTTAATTTTTTAAATTTCAATTTATTTAAAGATAATTTCCGGAAAGTTACAATCTGAGGTGGATTTTCAAATTGACTTTAGCCAAGTTAAAATTATTTATATGGATATTTTAAATATTTGGTTTATGGAAAATGTTCATTCAGAAGTTTTACAAGCATTGAGAAAAGTAAAATTAATTTTTATTTTTTTCTAATTACTTCTTTAGTCTGTTCGTTTCTTCGAAACAGAATTTAATGTTACTGCCCAAAAAGTTGAATTTCCATTAGCCAGTCATCTCTACGAAATTTGGGGTGCTTTGGGCTTTGGCACTCCCGCATTGGTTTGTAGAAAAGAGAAGGGGGAATTTAAAATTAATTTTTAAATTTCAGAGCATTCCAGACATTCTTAAAGAATTCCCAAAAGTATTTAATGATAAATCAGAATTAACTAGTTGTGCGTGGATATTCTCTCTTATACATGCATTTGTAGATGTACGAGATGATAATGAAAAGGAATATGTGAGAAAATAATTTTTTATTTACGGGTCAGTCCTGAAGTTAGACTTATGGAACTGGACCAAGCGAAATTAAAAATATTCACCTTGTTTAGTCTACGGCCCTTAGGGAATGCAATTTTGTTCTCTTATCCTCCCAAAACTTATTTACCACATATCACCCAAACAGTCCAATTGGTTAATTTTAATATTTTTTGTCAGATGCTTAAAAAACTTGACAAACTTCGTCACCAAATCAAACAAGCACTTGGTGACAATGGTATCCTTCTTTTGCCAACATGGCCTACACTTGCACCATTCCATCACCAAGACTTGTTTACAAGCATTAATCTCGCCTTTACAGAATTATTTAATATTCTGGGCTTCCCAGCTATATCCTGTCCCGTTGGTAATCACAAAAAATGTTTATTTAGACTAAGTCTGTTTACTTTTACAGGATTGGATTCATCAAAACAAATCCCTTTGAGCGTCCAAATTGCTGGACCACCCAATTCAGAACCGTTATTGATGGCTGCTGCCCAGGAACTTGAACGAGGATTTGGCGGATGGGTACGCCCTTGAAGGAAAAGGATGATTTTTTTCTTTAATTTTTTATGGTTGGGTAATCAAATTTTTTGAATGAAAAATGAACTAAAATCAAAAATAGCACAATAAAAAGGATATATAACCGCTTTATATTTTTAATAGCAATTCCTAAAACATTGTTCTCTCCAATGGTAGAAATAAATATTTTTCTAATTTTTTATTTAATAATCGAGGTTTATCCGTTCGTTATCAATATTTTTAAAATGCAAATCCAAAAATTAAATTAAAAAATCATTGCAATAAGCTTAAGTAAAATTATCAAAAAAATGTAAAATTTATAAAATTAATATCGCTCTCCTCTCATTTTCTTATTTAAATTCTTTTATCCAATAATAACCTCTCTCAATTTATTGTTTACCAAAATATTCTTTACTTTTGTTAGGATCTGGTTTGATAGTATCACTTCCTGGCTTCCAATTAGCTGGACAAACTTCTCCATGCTTGTCAGTATATTGAAAAGCTTGAACGAGACGAAGAGTCTAGAAATTTTAAAAGGCTTAATAATTAAATTTGAATTAATAGCGTAGGGGAAAGATAAATAATTTTAGAAAACTCGTGAATTTTTAACCGTTGGAAACTTGAGTTACCAAAAATTGAAAAACGTAATCCAAAAATAGATATCCAACTCTATTTTACAAATATTTTCCCTTAATTTCTAAAAATAACCTCATCAACAGAGCGTCCAACAGGAAGGTCATTAATAGTAATTTGGCGAAGAATTCCTTTAGGATCAATGATAAACAATCCACTAAGATGGATAAATTTCTAGGATTTCAAAAATTTAAAAAACCGATAGGCAATCCCCTCATCCTCTTTAAGAACTCCATAATCACGAGCAATTTTCATATTGCGATCAGAAAGAACAGGAATTTTCATTTCTCCAAGTCCTCCCTCCTTACGTGGCTTATTGATCCATTCAAAATGGCTGAAAATTTAAATATTAAAAATTATAAAAATAAAAAATAAACCTAAATTTAGAGTCGGTAGAACAAGCCAATAATTGAACGTTAATTTTGGTAAAGTCACCGCTTCTCTCAGAAAATGCAATTATTTCAGTCGGACAGACAAAAGTACTGAAAAATTAGAATTAAAAACTTTAGTTTATTTCGACATCGTAAATAATGACATGAGGTAATTCAGAGATAAAAGGAATTTAAAAATGTCAAACTATGTATAAGGAATTTAGATCTGGATTCAACCGAATTGGAAAGAATCGAAAACTAAAAATCTTAAAAAAACACTCGGGTTAAGATTAAGCCAGTTGTTTTAATTATCGAAGTATTCTAAAAATTTAAAAGAAACAAACAAGTCAAGCGGATAAAAGAAGAGCACAACATATTTGCCTTTGTATTCAGACAATGAAATAGTCTTAAAATCAGAATCAACAACAGCATCAGCAGTAAATTCGGGAGCAAGTTTTCCAATTTTTGCTTTTCCATACGATTTTGTTCGATAACGCTAAATGACAAAATCGATGTATTAATGTTTAAATGACGCTGTAACGGTCTTGGAACCGAAGATAGAATAAACTAAGTTAAATTTAGTACTAAACGGAGGGGCTCTTACCACCTGTCATTTTTCTAATTAATATTATTAACCTTTAATTGAAGCTGGCGATTTGAAGAATTATTGAGCATCTGATTATGACGAGAAATAACATTTGCATCGGTGAAAGAACTGAGATTAGAAATTGAAGTGTGTGTCGAAGCACTTTTAAATGATGCCAAACAACTTTGATAAGCTTCTATAAAATATGATTTTTAATTTAATTTCCTCGAAATTTAACCTCCAAGAGTACTAGTAGATTGTCTATGATCAATATCAATTAAAAGCCCATTTCTTTGCAAATTTTGCTCCTCAATTTCGAAAAATGACGACAGACCATGCTGGTGTTGATCATTCTCAATATTGTTGTAAATTTGGTAGGAAGTCCCTTGTTCGTTAAAATTTATTTCTTCATCATTTCCCATGTAAAAAGGCAACATTGCAGGAGGTGGTGGAGGGCGAATGTTAATGAATTCAAGAGGCCAACTGTCTTTATTTGAAATTAAATTCTGTTCTTCCACGTTTTCACTTAATTCATTAGTTTCCGATGGTTGAGATAATTCAGAATTTGATACAATGATATCATCCTGCTTTAAAATTTTAAGTATAAAGGGTAATTCTTTCAAAACACGTTTATGAATACTAAACAGTAATTCTAATCCCCATGAGAGTGAAGCGAGAACAGACAGAGAAGTAAAAATAAAAATTGCTAACGGGGAAGAAATTGAACTGGCACGAGACTAAATTTTAAAACTTCAAATTAAAAAATACCTCTTCATCATTTAATGTCGACAAATTTACAAAGACATCAATAGTCTCATTATCTCCCTGTTGTTGTTCAGGTAATTCATTTGAATGTCCAGTTTGATTCAATTCGTTTTCAGAAACAGAGGATTCTTCATCAAAATCAATAAGACGGCCTTCACTTTGTTCAGAATAATTTAAACTGCTATGGCCTAGAAAAACTCAAAATTATTTTTAAAAAATAAATAAAAGAATTACTCATTTCAAATGCTCGTTCACCAATTAATAACGTCTTGTACCCAATTTTTAAAATATCAGATAGAAGAGGGCTTGTCTGATTATCCAATGTTCGACTAAACATCAAAGTCCGATAAGACTAAAAAAATATTTTTTGAGAAAAAAATATTAAAAAACTAACACAAGAAAGTGATTGAATTTCAATAAAACAACGAACAAAATCAACATCCTAAAAATGTTTTTTGAAGTAAAATAAAAAAAGATTTTTTACATGTATAAGTAAATCGGCTTCGTCCAACAATAAAAGTGTGAGGTTATCTAGGGCAATCTAAAAAATTAAAGTTTTTAATTATTGTGATTCTAATAAAGAAATAGCAAAAAAGCTTAAGTGATAAAGCTAAAAAATTAAAGGTCTTCCATAAATAGTGAAATTAAAAAAACTTAATTTATCATTTCCGTTGTCAAGTTCAATTAAAAAATGATTGCAAGTAGTTAAACAAAATGTAGGATAAAAAGGTGATTTAGTAATGCAATCCATGTTAAACAAACCATCTGTATTAAAATAAATTTTAAAAATAAAAAAGAAAATTAAAATATAACCTCGAGTAAATAAAACATTAACAGACTCATCTAAAAATTAAAAAATTATTTCTAGAAATACAAAATTGTTAACCTTTCAAATAAGTTAGATAACGTGTTACAACATGACTAAAAGGTAAGAGAATAATGCAAAATGGCGGAGTGGCGATTGAACTATTCTGATGCTCATTGACTGTTAGAGAGATAAGGCTTTTGAATACCTAAATTTAAATTGACAAAAAAATGAATGGAAAACTCTTACAGTCTGAGAAATAAGGCCGCCTTTACCATCCAAAAGTCGCGGTATCATTGGTGGAGGCACTTGGACAAAGAGATCAACTAAATAGATAAGAGATTAAAATATTGTACTAAAGATCCCCTATCCCCCCTGGCTAGGGCCTGCTAGGGTAATTTTGAACTTCGTACCCCCCCCTTTTTTTTGTTTTAAAAGTATTAAAAATGGTCAGTCTTAAGATGAATATAGAACACAACGAGCTATGTCGAACGACACCAAAATCAAAAAAATCCGACTTGATTTGACCGAGATACAGACCCTTGAAAATTGAACAACCACAGGGTCGAAAATCAAAAGGACGAAAAAGTATAAAAATGATAGCTCATTGAAAGAGCTCGTCGAGCTGAGTCGAATGACACCAAAATCGACGTGATCCGACTTAATTTGACAAAGATATAACATAAAATTTCGACCCCGGTAGGTCTAAATAATGTCATAACTTTGTCATATCTCGTCTAATCACGTTGATTTTGTTGTCATTCGACTCATCTCAAAGAGCTCTTTCGAATGAGCTATAATTTGCTTAAATTTTTTTAATTTAAAAAAATCACCCCTGTGGTTGTTCAATTTTCAGGGGTCTGTATCTCGGTCAAATCAAGTCAGATTTTTTTGAGTTTTGGTTTCATTCGACACAGCTCGTTGTGTTCTATATTCATCTTAAGACTGACCATTTTTAATATATTTAAAAACAAAAAAAAAGGGGGGGGGGTACGAAGTTCAAAATTACCCCTGCTAGATTAATTTAAAAAATAAAAAAATGATTTTTATTTCTGTTTTGATTCCAAAAATTTCAATTGAATTCTCATGAGGTCTTGACATTTAAACCAAGTAATAAATTTGAGTTATATTCATATAATTTACCAAAAAATAATTTAATTAGACAAACCCTGTTCTTCTTCAAGTCTTTCAAGCAAAGGAATCCAAGCAAGTGAATCAAATGTCTCAAAAAGAATAATTAAAAAATATGGACAAAATTATTTTCTACCTTAATCCCAACACAACGATCATCTGACGGAAAGTACTCTTTAGGACATGACGAATTCTTAACACGCGTCTTATTCTTTGCCGTAATTTGGCAAGACAAAATTTGAGCCATTAAAGAACGATTTTGAGTTAATTCAGATTCTAAACGATTTTTGTCTTCCTGGTATTTAGCAAGGGCCTTTTTGGCCTGTTTAAGTTTCTGGAGAAGAACAGCGTTGTCTTTCGAATTAGTTTCTTTGTTTAATTGAGAAGTGGTTGGATGTTTTTTTGAATTATTTTGTGAGGAAGAAGCTAAAAAATAAAATTAATTAAATTTAAATTTTTACAAGAAAACCTTTGCTTTTTGATGTTAAAAAGTTTTCTTTGTTACTTGGAGAATCAATACACTTTTTCGATTTTAAAGTATTAATCATAGAATTGGCGCTAACTAAATCAAAATCACTGTCAATTGTAGAGGATGAAGCTGACACTTTCGCACCGATCATTTTGTATTAAACTTAGTACCTTATCTAAAAAAGATCTACAATATAATTAAAATAAAAAACCGACAATTTTAGAAAAATTCGTTAGGAAAAACAAAAACTTTTTATTGATTGTTGGCGGAAAAATTTTGCAACAAGGATTAATAAATCGAAATGCCAAGTATTTTTCCCGCGAAAAGACGTTTCAGTCTTATAGAAATTCTTTTTCTAGAGTCTCGTCTCGTTTCCCGGATCGGGAATCCGATCATCTGTGGACAGGCAGAAATCTCACATGCGAATTTGCTTTCTCGAGCCGGGTCCCTCCCAGTGCCCTCATTTTCATTTTCTATTTCTCGGTCCAGGTTTTTTTTCAAAATCCACAGCCCTTGTTTTCTTTAGTTTTTCAGCAATTTGTAAATTCGAGAATCAAAAATTTTTTCGGTAATCATGATCAAAATTTTTATTTCTTTTACACTCAGTTATAAAACATGTTTGTTGAGAACGAACCCCTAAAAATAAAAATTTTAGAGACTGAGTTGTCCCACCACAGATTAAACAAATTCTTTCAAAATTTTTACTTGTGGAGCTTTACTAGTGGTCGTTTTTAACAATATTGAACAAATATAATGGGTAATCTCGGCAAACAATAGGTGATAGGCTTGGCTTTTGGTTCACTATTTATTTACAAAATTAAATATTTTTCAAAAATAACTTTTTCCTTTAAAAACAACTTAGACACTTTACTCCAAAAAAATAAATATTCATCTTGATTGTCGTTAACTGTTTTCATATTTTAGAAAAGCTTAATTAGTGTTTTAGAACGCTTTTACTTTTTTTAGAACAAAATATGCATTTTGGATCATTATTTAGTTTGCCACGTGGAAATTCAGAACGCTTTAAACCTTACTCTACTTCTTCACCTAATCGTTTAAAATCTGTTTTACATAAATCTGAATGGAATGATTTTCAACGAAGGCAACAATTAAAAATTCCGCCCAAAACTGAGTATTTGAGCATTCAAGAAAAAATGGAGAGATTGAAGAAATTGATTGGCTTGACTACAAAGGTTTTCTTTTTCAGGGTTTAAAATTTTTTTTGTGTGATTGCAAGCCTTACTTGGAACCTATTTTTAAGTGTTCGATTTAATTTAGAATAGGAACCACTGATCGAACTGTTAATGGTTTCCTTACCCAAAAATTTGGTATTTTGGAAAGTTGTGCCTTCGTTTTCCCATTTTTTTAATATTTTTGGATAGTCGTTACCAAACTTGCGATTCAAATGTCTCATTTGTTTTAAATTCTAGGACACGTCAAAAACTCCAACTTATGCGCAGTTCCACTTCGATTCCAATGGTCACTCCAGCTCAAATAATTATCCCAACTTGCGTACAAACAATGGGACTTCTTTGACTGGAATTGTTCGGGCTGCATTGTTTTCTAAAAATAATCATTACAATTCTTCCCCGTCTGTTGATTTGGGTTTTCGGCCAAGAAATAATTCAGGTTTGAATTTTCTCTAAATTTAATAAATGTTTTATAGTAGCCACGTCTGAACCATCAATTCCACCAAAGAATGACAAAGCCAGCCTTCCTGACCAAGTTAAGCCACAAATTCGTCCAAACAATGAAGCAGTTACTCGAAGGTCGATTTCTACTCCTTTACCAAATACCCACCATCAATGGCGTTCTCAGAGGTATATTGATGAAAAAGAAAATCGTCTGAGAGCTGTTAAAGAGTTGGAAGCTGAATTGGCAGAACGAGAGCTTTCAAGACATAATCGAAAAATTAATGAACAGGAAATGCTTCGATTGCGTCTTCAAGTTGAGGGACTTGTTTTGGAACGTCGTGAACCTCCTCGTGAAGAATTTCCTGGTTTTTTCATTAAAAAATATTTTTCAATACTTAAAATATTATAGAAATTCCAAACAACGTAAGGCAGATTATTAGAATTATTTGGAACAAATATGCCCCGCCCAATGAAGTCTTTTCTAATTTTGATGGTGTTGATATAGCTCGAAAGGATTTGTTGACTCTTTGTGGGGCAGAGTGGCTTAATGACGAAGGTAATAATTTAAGCTTTTGGGAGAATAATTTGATTTGCTTTTACGGGGCTAATTATATTTGGGGCAGGTCTTTCGGTTCTCCTTTTTGGTGTTTTTTATTTTTTTAGTTTTTGTAATTAACAATTTTTATTTTTTCAGTTATCAACTTTTATATCAACTTGATTGTTGATAGAAGCAAAGTCAATAGAAAATTACCTAAAGTAATTTATTTAAAAATAAATTTCTAATTTTTCTAAATTTAAAAGGTCTATGCTTTTAACACCTATTTTTATGTTAACCTTTCTGGAAAAGGCTTTTCGAGTGTGAAACGATGGACAAAGAAAGTTGATATTTTTGACAATCAAATGATTTTTGTTCCAGTACATTTGGGTAATCATTGGTGTATGGCGGTAATAGAAAAATTAAAAAAAATTATTTGAAAATATTTTTGAAGGTTATTGATTTTGAGGAACGCAAAATTGATTATTATGATTCCCTGAAAGCTGACAACTTTACATGCTTGGAATTGTTAAGGTCTGAATTTGATTTTTTAAAGCCCTAACTTTACTACTAGTTAAAGTTAGGGCCTCTAGCTAATTTTGCGCCCTCTAGCTAATTTTATGCGTTCCTGCGTGAGATATCGAATAACCAACGTGTTCCCCACTTTAGTACTTATTTCTAAAATTCCTCCCCAAGAAGATAAATCATTTTTGATTTTTAGCAATTATCTTGCTGAAGAATCTATGGATAAAAGAAAGAGACCATACGACATGACTGGATGGGAGTTTACTTGTCGGAAGGTTTTTTTAAATAATAATTTTTATTTTAAATAATTATAATTTTGAGGACATTCCGAATCAAGGAAATATGTGGGACTGCGGAATGTTTTCAATTTTGTTTGCAGAATATGCCTCTCGAAGAGCGCCAATCACGTTTTCACAGCAACATGTTCCATATTTCCGTGAGAGAGTTGTTTATGAAATTTTGAGGAAGGAATTGCTTTGATTTAAAGATATTTATTTTAAATTAATTTTTTTGTTAGTGAAAATAGGGCGTGGCTTTGGAAATTTAAAGGGAAATTAATATTTGAGATTTATTGTAATTTTCCATTAGCTACGTCCTTGGTATAAGCGTAACCAAAAATTTTATTGGGGGGGGGGGGGGGGGAGTCAAAGGGGAAAGTTTTTTCATATTTTGACCTGGAAATTTTATAAATTTGGTTACGCTTAAAATATTATTCTATTGTAATACACACACCCATTTTTGTCGTTTTTGATTGACAATGTAAATCTGATATTTCCCCGAATTCATTTCTTTAAAAAATTTAAGTATGGTGAATATTTAATTTCGATCTTCAATTATTTATCCTGTCCCTATTAAAAATTGTGTATTGTTTTTGAAACTATTTTTTATATTCGAAATATTTTTTGAAAACTTAATAACGTTCAAAAACATCTACAAAACAATACAAAAATTAGAGAAACGAATATATTATTTTCTTTTATTTTTTATTCCCAGTCTGCTTTTATATATAAAAAGTATTCTTTTGGAATTATTGATGAATAAATTCAATAGGGCCCGAATTTTTCGGCGAATAAGCGTCGCGAATGGAATTTAATCCCCCTACTTATAAAATAGGGCCCGAATTTTTCGGCGAATAAGCGTCGCGAATGGAATTTAATCCCCCTACTTATAAAATAGGGCCCGAATTTTTCGGCGAATAAGCGTCGCGAATGAAATCTAATCCCCCTACTTATAAAATAGGGCCCGAATTTTTCGGCGAATAAGCGTCGCGTATGAATTCTAATCCCCCTACTTATAAAATAGGGCCCGAATTTTTCGGCGAATAAGCGTCGCGAATGGAATTTAATCCCCCTACTTATAAAATAGGGCCCGAATTTTTCGGCGAATAAGCGTCGCGAATGGAATTTAATCCCCCTACTTATAAAATAGGGCCCGAATTTTTCGGCGAATAAGCGTCGCGAATGGAATTTAATCCCCCTACTTATAAAATAGGGCCCGAATTTTTCGGCGAATAAGCGTCGCGAATGGAATTTAATCCCCCTACTTATAAAATAGGGCCCGAATTTTTCGGCGAATAAGCGTCGCGAATGAAATCTAATCCCCCTACTTATAAAATAGGGCCCGAATTTTTCGGCGAATAAGCGTCGCGAATGAATTCTAATCCCCCTACTTATAAAATAGGGCCCGAATTTTTCGGCGAATAAGCGTCGCGAATGAAATCTAATCCCCCTACTTATAAAATAGGGCCCGAATTTTTCGGCGAATAAGCGTCGCGAATGAAATCTAATCCCCCTACTTATAAAATAGGGCCCGAATTTTTCGGCGAATAAGCGTCGCGAATGAATTCTAATCCCCCTACTTATAAAATAGGGCCCGAATTTTTCGGCGAATAAGCGTCGCGAATGGAATTTAATCCCCCTACTTATAAAATAGGGCCCGAATTTTTCGGCGAATAAGCGTCGCGAATGGAATTTAATCCCCCTACTTATAAAATAGGGCCCGAATTTTTCGGCGAATAAGCGTCGCGAATGAAATCTAATCCCCCTACTTATAAAATAGGGCCCGAATTTTTCGGCGAATAAGCGTCGCGAATGAATTCTAATCCCCCTACTTATAAAATAGGGCCCGAATTTTTCGGCGAATAAGCGTCGCGAATGAATTCTAATCCCCCTACTTATAAAATAGGGCACGAATTTTTCGGCGAATAAGCGTCGCGAATGAATTCTAATCCCCCTACTTATAAAATAGGGCCCGAATTTTTCGGCGAATAAGCGTCGCGAATGGAATTTAATCCCCCTACTTATAAAATAGGGCCCGAATTTTTCGGCGAATAAGCGTCGCGAATGAATTCTAATCCCCCTACTTATAAAATAGGGCCCGAATTTTTCGGCGAATAAGCGTCGCGAATGAATTCTAATCCCCCTACTTATAAAATAGGGCCCGAATTTTTCGGCGAATAAGCGTCGCGAATGAAATCTAATCCCCCTACTTATAAAATAGGGCCCGAATTTTTCGGCGAATAAGCGTCGCGAATGAAATCTAATCCCCCTACTTATAAAATAGGGCCCGAATTTTTCGGCGAATAAGCGTCGCGAATGAAATTTAATCCCCCTACTTATAAAATAGGGCCCGAATTTTTCGGCGAATAAGCGTCGCGAATGGAATTTAATCCCCCTACTTATAAAATAGGGCCCGAATTTTCGGCGAATAAGCGTCGCGAATGGAATTTAATCCCCCTACTTATAAAATAGGGCCCGAATTTTTCGGCGAATAAGCGTCGCGAATGAAATCTAATCCCCCTACTTATAAAATAGGGCCCGAATTTTTCGGCGAATAAGCGTCGCGAATGAATTCTAATCCCCCTACTTATAAAATAGGGCCCGAATTTTTCGGCGAATAAGCGTCGCGAATGAATTCTAATCCCCCTACTTATAAAATAGGGCCCGAATTTTTCGGCGAATAAGCGTCGCGAATGGAATTTAATCCCCCTACTTATAAAATAGGGCCCGAATTTTTCGGCGAATAAGCGTCGCGAATGAATTCTAATCCCCCTACTTATAAAATAGGGCCCGAATTTTTCGGCGAATAAGCGTCGCGAATGAATTCTAATCCCCCTACTTATAAAATAGGGCCCGAATTTTTCGGCGAATAAGCGTCGCGAATGAATTCTAATCCCCCTACTTATAAAATAGGGCCCGAATTTTTCGGCGAATAAGCGTCGCGAATGAATTCTAATCCCCCTACTTATAAAATAGGGCCCGAATTTTTCGGCGAATAAGCGTCGCGAATGAATTCTAATCCCCCTACTTATAAAATAGGGCCCGAATTTTTCGGCGAATAAGCGTCGCGAATGAATTCTAATCCCCCTACTTATAAAATAGGGCCCGAATTTTTCGGCGAATAAGCGTCGCGAATGAATTCTAATCCCCCTACTTATAAAATAGGGCCCGAATTTTTCGGCGAATAAGCGTCGCGAATGAATTCTAATCCCCCTACTTATAAAATAGGGCCCGAATTTTTCGGCGAATAAGCGTCGCGAATGAATTCTAATCCCCCTACTTATAAAATAGGGCCCGAATTTTTCGGCGAATAAGCGTCGCGAATGGAATTTAATCCCCCTACTTATAAAATAGGGCCCGAATTTTTCGGCGAATAAGCGTCGCGAATGAAATCTAATCCCCCTACTTATAAAATAGGGCCCGAATTTTTCGGCGAATAAGCGTCGCGAATGAATTCTAATCCCCCTACTTATAAAATAGGGCCCGAATTTTTCGGCGAATAAGCGTCGCGAATGAATTCTAATCCCCCTACTTATAAAATAGGGCCCGAATTTTTCGGCGAATAAGCGTCGCGAATGAATTCTAATCCCCCTACTTATAAAATAGGGCCCGAATTTTTCGGCGAATAAGCGTCGCGAATGAATTCTAATCCCCCTACTTATAAAATAGGGCCCGAATTTTTCGGCGAATAAGCGTCGCGAATGAATTCTAATCCCCCTACTTATAAAATAGGGCCCGAATTTTTCGGCGAATAAGCGTCGCGAATGAATTCTAATCCCCCTACTTATAAAATAGGGCCCGAATTTTTCGGCGAATAAGCGTCGCGAATGGAATTTAATCCCCCTACTTATAAAATAGGGCCCGAATTTTTCGGCGAATAAGCGTCGCGAATGAAATCTAATCCCCCTACTTATAAAATAGGGCCCGAATTTTTCGGCGAATAAGCGTCGCGAATGAAATTTAATCCCCCTACTTATAAAATAGGGCCCGAATTTTTCGGCGAATAAGCGTCGCGAATGGAATTTAATCCCCCTACTTATAAAATAGGGCCCGAATTTTTCGGCGAATAAGCGTCGCGAATGAAATCTAATCCCCCTACTTATAAAATAGGGCCCGAATTTTTCGGCGAATAAGCGTCGCGAATGAAATTTAATCCCCCTACTTATAAAATAGGGGCTCAGCGGAATTTTAAGCTTTCGTGTAAAAAGCGGAATATTGGGCTCTAAAATTTTGGGCTCCGGTGGAAATTTGGGCTCTAATAAAAATAATGAACTTCAAGATACATAAAATTTCAAAATAATACTTAATTGGAAGTACAGATTCTAAGGAAAGATAGATTTAACAGGATTGGGCAACAAAGTAAACAATTTTTTATATTTTCACTGTTAGGTGAAAATTTCATCCATGAAGTTCCTACGAAGAATTATCAAAATTTTCGCATGGATCTCAAAAAAGGAAAATTTTTGGATTAAGGAACTTCGAAATGTCCCGAAAATTCTTGAAGCCCAGCTTTCCAATGCCCAAATTCCTGACACCTTTGGTCTGCTTCTTTTTTCTGACCAGCAGACTAAAATATTGAGAATTTTGGAAAGCCAAAAAGTCAAAGAATTGTTGGAGTAAAATTGTTCTCTCTTTATCTCCAGACTTAAAATAAAGAATTTATCAACATAAAACAGCTAATTTGTGATGTAGTAAATTATTTGTAAATAAAAAGGATAAGTCTCTTTTTCACAGTTTTGAAATAGGTAAGCATTGTTAAAGTATTAATTTTCGTAATAGTTAAAAATAAAATGTTTCCAACTTGTTTCCAAAAATTTCTGCAAATTTTATCATCATTAAATATAAAACGATGATCACAGTTAAAAATTTGTAAATAAAAAATTGTTTTTTAAACTACTTAATATATAAAATAATATTTATTATATTTAGAAAGGAAATCCAAACCCTTCAGATTATGGACGAGCAAAGTAGTAAAGGAAAGAATTGTTGCCACACATTTAGTAAATTTTGAGTAAAAATCTTTTTCAGATGAGGAATAAATTATTACAATTTTTTTATTGCCCATCTTTTTAATTTAAAAACTGAAATAGGTATTTAATTGTCTTTGATTTAATTGTCAATTAAATATTTAATTGTCTTTGTTCAATGAATAAGTACGAGAATGAAATATGTAGAAAGAGAAGAAAACGATACATGTTTTCC